TTCTCGTCTTGTCTTTTCGAAAGTGTCATAGTCACCTTTATAGTAATGAAGTTTTTGATCTTTCACAAGGATGATATCTGTGACGACTGCATTAAGGAATCGCTTAGCGTGAGACACAACTACTAAAGTCTTGTCATACTTCTTCAAGTATTCTTCTAACCAAATGACTGCAAACAAATCCAAGTGGTTTGTAGGTTCGTCCAATAGTAAAATATCTGGCTCTACGAACAAAGCTCTTGCAAGGGCAACTCTCATTCTCCAACCTCCTGATAAAGACTTAGTTTTCATGTGCATCATTTCAGGAGTAAATTGTAAACCAGTAAGAATAGCTGCTGCTCTTGCTTCGGCGCTGTGAGCATCAATTTCATCCAATCTTTCATAAATTTCAGCTAATTTTTGGCCAGCATCTTCTGAAGACTCCTCCAAAAGTCTCTTTTCTTCCTTCAACAAGGACAATCTTTCTACGTCTGAGTTGAGAACTGTGTCGAGAGCAGAAACATCATCTCCAACAATTTCTTGTTCAATGTGCAAAATTTGCAAATATGGAGGAATTCCCTTGAAATCTCTTTCTGCAATATGTCTCAAAAGCGTTGTCTTACCAACACCGTTTCTACCAATCATACCATATCTACGTCCGTTTAACAAAACAACATCTGTTCCCGACAAGAGAGTCTTGCTTCCTACAGAAACTATGACATCAGAGACACGAATTTCTCTAGGACCTTTGAAATCGGCAGCTGTGTGAACTTTGATGACACCTCTCTGATTGCTCAAACCTCTTCTCTTCAAAAACTCTTCATACTCTTTTTGTTTTTGTTTGATAATGGCTTCTTCTTTTTCTTTTTTCTTCCTCTCTTTTTCCTTGATTGCCTTTTGCTTCCAATCCAACTCGTCATTCCAGTTAGATTCAGTAATTTGTTGATGAACAGAGGCCATACCTGTCTTGTCAATCATGGACTCTTGTTCAGAAACTTCCTTTTCGAATCTTTTACCCAAGCTGACAGCTTCTTCCAACAAAACAACATGCTCTTCTTCTTTAATGTCTGTTCTCAAAATTCCTCTATCCTTCAATGTCTGAAGCATAACTCTGACCAATTCTTTTGCGTCCTCCAAAGAACTAGAAGCCTTGGTATGAACCAAGTAAGAAGAAATTACGTCAATTACTTCAGTTTCTTTTCTTCTTGTGACGACATCATTTTGGGAAGCCAAAATACTGGAGAAATAATTTAAAATTGGAATATCCAAACATTTTGATGATGTCTCCTTTCCAATCACATCGTTTGTGAGAATTTCAATAATATCCAAGCATTCCTTGCTGGGTTGGAAATATATTTTTGATGTACCCGATGGAATATCTTTTGATGAAGAATGTGATTGATGCTTGTCCTGATGATGTTGCTTATCTTGCTGTTGTTGACCCGATGATGGTGGTCGGTGTTGATTTGGTGTTGGAAAATCCTCATCATAGGAAGCATCTTTGGCTGTTGGTTGTTGTGGTGTTGCAGGCTTTTGAGTTTGACTCTTGTTTTTATTCGCGTTTGCTGCTTGCTTCTTCCGTTGTTGTTGTTGCAATGCCTCCTTTTCCTTCTTTTGTTGCTCCGCCAATAATCTCTTTTCTCGTTCGATCTTCTCTCGTTCCTCTTGTTGTTTCTTCTTTTCGGCTGCAACCAATTCTTCAAGGCTCACACCTCGGGAAGATGATGCTTTTTTAGGGGGCATTTTTTTTCGAAATCAATGCAAAATAAAATTCAATTTTGAATTTCCAATATCGTTGGAAAAGAAGGAAATGAAATGGACAGGTTGAAGGGGGGCACACATTGAATCAGATAGCGATTAATCTTCACTTGATCCATAAGACAGCCAAGGGAACATATGGGTATATGTATAATTAATGTTTTCATCATGTGACAACATTTATCGAACTAAAAAAAGTTGCAAGAAGGGATTCTCTGGCCAAATGTAGTGCGTCTTTGTGGTTTCTTTTTTATGTTCAATTTTGTTGTACAGATACAAAATAAATCCTCATTGGTTGTTAAAATATGTCAACCCATGTAAATCGGGTGTGGTATAGTGGTAGCATTCCAGACTGTCACTCTGGCGACCCGGGTTCAATTCCCGGCACTCGAGTAATATTTTTGTAGTACCTTCTTTTATTGCAAATCAGCTGGCTTTATGACCCTTAATACGAAAACTTGATCCCGAATCTTGATTCCCAAGGATCGGCTGGCTGCGTTACCTTGTGTGATGTACTTTTCGAATTTGTAATCATGATTTGAGCCGTTGTTAATAATAGAAAGCATAAAATCAATAACTTCTGTCACGCTATCATGCTCAATAGAAACGAGTAAACATGCTCTGTCCTTAGTGTCAATGTAAAATCGTGGCTTTTCTGGCAACTTTTCATTAAAGAAGTCCTTCCAATATCTATCATGTCAATAATATGTTTGATCGACGTTTGAAATTTCAACATTGCATTCAAACAATGTTCAATGCATGCAAAAAGAACCAAAAGAATAATACAGAAGCCACACATGTTGTTGATGAATTCCGATCATTGTCACTGTTGAATCTTACCTCACTCCTTTAGGTTTTATAATTCCAAAATATTGTGAAAACATTGCTGGTGGATCCAAAGATGAGTCAAACACCAAATATTGCTTCATTTGTAAACTCTTTTCACTGAAAATTTCCTTTTCATATTCCTGATTGATGATCTCTTTTTGGGTGAGAGGTTGTCTCGCAGAGGTGGATGGCATTTTTTTGAATGTTCGAGCCCACAAGATGACCGACGGTATGACTACTTGGAAACTCCATCGTTTAGAGAACAAGAGACTTGACAATATCAACCAGAATCTAAGCGATATGATTTTAAATCTAACCGAATTAACGAACACTGTGAAAGAGATAGTACAAAACCAAGAGAGAGAAACACAAGAACAAAAGAGAGATAGAGAGATATTGAATTCATCTCTTGACCATGAACCTTTAATTACTCCCAACCATCATAGAGAAGATGAACAACAACAACCAACTGAAAATACTTCTGAAAACACTTCTGGACAACTCTTTTCAACTTATAAGAATGAACCAAGAAAGAAATCACATCCAAACAAACGCAAATGCAGACACTCCAAATGACCGTATCAAAAAAACACTGTTCTTTTAGGACAAGTCATAAGCTGTCACTTTGGTAGAACAGCAGGCTACACAAATAACCAATTTTTTTGAATGTTTGATGTGAAATGTTTTGATGACGGTAATAGAGATTGCATTTCCATAAAGGTTCAAAATTCAATTTCATGAATCAGAAACAGTTCGAATTGGTCCATATACTTTGGATAATGATGTATCATCTTGCTCTCTTCGAGTTTATTAAGTGGATTAAATGATTCAGTGGTTGCATACATTCACATGTGGATCATCCAAAGAACACTGTTTCAGAAATTGATTGGAAAATAAAAATTGTCAATCGTTGTTGTTGCGTAAAAAAAATGTACAATCCGTTCAAACCTATCACAAACTTCTTCTATCGTGAATTCTTTGGACCAAACACCAAGAAAGTCGAAAAGAACTGGGAATCCATCAAACGTGCTATTGAATGGTCTGCCGTTATTTATATTATTTATTTGGCCAGTGAACCAATTAATCCAGAATTGTACGAACTTAAGAAGTATTTAGAACAATCCGAAAGATATGTGGGCATGCAATTGAGTAATGTTGTGAACCAAGAGTTTGAAAAGATTGAAATGGAAAATCGTGCAATGGGATCCTAAAGCTTGCGTGCGTGCAACATGATGATTCCGAGATTTTATTAATTATAATTAACTCATCATCCAATGATGGTGCTCGAATAATTCCAATTTTCTTTACCTCTCTCTTCAATGTTCCTAATCAATATAGATTCATCCACTCTATATTGAGTCAGCGGACATTGTTCTCGTCCTTCCTTCTTCTTTTCCACCATACACACAATAATCATAAATTGTTAAACCTAATTCTATGCACTGAAAATATTACATCATTTGTTCAATCATCATCTTGATCCCTATTTCTTCTCCTCTCTCAATTCCATGATGATGATGAGTAACCCAACACAAGAAATCATCATCATCGAATTGAATAGTTTTGTGTACTGTAGTCCTAGTGCAGCACTTCTTCAATTTCAATCTTCACCAAAGCAAAAAAGCCTTCATCAAAAAATATTCTCAAAATCGAAGCAACGGTTGTTGTTGAGAAACCAAACGGAAACCACTTTTTCATCATCAATACCTATTGTCCATCATCATCATGTCTGTTTTTGTTGGCAATTTATCTTTCCAAACCAAATGGTGGACATTGAAAGATCACTTTAAACAAGTTGGAGAGGTTGTTCATGTGGACATCTTTACCGTTCCTGGTAAGCCTCATCTCTCAAGCGGATGTGGTCTTGTTCAATTCAAGAATCAACAAGATGCCGACAATGCATTAACTCTAGACAACACTGAATTGGATGGAAGAGTCATCAGAGTGAAGAAGGATGAATTTTCTCCTCGCGGAAGACAAGTCTTTGTTGGTAATCTTAACTTCCGTACCACTTCTCAAACCTTGAAAGAAGCTTTCGAGAAGGCTGTTGGTCCTGTTGAGAAGGCTGTTGTAGCTCGTGATCCAAAGCAACATACTCGCTCTCTTGGACATGGAATTGTGAGATTTGCTACTCCTGAGCTTGCTGAGAAGGCCGTTGAATTGATGAATGATAAAGAGTTGGATGGCAGAACTGTTCTCGTCAAGATGGATGATAGATGTTAGAGAAATTGCGGCTGACTTGTCCTACTTCTGATTCCTTTCATAAGTGAGATTTAGAGTTCTTAAAGAGAGGTTGGAGAATTCTAAGCGTTATAGTCGAATTGAATACTACTACTACTCTGTAACTCTTTCAACGGAAGAGAATGTTACTATAACAACATCAACAACCTTATCCAATGAATGGACCTCGTGTACATGTTAGTGCCTCTATAAATTTTACTTTTAATTCGAAACGTTTTTGCGAATATTCAATATATCCGGTACAATTCTTACAAAATTAATGATTCCATAACAAGACCATGACCAGCAACTATTACAAACAAATTTAATCACAAGTTTCATTTTGTAACCTTAATTTGGTAAATAAGGTTGTGATCAATACACAGCAATTTAGGACACAAAAAATGCCAACCTGCAACAACTGCAGGTGTCCAAGTAAAAATGCCTTGTTTTTGAGTGGGACAAGCGATTGGCAATTTCAGCAAGTGCAGTCCTCTTAAATTGTTGTGATTTTAACCCTTAATTATAAATGTGTCCTAAGAGGATCATTCTTCTACGAGAAATAATGGAGCATGACGAATGAATATGCCCAATTGCGCAGTAGGATTGACAGTGTTCCAAACAAGTAATCCCACAACATCATCATTTGACCATGAAACGAAGGCAATGATGGTACTCTCAAAGACATCTCCATAGATGGCATCCAACACGCCACGAGGAGAGTTGTTTTCATGATGTTGCTTATGAAGGAGTGCATAGAGGAAATAAAGGGATGTGCAAGTTCGATGAAAGATGTAAACCAATAAATCGTACAACACGATCATGAGCAAGACACTGGAGAGAACGGAGAGGACATATTGGCAGGAATGTTTCCATGTGGTGGTTGTTGGGTTCGTCAACAACGTCGATTCTGAGAGTTCTTGTTGTTGTTGTAATTCTTGTTGTAAGGAACCATGAAGGCGGAAATGACAATTCCAAAAGTCATAATCCAATACATGAAAGAAAGCCAGAGAAATGATCAATCCCTGGCCAGCTCCCCTAAAAAAAACAACTGTCAAAAGTCATTCCATCAGGTTCATCACTGACACAGATATTAAGGTTCTCTTTATGAAGATTATGTGATTATCAAAAAGACTTTCATCATTCCCTTCTCCACGAAAACCAATAGCAAGAAAATGAATTGAAATATATACCTTCTAGACAACTTGTATGTCATTTCGGAGATTCTTTGAACTTTTTGATTATCAAGTGCTTCATCTCACTGAATTTTATTTTGAATCTTTGCAAAGTTTTTTTGGCAAATTTTGAAACCGTCTCTCTTCTTGTTTGTTAACATATTTACAAAAATTTGCATTCCTTGAATGCATCATCATCAACAACAACCTTGTGTGATTGTTTTGTCCATCGTTGTCATCCCTCATTCACTTGTCTTTACATCTTTTCACTTCGATGGTGCGTTCATTGTGGAGATTCAAGACTGATTTAGATCCATTTTGCATGGTGTTTGGATCAGACAATTTCAATGTTCCAAATAGATAATCCCACAACATGATATGTTCAGAGAAATTCACACGAAAATGTAAATGATGAGATGTATGAAAACGGTAATTGTACAAAAATGGAATTTCCACACAATGCCCCGAATGATTCACTTGAACCAAAAAACTAATAAGAAACAAAAAAATCACAACCGAACTGATCGGAAATTCAAACAACATCATTTGTCCACTCGCACACAATGCCACAATCAAACTCTCCAACGAATCTCCATATATGGCATCCAACACCCCACGCGGAGCACAATTCTCATGATGTTGTTGATGAAAGAAACGATACATGAATTTAAAGGCATGACACGATCGATGAAAAACATAGACACATAAATCATAGAGAATTAACATGAACAAGACACACATGAGAACTTTTCCCACATACCACACACGATCCCAATTCGAATGCATTTCAAAGAGATTGAATTCATAGAGAGAGCCATGAGAACGACTCCATGCAATGCATCCACTGGTCAATACAGAGGCCATACTATGATTCAACACAAAGGAAAGCCAAAGACTTTTCGTCGGTTTGTTTTGAACGTGAGGAGCATATTCAATGCGAGGCCAAAAGGAACTAAAGAGTTGAGCCAAGAGAGAGATGAACATGGAAGTGAGAGTTAAGAGAGAGGGAACGAGAGTCCAATACAAGAGAGTTGATCCTGGTTGTTGTTCTTGTTGTTGTTGTTGTTCATTGGTGAGAGCCACAGAGTCTTTATGGTCCAGTGGTGAAGAGAAAAGTTGATCGATTGGTAGAAAGTGGTTGAGGAGATGAAGAATTGAATTCGTCATTTGGTTTCCAAATGTTGTTGAGTTATGGAGATGATGTGCTATTAGGAGTGGAGGATTGTGAACGTTTTTTTGAATTGTTCAATGAATAGGTTATATGAATTATTTTGAATGAATATTTAAAATTCGCGTGGAGGTGTTTTTTTGTGAATTGGGATCAGTGGTGGTGGTGTGTATGCGAGGGAGTTCACGACGCAAATCATCATTGGGATCTTTGAAATCGATGGTTGTTGAACTGACTTGCATTGTGAAACCAAACCGGAAGGTTTCCTTGTCAAGTGACGTGGTATTTCAGAATTTTGGAAAGATGTGGATGTTAAATGTGTTGTCAAACCATATTGGTTCCTCGCAAATTGGTTCAATATGACTAGAATCGATTTAAGGAAAGAGATGTGAGATGGGCTCTGCGGTCATTTGGGAAATCATGAAAGGCATACCTGTCGAATTTGTTTGGAAAAATTCAAGCGTTTGGTGACAGTTTGGTCGCGCAATGAATTTGGCGTGAGATTTCGCCAATCACTCCAAAAGTGTGAGAAAAAGTGTTTATTATTACGAATAATAATATTTGAATGAATAATTACAAGTGTTTCACTTCACACAGGTCCATTATGATGAGAATTATTGTTCTTGTGGTTCAACAGGCTTCTTATTCCAATCAAACTTCTCACCAGTAATTCTCTCATAGATATCAACAATGTCAACAGCACATGATTCAAAGTGAGTAGTGGCATCATAGGATTTAGAAATGAAAACACCATCCTTCTTTCCGTCCTCTAATGGAGCATAAGTGTCGAGAATGTAAACAAACTTCTCATCAATTGGGTTCAAAAGATCGAGAACAACTTTAACTTCGTTCTCTGGATTGTCTGACTCAACTGTTGTAGAAACAATGGCAATATATTTGCCATTTGGAGCAACGTGGTGAGTGAATGATGTCACACAACAATAAATATCATGCTTTCTTCCAGTTTGCTTTTGTGGGAAAATAATTTGTGAAGACTTGGCATTCTCAGTGCTCTTCACAGGATGAGAAAGAATGCAAATGACACGAATAACCTTTCCAGTCTTGCGAACCTTCTCAGGGAAGTAGCTTGGATCTCCGACAACCATCTTACATTTAGCAACTTCACCTCCCGATTCAACACCAACAACATGACCATTGTCATCGTAGACAATTCGATCAACCTTCTTATCCAACATGTATGTACCTCCATAGACAGCACACAAACGAGCAAAAACTTGTGGCAATTCACCCAAACCATACATTGGATAAACGTATGGAGACTTTCCGTACATATTGAGTGAATCTTCGTACAATCTCATTCTCTCAATAACTTCAAGAGCAGGAACAGTAGTCATGTAGGAATCATCTGTGTACAAGGCAACAGCATGTCCCAAAAAGTCAGTAGTGTCCTCACTCACACCATAATACTTGTAGATCTTATCCATCGTGTCTTTGGAACAATCAAACCCTTGATGAGTCTTTGGATTGTTTTGATCATAATCGTACAAATAGGAAACAAGCTTTTTAGCCTTCAATTTCTCAAAGAAGCCCAACAAGGGTGTTTTAGCAACTTCGGTTGGAGTAATTGGCACCTTGTGGATTTCTCCCTTGTGATAGACAAAGCTTCCTTCCACCAAAGCAAATTCCATATTATAACGAGTAACACCAGTCATTCTCAAGATCTTTACGAGTTTACCATTGGCCATCAAGAATTTTGGAATTAAATCAATATTATAATCTCTGCTACGACCGAGAGAGGCAGGAGGCTTGGCATCTTGTCCTCTAAACTTTTCAAACATTTGATCCAGGTTGAGAGAAGCAGATTCACCTCCATAGTAAGGGTTACGATCCATGTGGAGGACCTTCTTACCACTCACGGAGAGAAGACCTGAAATTACACATTCGGTTAAACCAGTACCTAAAACGACCACATCATATTCTTCATTCATTTCTGCTGCTGTTGTTGTTGGGCTGTTTGTGAGAGAGTGAGCAAGCGAACGAGGCTGATGATGAAAATTTTAGATTTTTTTAAAAAATATTTTTTTTTGAAGGCAACAGAAAAATTGTCTGACGTGTGATAACCTTGATGACGCTCCTCGAAGTAACTCGAAAAAACCCAAAGCATCGTTTTGGAGCTCAATTTAATCAAAGCGAATTGACACGTCTTCAAAAGCTCTTTCGAAGGTGTTGTGTGAAACAGTTTGATCTCCTTGTACACAAACATTCAATTTTGGATCAAAATCACATTAATGCACCTAGTCCTAACATTCTATAAACCAATGTATTTCTAAATTCCATTCAATTTATCCTGGTATGTTTGAAAAGTCCTCTTGCTGTGTGAAAAAAAGATGCACGACGACAGTCTATAATGCACAAGCTGCTCATTGCTGAAATTCCTTTCGGATCACAATGTGGCAACACATTTTGATGACGAACACGTTTCTTCAAAGGGACTCCCACTATTTTGAAGATAGTGAATTGTGAATAGAAATTCAAAATTTTGCCTCTGCTCCATTATTCGATTTTGAAAACCAGGGTGAAAGAGGCATGGACTCGTAGTCGAGTACTCGTATTGAACAGGTCATCAAAGACATTCCATTATTGCCTGAGAATGAAATTTTAAGGAAAGAAAACAACAATAAAAGATGGGCTCCATATGTGTTTATGTTATTTAGCAGCATGGTGATGTTATATAATTAGAGAATTGGAATAGCAAACAGACTCGTCATAATTTTGAAACGCATACTTCATGTAAAGAGTATTTAAATTATACATTCTTAATGTACATTATCATGTATTAATCCATTTACAACTCAGAGAATGCTTGATCCATCACTTGGAGGGCAAATTCAACATCAGCCTTAGTAATATTCATTGGTGGCTTAATTCTGAAAACATTTCCGTACAATCCTCCCTTACCAAGCAACAATCCCAAATCTTTACATCTTTCAAAGACTTTGGCAGTTTCTTCCTTAGCTGGTTCAAGAGTAGTTCTGTCCTTGACAAGTTCCATACCCAACATCAGACCCTTTCCTCTCACGTCACCAATAATTGGATACTTTTGTTGGAGCTTTCTAAAGCCATCTAATAAAAGGTTACCCATATCCAATGAATTCTTTTGGAGATTCTCCTTGTCAATAACACGGAGCACAGCACGTCCAATAGCGCTCGAAACTGGATTACCACCATAAGTGTTGAAGTGAATCTTTTGAGCAACAGTCTTGGCAATTTCTGGAGTAGTAACAACAGCAGCCAATGGAGTACCGTTACCAATACCCTTAGCCATAGTGACGATATCAGGCATGACACCTTCAGTTTGGAATCCCCAGTAGTGAGTACCAGTTCTTCCGAAACCAGTTTGAACTTCATCAGCAATACAAACACCACCATGCTTTCTGACAGTCTCATAGACAAGCTTCAAATAACCCTCTGGCATGTCAACAGTACCACCAACTCCTTGAATAGGTTCACTGATCCAACCAGCAATGACACCTGGTGTGCATTGTTCAATAACATTCTTAACATCCCAATGATACTTTTCAGCAGCCTTAGGATCATCACGCTTGTATGGACCACGATAGAGATTTGGTGTCAAGACATGCTTGACTCCTTCTCCTTGAGGAACTGGGAATTTCCAAGTAGACAAGGAAGTAACACCCATGGTACCATAACTCATGCCGTGATAGCAGTTTCTCAAAGCCAAAATGTCATGATTCTTGGTGTAGAGACGAGCCATCAACAAGGCCAAATCGTTGGCCTCACTTCCAGAGTTCACAAAATAGGTAACCTTGAGATTACCGGGCATTTTGTCTGCCAATTCCTTACCGAATTGAGCAATTTCTGGATTGTAGTAAATGTTGGTGGTGTGCATGAGCTTTTTCATTTGCTCCGTGCCAGCCTTGACAATTTCCTCATGGCAGTGTCCAACAGAGATGGTAACTAGATGGATCATTTGGACAATATAGGATCATGGCATCATGATTTTCGAAATAATTCGTGGAACAGGGAAATGATGATATCATTTGTGGTATAATGTTACATCATCGCAAGCAAGGAAATGCATGTGAAAATGATTCACACACAAATACATCCATCATGAGATTAAACATTTGTATATTCAATCGTGGAATATCCCAGCAGCAGAGAGTCCAAGTTTACAATGCAGTGAAATTTTTTAGCGGAGTCGTCATCATCATGCATGACAGGATCATCACGAAAGAGAAATTTTACCAAAATATTTCATTCGTGAATCATCCAGCAATGATATCCATATTTACAATAGAAAGGCACCATGAATGGCATTCAAAGAATCATCACGAGGACAATTATTTGCGAGCATTCAGTGAATATATCAGCAATACAAAACATTTAAATAATTCGAGATTTCATAGGGAGGAGTGAGTAGTGGAACAAGATCAACAGCCATACATTTCATGATCAAACACACAATCATCATCATAGTAGATCAAATCATGATCAGAATGAACATAATAATGAATCGTCAAGGAATAGTCTCTCTGATACTTACCAATACCTCCAAAGAAATCCAAATATCTCTTTCCCTTCTCATCAAACACGTATTGCTTCTTGCCCTCCACAATCATCACAGGCTTTTGATAATAAGTCAAAAGTCCAGGAGAAAGATAGGTCTTTCTCAATCTCTCAACTTCTTCAAAGGATGGTCCAGTATAGGGTTGAGGCTTGTAATCAAAAGGAGGAAGATTAGGAGCTGATTGAGTAGATGCCAGGGTAGAGAATGATCTGCTTGCAACACATGATGATGATGCAGCCTTTTGCTTGATCAATTGGCTTGATTGGGAGAAGACTTTTTTCATTTCCAAAAGGTGGGAATCAAGTGATTTTTTTTTGATGCTTGAAATTGGAAATTTTGTAATGACGTGGTCCTTCTTTTGAAACTGCTCAACGACTTCGCAACAGGACGACAACCTTATTGGAAGATCTCTTTCGTTGGCATGGAAAAGAAGAATAACACAAGGATAGCCAGTTCATTACACCAATGTGTGTAATTGTGTGGACTTTACAACTTCATTTATACTCTTGGTGATGATGCTCTTGGAAAGTGAGGGATGGACCAGGACTTGCTGTCAAACCTAATACAGTACCAAATTGTCATTTTGCATTGGATATTCACGCTCAGTCCTTTTTTTGAACAAATGCGCCTGAACAGTAAACCAAACCCAATCATTGACACTGTCACTTGTCAAAAAGAAAGAAAAAAATTGCTAAAGAACGACAACAACAATAACGGTTTTTGCTGCATTCTTGAAATCTCTTTCTTCCCTTGCACTTTGAGAACGAGTTGAACCACCATCAGGCCGTGCCATAATTGTCGTTAACTGGGTTTCATCATCCTCACCATCTTCATCATTCATACAATTCTGTCATCTTCGATATTCATTCAATTTCACTGCCTTTCATTCCAGTTCCTTATTTTACATTATTGAAAATCTCTCAAAATCATCATCACCTTGATCATCAACAACAATTACATTCACAACAACAACTCTTTGAAATGGGAAACAAACTTCAAGTCGATTCTCCAACCTTCCCGGACTCATCTTGTCCTTCGTCCCTTTTCATCGATCCAGAAAAACGTCGTTCTACCAATTCAGCCACCGCACTCTATCCTTCATCTCCAACCAAAACTAAACCTGGATCTCCCGTCTCGTTGAAGGATTCTGAATCGACATTCATCTCTTCGGCTTCCATGCTCGCCATGAATCCTTCGTCGCCATTGGTCATGAGACGACTTTCGAAAAAATCGACAGATTCTTTACCTCCTCAGTCATCACCGCCCATATTTAATGATTCAATTTTTGATAGCAAGTATCATGAACTCACTGATGAAGGAAGTGTGAACACTTCAGCAAATGAATTGTCAGAGAGAAAGATGAATGTCATCTTGTTGGGTATGTTTTTGTTAAACATCGGTGAAAAATTTTGAAATAATTGAGAGGAATGTCATGATGATCATTCATCGATGTTAATATCCATTGAATTTTTGGGTTAACGACATCATTACCCTCACATACATTCATGTGAATATTGTGAACCTGTCATTTGATGTGTCTTCCAAATGATGAAATTATCTTAGGATGTGGAGGAAGTGCCAAAACAACGATTTTTAAACAATTGAAATGTAAGTGTCGTGTGGTTTCTAATGACTTTTCAAAATTTATAATTTTATTCTCATCGTGGTGATGATTGTGACTGCGTTAATGACATGGTCAGTGCTTGGAAAAAGAAGAGGAGAGTTATTGCAATCCTTTTGGCAAGAAGGCATCATTGCTCCATGCTTTGACACTCTTATTTCAATATTTAATAGAAAAAATTTGTATTACCCAAATGCAGAATATAAAAGTGCAGAATCTGAGGAGACTGAACAATCCGTGTTTGACATGTTTGACACTAAGGGAATATTAAATGTCACTCACTCATCGAATGGAAAATTGATTCAACAAATTGTGGACATGTGGGATCATGAACCAATCTTGAAAAAGGTCTATACGGAAATGCTTTTAGATAATCAAGTAGAATCTGTTGCAGTGGAGGATATTAATTATTACTTTTCTAGAGCTATCAAAGTACACAAAGGAGATAAGGCAACAGATAAGGATTTGTTAATTTCTCAACGTAAAACAACTGGTGTGACACATGTAGAGTTTCGTTTCGGTGGAGGAAATACGGTTGCAAATGTTTGGGATTGTGGCGGCCAGAAGAATGAAAGAAAAAAGTGGCCCAAAATGCTGCGAGGTAAGTTTTGTGTGAATATCAATCGTCCCGAGTCATTTCATTCATCATTATTTGTTCTTTTCTAAAAATTGAATTCACAAATTGAATTCATATTATTATATATAATTAATTTAATATTTTCTATTGCCCCTTCAACTCACCACAGAGGCTGAAAAATTGGGTGGAAAGATATTCTTTGTTTTCTGCGTAGCTCTTTCAGAATATAATCAACTTTGTTACGAAGATGACACCACCAACAGAACTACAGAATCTCTCTCAATTTTTGAAACCATTGTAAATTCTCCACAGTACAACACTCATCCCATCTTTCTCGTATTTACCAAAAAGGATATTTTCAAACAAAAATTAAGATATACCAATCTCTCTGTTTGTTTTTCGGATTGCCCAGACGACTTGAAACATGATGAAGATACTTCCAATATTAAGAGAGATTTGATTCAAAATTGGACTGGTTTTCTTGAAGATCGCCGAACTGTCTCCGATGAAATCTACCAAAAATCTCTCAATTTTATGAAAGAGAAATTCCTATCGAAAGTGCAAGATCCCACTCGTCGAAAAACCATCGAGAAATACATTAAGGTTATTAATGCAATGGATGCCGATGATATTAAACAAGAGTTAGTTGAGAATCTCTTTGAACAGGCCATGCTTGAATTGACGTATCAAGACGATATGATTCATTTCATTTAAACACGATCGGAGGAGTGTCTTGTATTGTGGTTGTGTGGTCACATTGCTTTCAAAGCGATTCAATTATTTTCTGGGTTTTATATTTTGGCGCCAAAATAAACTACAAAAAAAAATTCAAACTCTTTCAACCCTCGATCGTCTTCGCCATCATCATGAAGTCAAGGTTAACCATATCGAGCGAGATGATGTAAGTACAGTGATCTTTATTGGACAGTTTTGAAGTGCCAATCATTGTCCTGAATCATCCATTTTTTGTATTCGGAATCAAGATGCTCCAATGGTTATGGAGGAAAGCGGATTCATGTGGTTGACAATGAAACAATTGCTTTTATTTGTGGAAGAGGACTACGGTTTATTAACTTGGAAACAAAGGAAGAGAATTTCTTTTTACCAGACATTTATATTGATGAACCTGTGGTGGCTCAAAACAACAATTCTTTCATTGATGACTTGGAAAATGCCGAAGAGGTAACACAACGAAAATTATACTTGACTGCTGGAGTGTGCACAGCAGCTTTCAATAGAAAGAAAGGAGTATTTGCAATTGCTGACAGCTATTCAAATCCAAAAATTCGAATATACAATTCAAAAACCTTTGAGTTGTTAAGGATTCTCTCAGGAGGAGGAATTATTGAATTTTTCGATTTAGATTTTTCAAGAGATGGCTCTTTTTTAGCATCTCTTAGTGGAATCCCTGATCATTCCTTAAAGATTTGGGATTGGGAAAGAGGAATAGTGTAAGTTAAATTTGCTTCTTCTTGAATTTATCTTCGTATCACTTTAATAGAATTGCTGAAACGAAAGCCCCCAATACAAGTAAATTTGCCAACTTCAATCCAAGAAACAAAATGCAGCTTTGTACAAGCGGTATAGCCCATCTTGCTTTTTGGGAAATCAATTCTACTATTGATAGCTATGAACTGCATGCTCTGTAAGTTTCAACACACACAGAAATTATTCTTGACTCTTAGTTTCATGATGTGCAATTCAACAGAGAACCTAAGGTATCGGAAAATGTTTATGAAAAAATTAAAACAACAGAAAAATACAGACATGGCTGGGGCAAAAATAATGATATTCTTTGTGTCACCAGTGATGGAGATTTCCTTCATTTCGAAAATTTCAATTCTAATGGTGTAATACTGGATTTGGATGATTCAAAAGATTCAATGCACGATATTGCCGTTTGTAAACACTCATGTATTATTGGATTATCGGATGGCAATGTTAAAATTGTCGGAATGTCTCATGTTATAAATTCAACAGGAAACTACGAAGGAACGGCATCAAGAATAATTAATTTAGGGCACAGAGTGGGAGATGTCATCAATGTCACTCTCTCTGGAAACTTTAAATATATTTTAGCGGGTACTTCTGATGGAGGTCTTTTCAGAATCTATATCAAAGGGTTTGAAACAGAATTTACAACAGAATTTGAAATTATGAAGAATGAAGTGAACATCACACTGGTATGTTTTGCATTGATTCGAGACACATAATTTTACCAAACATCATTATCATCATCAACAGCTTTATGATTCTCATGTTGGATCTGTTTCTGGTGTATTTCAAGTTGAACCAAAAAAGATCGATTCTGAGGAAGACAAGACAATTTTGACTTCTGTAGGAATGGATGGTACAGTTAGAGTTTGGAATTATAAGAGAAATATTTTACTGGCAAAACGAAGATTTAATGCTCTATTTTCGTGTGCTGAATATTCCAACGGATTGCTTTTTGTAGGATCAACGGTTGGATTTTTACGAATTTTTGAGTTCGATGACAAGTATCAACCGGTTCTCATCTATTGTCAACGCTTGAGGACAGCCTCAATTACTGGTATCAAAGTTGGAGGACCAGGGGACTCGATGGTTGCCATTTCGTTCTCCGACTTTCATCTTGGTTTTGTTTATTTAAGGACTAGAAATACAGCATTGGATGACAAAAACAGTGAAGACATGGTCGATATTGACACTTCATTAGAAGATGACGATGAAGAAATTTCTGTGCTTGGATTTTGTAAATTTAGCAACAAAATTGCAACTCTCTCATGGGCTTCAAAGAATGGCCTCTACGTAGCGACAGATATTGGAGATTTGTACATGGTTGAACCTCCAACATCTTTCGAAGAAGTTATTCTCCTTAACAACATTACTAAGGATTTATGGAAGTTAGATTATCCTTGCTACGGAATTTCCACTTTTAGCGAGTAGGTTTTTAAAATATAACTTTTGTATTTTACTAATAGCTCCACCAATTAGTGATCCATATCATATTTATGCAATCTCTCAAGATAAATCGATCAAAATTTATGATTTAAACTTGGAGGATAGGCAATCTGGAATCAGTAATAATGTTATCACGCCAAGTAGTGAGGTATTGTGTCACCACAAAGTGGGAGAATGCATCAAACAAAGCCCGGATGGCACTATTTTATGTACAGGGGCCAAAGATGGAGTGGTTTGGATACGAGTTGCCCAAACCAATTTCTACGAACAAACAGATGATGACCATATAGCCCAAATGCACCCATTCCACAACTCGTACGACGGAGGCATTTCTTGTGTTAGCTTCTCAAGTGATGGAAATTACATTTTCTCTTCTGGTTATGATGGTTCTATCTATGTGTATTGCTTAGATCCTTCAGAGAACATAACAAAAACTACGTTTATGTCTGTAACCCCAAAGAGTTCATCAAAAGACAAATGTGATCCTATACCGGAATCTGCAGATGCTAAAACCATTTTAGAGCTGAAAACAGAAAGCCAAAACAAGCTGGAAAACATGATGAAAGAAACCAAAAAGGAACAGTTTAATTCCCAACTCGAGGATCTTAGAAAAATGTTTATTGCAATCAAAGAAGAGAATGACATTGCTAATGAGGATGAAAGGCTTTCTGAAAGCGAGTTTATTATTGATGACGAATTTAAAAAATTATTAGAAAAAGAAGGAGAAAAAGAAGCTGAAAAGTTGAAAGAATGCATGAAAATTGAAAATGCCAAAAAGGACATTATGGCAAAAAGGATTAAAAAGGAATGCTGGGATTCTATGGAAGAGCATGCAACATCGATTGTTGCTTTCAAAATGACTTCTGACTATCAAAAGGACAGCAGTCTTCTTGAAGTCTCCAATTATGTGATTCGAAAGAAGGACCCAAGGAAAGAGGTTATTCTAGGAAAAATTGCGTTTCTGAGAAGAGTTGAAGAAATCAACCTTTGCGAAAGAAGAAAAGAATACATCACATCCAATATCGAGGGTGGTATTCATAATGAGGATGATGAAACAGAGCCAATCAAACGAGCTGATTCACGTGTCATTGAGAACGGAGAATCAAAAGCAGAAGAGAGCGAAAATTTACTTGACTTTGGTAAGAAGTGGAAAGAAAGTATTAGAAGCAAGCTTATATTGGATATGAATGCGCTTTTGTATCCCTACACGGACCTCTATACTCGGCAAAGAAAGGCAACACAAATTCTTCTCTTACAAGATAAGATTGACAAAATGATGAAACAGTTCAACTCTGAATTCAAGACTGCTCGTGACGAAAAGCTTCAAGTCATAAGAAAAATTGAAAGAATTAACGAAGTCATCAACGACATTGCTAAAGAGCTTTCAAGATGTTCTGAAACTCCAGTTAAAATTGAAATATTCGATCCTAAACTCAAGCCGTCAGAAAAACCTGAACAATATATTTTACAAGTGAGTGAAGAGGAATTACCAGCAAAATATGAATCTTCAGAATTCTCCAAACAGTCAGACAAGAAAAAAGATCAAAGCAGCAGAGTTCATGATAAGGAAGTGATACAAAGAGCTTTGAACATGATGATGGATGGTAAATTAGATTTGGATAATACCGATGTTAAGGAAGAAGAAATCCCTGTTCCTTCTTGCATCAACAAGGAAAAATCTGAATTATCAGATCAAGAATTGAAGGAATTGAGAGTGTATGAATCTCTTCTCAAGCAAAGGGAAGAAGAAAGAATTAAGAAGGTGAAACAACTTGAAGCTAAACTCAACAACTCAAAACAACAGATTGAGGATGTGTGTCAAGAGTTTGACAACAGTCTTAAACTTCTATTCTTGAAAAAAGCAAGCAAGTGATCAAGCATTATATGAGATTGAACTACAAATGGTAAAACTCGCCCAGTCCATCATTCAGCACGAAGAGTTTGAAAAAGCAGAAAAACAACTCGAAAAAATTCTTGAGGATCTCAAAAACAAAAAAGCGCAATCATCAAGCGCTTTGCAAGAGTTTAGAAAGAGATATGAAATTGAAAAAACTGAACATGACAAGCTCTTAATTGAGGATCGACAAATTGAAAGAAGTTTCAAGACACAATTCCAAAGAGACGTTCTCCAAGTGTATTTTGCTTCAAATCAGCAATTACTGGCCCAACAATACAAGAAACTCGCACAACAAAAAAATCCGTCAGCAACTGGTGATCTGCAAAAACTGCAACATGCCATGAATATGAAAATGAATGAAATGATGGAAAAGCTACAAAAACTCTTTAGAACTCGCAAGCCTCAGGGAACCACTGAAAACACCGAAAACAGTGCCACCGAGAGCATTGACCCATTTGCTGATGTCGATGCAATGGAAGAAGCAAAGAATATTCCTCCACAAGATCCTCTTGAAAAAGAAAAGTCCAGACCTATCTTTATTGCTGATGATGAGTTGTGGGAAAAGTTTTGGGAAATTAGGGAGGCCAAAGTGGAAATGGACATGAATGTGAGAGAATCTCAATTAAGGTTGGAGCAAATGCAAGCACAATTACAAAAACTTAAAGAAGAGGATGCTGAGCTTGAAAAGGTTATGAGTAGAGACATGACTGAACTTACCGAGTTCCGAGATCGAATTGTGACAGAATCCTACAACATGGATAAGATATTTAGATTTAAGCAAGGACAAGTTGAAGTTGAGCAAGCTGCTGTAGTGACAGACTACTCAGACGCCATTCTCATTTTTAGATCCACTGTGGAGGACCAAAATCAAAATATTCGTCAACAAGGCCAAGAAATTGTCAAGCAGCTCACCAAGATGAAAGATCTCAAAAAGAAAATTCGAAAAATTCAGTGGGAGAATGATCTCATCAACTTTGACACTGAGGAGATGATGATCAAATTTAAGAGATTGCAAATGTTAAAAGTCAAGAAAGAAATGCAAGAGATTATTAGGATGGGTGGAGGAACAGAAGAAAAGAAGAAGATGGAAAGAGCCAAATTACAACGACAAATCGACAATGTAAAAACTGGATTAGAAAATGCCATTGAGGAAAAGAAGCGAATCCTCAAAAAGATGGAAGAACTCATGCACGTTCGTTATGAAGAGAACACCAATCTCATTCGACAAATTAAGATTCTAGAGCAAGTGGTTGAGGAGAGAAATCAACTCCACCAAATTCAAGCATCCACTAATGAAAAGGATATGGCTGACAAACGTATGAAAGAATTGAGATGGGAAAGAAAATTGCAAGACATTGCCAATGAGCAGAAACGAGAGTTAGAAATTCTAACAGAAGAACTCGATCGATTGAAGAAGAGATCATTCCCAAGTTTTGCTGTTGTCGAGAGAAGGAAAATGTAAATAAATTATTTCCAAAACTTATTGTATTGAAAAAGCTATATAATTGTTGCAACACATGATGTTCTGTGTAGTAAAATTTTGAATTGAAGCTTTCTTCACGGTCACTACTGTCGTTATTTGCCTTCTGGTGCGACGTTGAGCGAGATTGATTCTGTGTCAACATTTGGATTGGAATGAAAATAATACTAGCATAATCATCATTAATTCATAATTTAGATTATTGACAAATATATATTTTCTGTTATTAATTTCCACATTGTCAATGATGGGATTAATCTTCGTCATCTGTTAATTCTCCTCTTTCCCTTCTTCTATCCTCTTCAAACCTCTGCTCAATATAATCCGATGGAATATCTCCAGCATTTCCTCTATAAAACTCTGCTTTTAAAACCATTCGTTGCAGTAATGAATGATCCTTCTCTTTTAGTTTTAGTTTTTCTTCAAATAAGCAACGTTGATAATCTCTTCGTTCGGGAATGATACACCGATTATAACTCTTTTGTTGAACACACTGTTGAAATTGTTCCATTTTGGGTTTACATGCTTCCGCAATTTGTTTTTCAATTTCGGGATCATCCTCACTCCAATAAAACCGTTCCACAAAATTCATCTTCTTCTCGAGTAATTGTTTGTCGAGAGAAGAAGTTGAATTCATTGATGAGGTGTTTTGAGACATTTTTTATCTTCGAAACATTGAGTTTGGGCAATGAAGACGGTGCTGTCATGAACGCAGTACATGTCATGTTTTACTCAGTTTTAATTGGAATAAACTCTCTGCACACCAAACTAAACTTGGTGTTTTGGAAGCGATCATCATTCTTATCATTAGGGCAACTCAATAGCATCCAATTTCAAGAAACAGAAAAAAAATGTCCCCTTCACCCTTTACCCACCCTTTCATTCAGGTAAGTGCGTTGTTTACTAAACCAGATTGGAATTCCTCCTAAATATAAATATATATGCGCAATTTCTCTCCTTGTCTCCTTTTCAATAATCATGGATGATCCTTCTTGGCCAATGATGATGATTCCAATGGTTAGGTCATTATGCATTTGACCTCTCCCGTAACCTCCAATATATTTGTATTCTTTTCTTTCAAGGTAAATCATTGGGGGAAGATCAAAGCCGCTCTTCTCTCCTCCAAGTTGCTCCGAGCCAAACAACGCATGATGGGATCATCATCTTCAATGGCATCCTCAACTGTCGGTTCAACCACTCATCACTCAGCATCCAATCCATTGCCTACAAACAAGCAGCAATAAACTGCGTCTTCGTGGTGATGGGATCTTATCACCCGAAACAACCATTCAATTCTCTTGACGAGTCTCACATGGAACCGATGATAATAGTTGTATTTCACGCATCACCCAATCAACCACGATCGAATCGCCTTTTACAAAGAAAAACTATCGGTTGGAATTTTATGGCCGTTTCGGTACGGGTTCATTTCTCAAATTTGGAAATCATTATGCCATTATCCGCATTTCTTTTAAAAAAAAATGTTCAAAAGATCGCCTGTAGTAGCTGCACGACACCTTGTTCAGGGATTCAAAGCAAGCAGCAGTTGGAGGAGGAGTAGCAGCATCCTCTTTGGATCTCAGTTCACCACCGGCGTTGGGGCACCCTCTTCCTCTGTTGTTGTTTCTTGTGGTGGTTTTTCAAATAATACAACAAAAACAACCCCAAACACCATTTTGGTGTTGAATCGTGCGCTCGATCAAAGAAGAACATTTTCTTGGAGCTCATTCTTTGGTTTTGGAAAAGAAGCAACGGCTGCTGTTGCGGGTAGTAGTAGTAGTAACCCTCTCAGTTCTACCACCACTAACACTATGAACCTCTCGGTAGCTTCTCCCTTGAGTGGTAGTACCACTATGAATCGTTATCCATCATCCACAGAGTCGTCCACCACCACCACCACCACCACCACCAACAACAACATGACAACTGATTCAAATCCATTGCAATCACCACCTGTGGAAGAGGATCACTTCAATGGTCTTCAATTCATTCATGAGACTGCTGATTATGAGTATCGTGCCCCATTGACATTTGGAGAGGAACATGAGATGTTTCTGGGAGGTCATGTACCAAACTCAATGCCTCATATCAATGCCATTCAAGATTTTCTTCAATATCTGCATGATACAATCGGTAAGCAATATATTTCCATCATTGTGTCTTGATCAATGAATGAATGGAATTTACATTTACCTTTAACGGGTTGTGTTCATCCATCAATGCGTGCAACAGGTCTTCCTTGGTATGGAGCAATCATGGCATGTACCATTGTGTTTCGTTTGTTGGTCCTTCCTTTGAATATTTCATTGATTAGAAATAGTGCTCGTTTGGAAACTGTTCGTATTCATTTGAATGAACAAGCACAAATCATGTCAGATGCACATACATCTGAAGAGGAAAAGGTCAAGGCTGCAGAGGAATTTCAAAAAACATTGAAAGAGAAGGAGTGTCATCCTGCATTCAACATTCTTTCTCCTCTAGTTATGGCACCCATGTTTTTGTCAGTTTTCTTGAGCGTGGAAAGAATTTGTTTGCATGATCCAGGATGTCGAGGAGCTGGAGGAATTATGTAAGTGTTCCTTTTTGTGTTCTAATGACCATTTGTTAACATGTAATTTTTGACAGGTGGTTCCAAGTAAGTTTAAATTCTTTCATGAAGATGATAATATTCGCAATCATTCATTGGACACACGTATAGGATCTGAGCGCTATTGACCCAACCATGACGCTTCCAGTGATAAGCGCAGTCACATGGCTCATCACTGTAGAAATGGGAGCTGCAGAACCAAGGTTTGTTTCTTTCTCATGATTCTCTCATCATGAATCCTTTATGCTAAATGATGGCATATTCAATGAATTGTTCATACTTTTTAGAACGGAAACAATGAGACAAGTCAGAAGTGTCATGCGTTTTGTCACTGCAGTCATGGTCCCCATTACAGGAGCGTTACCATCTGGCGTATTTGTCTATTGGATCACATCTAATGTGTTTTCCATGATTCAAATTTACACCATGCGGATTCCAAGAGTTAGAAATTTCTTCAACATTCCAACTAAAGATGTCTCCAACAAGTATATCCAACATAATAGAGATATTTCCATGTAGAATAGTGTCTATTCCCTTTTTTTCAAGTTGGATTTAATAAAGATCATGAACCTGAAATCAACATAATAAATATTCAACGACAACCATGATCACATTACAGAAAATCGAGTTGGCGCCAAATCTGTTTTTTTATTCCCTTTAAAAAAAATGATGAGCCGCAACCGTCAAGCTCAACCACGTGGGGGATCGTTGCACTCAAATATTTCGTCTTTATCGGGAGGTTATGATCCACAATCTCTATTATCATCAAACAATGCAGGAAATTCTGATGATTTTTCCTTTAGGAATCGACCACATCACGATACAGCAGCATTCGGAACAAATTCAAAAACCAATAACAGTGTGTCTGGTACAGCAAATTCGCGGGCCAATTATTGGAACATTCATAATACAGTCCCGACGAGGAATAGCCCCAATAATTCTTTGAGAGGAGAGACACCTGTAACAATTTCAAGCTTAGAAAAAGAGAGACATTTAAAAAACTCAATTCAACCATCCTTGACAAAGGATGAAATGGCTGTTGAGCAAAGATTGGAACGAATTGAATCATATTTAAAAACAGGAACCTTTGTGGATCCTAAACATCATGAAATTGTTGACACATCTCGTGCAACGAAAGGAGATGACAATAATTTATATTCATTAATTGAGCCCTCGCTCAAACACAGTCCAATATCTAGAAAATCCACACTTTCCAAATCTCCCTCTGCAACAGAAAAGAAATCGCAAAAAACTCCCACAACCCCAATTCCAGATTTATTTTCAATTGGCTCTCTGCCCTTAGGCTCCTCTCCATCGAATAAGAGAAAAACAGAGAGTGCATTTACTGATCATTTATCATCTGTACAGGAAGCCAAGTCTTCACAACAGCGAACAAAGAAAAATCTGAGTGAGGAAAAAACAGGAACAAGCACCTCCAAAACACCCTCATTTCCATATCACAAAAAATTGGTTCGAGCTCAATCTACCGATTCTAATATAACAAAAGAAATGAAAATAGAGTTCGACGTACTTGATAGGAAAGGAAAATTTGTCATGAGCAGAGTTGAACCTCGAACATCTAATATTGAGATTGAATCTCAAACTGCTCGAACCTTACAGAAAAAGAAAGCTGATTTACGAAAGGTTCTCGAAGAAATTCAAGAGCATGTTTATTCTCCGTCTGCAGCATTGCATTCATTTAAGCAACATAGTTCAACAAGCTTAACCTCTAATTCGCCACCATTTACAAACATGCCTATCCTTAATAAGGACAGTATTCGTAATATATTTACTCAATCGATAAACATGACAAAACGAAATACCTCTGACATTGTATCCCCGACGAATCAACGAAACTTGAATAATCAGTTTATTGAAGCCACTGTCACCAGTTTTGCAAACAGTAATCATTCCTCAGAAGAAGCACAAAGAAAGCAAGAGAAACCAATTTCTTCCAAATTTGGAGAACAATATGAATTTGAATCCCTTGAGAGTTTGTTATTGAATGAATGTCCAGAACCTATAACTTCAGCAACCATGATTGCATTTCCTGCAAAACGAAAATTATGCTTATTTGGTGGAATGACCGAAAGTGGACCTACCAATGAAACATGGCTTTTTGAAATTGGGCTTCAGAAATGGATACGAGTGCAACCTTCACTTTCTTCTGAAACAAACAAGCAAACAACCAATGACACAATGAATGCAACATCACACCATTCGGTGAAACCTTCCAAAAGGTTTGGTCATTGTGCAGCTGTTTACGACTCTAATACCATGTACATGTTTGGTGGAGGAGATTTGGAAAGACGAATTCTTTATAATGATCTCTGGGTGTTTAAACCTGATCCTTTTCCTGTTTGGAAATGCATCAGTAATAGCACTCATCGTGGAAATGACGACAAGACCCCTCCAGGAATGCCATGTCCAAGAATTTATTGTGCTGGAGTTATGGCTGACGACTTGTTTTTTGTGCATGGAGGAGAAGGAGCAAATTTCAAACCCTTGAGCGATCTGTGTGTATTCAGTCGATCGAAAAATGAATGGATTCCCATTTTGAATAGTTTCCCAAGACCATCGGCACGTTTTTTACACACGGCGACCTTACTTGACCACCACAAATTGGTCATTATTGGTGGTAATAACAATACAGATGAAATGTCCGATACGGTATGGATCATGGATACTCGATCTTTGTATTGGAAAGAAGTCAAAACGAAAAATATAGGGCCATTTGTTAATGGTCCTCTTTATGGGCATACAGCATCTGTGTGGGGAAATAGGATTTTAGTTTTTGGAGGAGTTCATGGAAAATCTCGTCTTAATAATGAAAAAGTATGGCTTCTCGATGTCGACGCTAGCTATTGGGTGGATATTTCAGACAAGTGGCATGCATTTTCTGAATTACCAACCTCACGATTCAAACATGTGACAGCCTCTGACTTTTTCTCTCACATTACTTGCAACACCTATCGAGCAAATGCACGAGAGGAATTACTGGAGCTTTCCAAACATCAAATTTCACGATACTCTGAAAAAGCGGACTGCAGTCATTCCTACGATGTTGCACTTCTTCGAATGCCCACTGATACACACTTGCAAAAGATGACACGATTATACATTTTCGGAGGCATGCAAAACAACAAACGCCTTAATGAATTGTGGGAACTTTCATTGACCTTTTCTCCCATTTATCGAGCAAACTCAATGGGAAGAAGAAAGAGTGTGGTTTCGTATGACTGACAAGAGACATCAGCAACTTGTTAATTCATTCATGTTCATGTTTCACCTGCACGACAGGGTTCACCATCTCAAATTAGTATGCTCCTTCGTAGACGGAGGAATGTAGACACGTGTTGATGCTGCTGATGCTGCTGTTGTGGATGGAACGCGATGGAGAAAATGATCGAAATTTTGATTGAGTTAATCACTTTTGTGCTTTCGAACCAAAATGGAACCCAAGCGGCGGAGTTATTCAATTTTGATTAAAAAGAGAAATGAAAAAGCTCTCAAACAATCACAAAAACAAATCCAAAACAACAACAACCACTCGCTTGTTGTACTTGCCATTCTTGATTCCTATCCATTGAAATACTGATTTCATCCACTCTTCATGTTCTGTTTTCTTGCTGGAGTTGCATCGGGAGTGTACTTGTACAAGAATTACGATGTCGATCGCATGATTGCCGATCTCAAACCCAAATTTGCCTCCGATCATAAAGACAGTGTGTGGCAACGAATGAAGAGTTTCGAACAAAAGTATCGAAAGGAAAATGTTCTTTCATCATCATCAACAACGAACACAACCACCTCTACAACCAGTACTACTTCGAGTAGTAATGACTCTTCGTCCAAATAAGCCAAAATGACATTTCTGACCTATCGGTTCAGCTTCACTTGTAGTGTCTCTTCTTTTCCCCTAAATGGTTGATTGAAATCTTTCATTATTATTGTACATCACACTAGTAGTAAACATGATCGAAATTCTAATAATTAATACGACAATTTCGAAATGACATCCAGAATAGCCCTTTGCCTAATTACCAAAGAATAACCACAAGATTCTTCTTTGGGAGAACTAATTGTGGATAAAACTGTCTTTTTAGAGGAACAAGCAACAAAATTTTCTCCGATAATTAACAACCAAATGAAATCAAATTTTTTGCTGTGTGTTAGGATGGTGGATTTGTTCCGCCCCTTATTTAAACTAGGAATTGAACGCTATGCAGTGTTATGTAGTCGATGCAAATCTAATTTATTCACAAGACCTTTAATCTATATTAGACCCCTGGATTGCAAAAAAAAGTAGAGTACAACCACAACAACCATCAAAATCTACTTTTGCACGTAACATGCAATTCTTCTTATTGGTGATGACGTGACAGCATGCAACACGTGTCATGCAAAATGTTCGCTCATGACTCTACATGATATTGTTAACTATGAAATTAGTCCGAAGTGAGCATGACACGTATCAAGTTCGATGTAAGTTGGAAACCAGGTGTCGTAATATCGAATTTAAAAGCAGCTGAATTAGTTGCATGAACATATTCAAAAAAAACACAAATTTCAAAACAAATATATATCAACAACACTCAAATCTTGCTCTGAACTACTCAAAATGATCTGCTTCTTTGTTGGAATCATTCTTGGTATTTATCTTTGCAAATATTATGATCTCGAAAGAATCTTCTCAGACGTCAAATCAAACATTTTCAAGTGTGAGTGTGGATTTTGGCAATACTTCAGAAATGTCGAGAAAAAGTATAGAAAGAACAAGCAAGAAAGTAACAATACTATTGTTGCTTGCGAAACTAGTGTCACCATGCCAAACACTGATCAAAGCTCAGCTCCGACCTCTCAACAAATATATCCAACCTTTGCACTTGGTTCCAATGAAACACATGAAGGAGACACTCTCAAGGACAAGTAATCCTCATGTGGTAAGTTCCATTACAACGCAGTATTTGGAGGTACCAGCTCCAAATCATTGTAATTTTCGGGAATATTTTCAACTCTGTAGGATCATTCAATACCATTCACCATTAAGACTTGTGACAAGTGTGAAGTACTTGTTATTGTTTCATTGATGAATGTCCATATTGATACTCAAACGATTCTCTCTTCATTCGCAAAATAGTAACACCAATCATCACTAGAGACCACACCACAATGATACAGTTAAGAACCACAGCAGATATACACAAACTCAGATAACTACTGTAATGATAATTAGGATCTGTTGAAATAAACATAATGGCAATTGAGATACAATCCATAAATATTAAAAACAACAAGGAACCAATATATCCCAAATGCAAACTCTTGATATATTCTTTCGTTGGTTTGAACGCAATCATTCCAATAATTGTCGTAATAAACAAAACCACACAAACTGGAACAAAAACAATGATAAACGATGTAACATAATAAGTTGTACTAATATCAATGAATTGATTGAACGGAATGGTAGGTAATATGAAACATCCGAGAATTAATAAAATAGAAAGAGCAGTAAAGCAAGCATTGCAAATAACGGCTGCTTTTTGTAACTTGTAAGGTTTCTTAACGTCCAATAATAATTTCTTTGAAGTACTCAAATGTTTGATGGATGAATCTACATGAATAACACTTCCATAATTATTATGAGTTCCTAGAGTGGGTAAACTGAAAGAGCTTTCCGAGATTGTATGGGATACTTGTTCGGAAGATGGAAAAGAAACTCGTTTTTGCTTTTTTGAAAACCAACCACTCAATCTTGCTGATAATGAACGATTTTCTAAATATGTATTTCCATCACGATGGTTGCCATCGTCCAATAACACTTCGGGCTCATTCTGGTGATGTTGGACCCTAGAAATTTCCTCCAAAATAGTGTCTGTTTCGTCAAAGTCTTCTTCGTGTGTTCGGATCGTTGTAGCTGCTGCCGAATGAAGTACAGCATGTTGGTTAGTCATTGAATGTACAACTAAAGCATGAGCACGATGAGGTGGTGGTTGCATTTTTTTTAAAATATTGGGTCTTCGAAAAAATGTCTGAAAACCAAACCGCCCTCGGCTCGGCGATGAAGACACTAATAGCGACCTCTTTGATAGAGGCGTGATGGCGAAGGTGATTAGTGTCTTCATCGCCCGCATACTGCAAACAAATCTCTTTCTGCTCAAAAATCGGCACATGATAAATGGAGAGAAGAAATGGAAAATGAAATTCTAGAGGCTCCGTCTTCCGTCAATATATAGCCAATTTGTCGGAAATACAACCTAGCCCACCCAACATATACAACTCCCCAATGACCGATGACCATTCTACTAAATTGAAGCGACATCATAAGCTCTTCAAAGTGGTAGCCTTTACTACCAACTCTGTCGAAGAAGTCCTTGCAACCGTCGCAATGAATGCCGATACGTTGTACGGTAGTAGAGTTGTCAGTGAATTAGATTATATTATCCTCTTCTTCAAGTCGCGCAAATTGGCAAACCAAGCAATATCTGCTGGTGCTAAGTCCAAGCTCACTATGATACCTCAAACCGTCAAAACATCATTCCGTTATAAGGTCGACAAGGATTTAGACAAGACTAATATGCATTCTATTATCTCAACCCTTGGTTCTTCTATCAACAATATCAATTTTAGCAAGATGGATGATCAGGAATTTTGGGCTATTGGTACTAATATTGAGTTACCTGCCAATCATTTGAAGAAATTTAAGCTTTCCAAAATGAGAACATCTCGCTTCCGTATTGCCTTTAATGGTAAAGAAAAGGATCTTCCTAAACTCAAGGGTGCCATTAATTCCCAATGGAAAGTCAAGATTGAGAGTATCGAGTTGGCTAAGAAGATGGATGTTGTTGGTATTAAAATAGATCAAATTACCAATAACATTACCAAGTTCGTCCAAGTTGGTAATTATAGTTTCAGAAACCTCTCATTCTCTACTAGAGTTGCCAATTCTATCAGTCACAGAATGGAAGCTGTTGAAAAATAAATGTCTGAAATGTCATCAGTTCTCCAAAAATTGACAAAGGAAATGGCTGTCTGGTCTGGTAAAAAGGTCACGGAAGGCTTTAATAAGATCAACAAAGCTGTTGAAGAAATTAATCAAAAAGTCAACGCTCTCTTAGGTACTACTACTCGCAACAAGGGTAAAAGTGGGCATAAGAAGGGCTGACATTCCCTTTAATGGACCCTCATTCTAAAAAAAACTCCTTCAATTTAGGTACTGCTAATTTTGGAAGAGTTGGCTGGGTAAAACAATCTCAATTACTTACCTTAGCCGGCAAATATGAACTGGATGTCCTTAATATCCAGGAAACTCATTTAAAATCCAGTACGAAAGACTATTGGAATATATGGTATTTCAGATCCTTCTTTCGTGGCTACTTAGTTTACAATTCCAACGCCACTGAAGGTGATAATGGAGCAGGAATTGCTACTATTATCAGACCGTCATCTTTTATTAAGGTACTCCAATTCGTCGAACATATTCAAGGCAGATTATCAGAAGTCATTTTGGAACTTAAATACCTAGGTGTTGCCCGCATTTTCAATTGGTATGGCCCGGTTAACAAAAACAAACTAGAATTCATGAATAAGGTTCTCAATATTATCAACATTTCTGCTCAAACAGCGGTCTTTCATGGTGAACATATTGTCATATTGGGAGATTTGAATGCCAATACTAAAACATTCAATAAGGTATCTTATGCCCCCATGAACGACTATTAATTGACCAATGTGACAAATTGAAATTCTTTGATGTTGTTCCTATTCCTATTCACATCTTCGTTTTCTCAACGCAAGAAATAATCTCATGATTTTTCTCACCCTGACCATATTATTACTTCCCACAATGATTATTCTGGTGTAGAAGATGATCCTACTGCTTATTCTCACAAACTTTTAACTATCTCCTTCCCCAGTAATCCCATTTTAGACTTCCCAGAACAGTTCAACAAATATATTATCCATCCTAAAATTTTACAATCCAAGATGAAGGAATTAATAACGATTTTGATAAGGAAAACCCTGACACTCTTTTAGAAGCCCAAAATACCCTTGCTAAAATTGTGAAGAAATATGGTTCTCTTAGCACAAACAAGCCCTCATTGATCACTGATAATCGAAATGTCAGACAATTTCAGACTTTTATTTTCGATTTGAAACAATATCTCTATAAGCGTAAACATGTTTCTACTATCACCAGCCAATTTTTGAACAATAATTTTAGCCTCAACAATGTCAAGGCTAAATTAGAGGAAGCTAAAACCTCACTCAACAAACTTATTGGATCTTTATTGGCTGACCGTAAACGGGTCTTTGTGAGTATCATATCACTGCCAAAGAGTTGGATAAAGTTATTTCTAAGACAAAAAATTCTATGGCTGGCTATGATAACATTTCGGTGCCATTGTTGAAAATTCTAGACAACAATTCGCTCCAAATACTTGCAAAATATATCAATCACACAATTGACAGTGAAATGGTTCCTGAAGAATTGGGTATCGGTATTCTACTCCCATTACCCAAAATCAACATGCCTACAAAATTATCAAACTTTAGACCTATAGTTGTATTGTCTGTGATCTATCGTCTATTTTCTTCTATTATCAACAAACAATTCATGAATGTCCTTGAAGAGGCTAACTTAATCCACACTGCGCAACGAGGATTCATGAAAAAAGGTTCAACATTAGAAGTGCTCGGAACTCTGCTGAATAAAGTCAATTGACAAAATATGCAGAAAATCCCACAAACCCATTAGTCCTTCCTTTAATTAACAAACGAATTTTATTGTTTACTCTTTCGAAACATAGAACACCTTATCAGTTTTCGGACTGCCTTAGCATACAAATATCAGCACAAACAAGAAGTATTTGCTATGGCTCTGGATATCAAAAATGCTTATGGATCAGTAATCCATAAAAGATTTATCAGCATTCTCAAGAAAGATGGTTTCCATAGCTCTGTCATTAATCTCTTGACATCCATGATCTCCAATAGCGTTATGAAAGTACTAGTCAACGGATTTCTATCCTCCCCTTTCGATGCGAATGTTGGAGTTCCGCAAGGCGATCCTTCAAGCCCGGCATGGTTTAATCTTTATATTAACTCCTCAACTAACATACAAGAAAAGCTTAAAGGAGTTCAAATATTTAATATTACCATCCTTTTATTATTATATGCCGATGATATTATATTGATAGCTAATACTAAGATCGAAATGAATTCCTCTCTAAAAAGCCTCGGCCGTGAATTAAAGAAAATAGGACTCGCTTTAGCTTCCAAGAAATGCAAGCTCTTAGCTATTACAGCCAAAGCCAAACTATCTAAGGCCCTAGTCACTATTGGACAGGATACAATTGCCACATCTTCTTCTATTGAATATCTTGGGGGTATATGTACCTTTAAGAATGATTTTTCTTGGTCCTCTGATAATCCAATCAACAAAATCTCGAATCAACTGGCATCAGCTAAAACTTCTAATCTATATCTCAACAGCATCACCACTACATTAATGTCCAAAATCATATCTTTGCCTAGATATGCCTGTAGTTTCAATGGAATCAATAAGAATTCTCTAGACAAAGCAGATACTATGGTTACTAATTTTGTCAGAAAGGCTATTGGATTAGATTACACATTATCAAAATCAGTCATTTTTAATTGCAAACAAATTGGGGGCCTTGGTATTACTCGCCCCTCTACTTTATTCTCCATTGAACCTATTTGCACAGCAGTTAGATTATTCAACTCCTCCTCCACCATCACCAAAAATATTGCTTTGGCTGCTTGGAATGATCTTACCTTTAACGAACCATTTTGGAACCACGTGAAAAATATCGCGGCTCAAAATAATTGGTCTCTCCAATACATTGATGAACGGTATTCATTTGTCAATGAATACGAAACCCCTGTCGACCCTAGAACTGAATTACTAAACAACGATAGATCAACCATGAGCATCTCAGGCCTTGGAATCTTAGACCATAATAGAACCTGGCATCCATGTACCATCTCCTTTTGGAGCAATTATTCACTCAAACCCTTCCAACAACGACTATTATTTGCTCACCTACACAAAGCAGAAATCCTTAGAAATTTCGGAAAAGATTACCCTAATTGCCACATTTGCAATACCAAAGCCAACTGGGAACATGTATTCACCTCATGCACCATGTGTGGTCCGGAAATCAAATCATTATACACAAAATGGGACAACAGTTCCCTCAAATTCAATGCCCCTCTTATCAGACTTCCCTCAAACCATTCTCTCTCTTGTATTCCAATGGATTGGAATGGTAGTATCAAAGACGAACCTCTTCAACAATTAGACTTATCTCCCCCAGCTTTGACTGATTGGCTAAATGAAATATATCTCTCATTCGCTGCCTATGTTGGCAGTTGTTACAAAAACGCCACTTGGAACAGTTCAACTGTACTCAAGAAGGCTAGAGGATATATAATTAAACCCAAAACTGCAAAATTTGCAACTGCTTGGGAAACATTTAGCAGTCAGCTTGGCGAACTCAACTCCAACAACATCTACACCTCACACCTACACACCCATTAGACACACTATCGTCGGACAATTGAGTACCTATAATTTGTTTATTTTTCAATAAACCCATTCCTGTATTTTTTTTTAAAATATTACTTTTAATCATTAAATTATTTAATTTCGAAATGGGTTTAAGAATTCAAAATGAATAAATATGAAACAATATGTGTTTCACAATAATAACAATATTAATAAAGATCAGATTGGCATTGTAATGATTTCAATGTTTGAATGTTTTTCATTGATGGCCATTGGCACAATGTTGTGAAAGAGATTCCAAAATTTTCACGATCTGTACAAATGTTGGTCTCCTGGTTGGATTTTCATCCCAACACTGTTTCATTAAATTGATGTATTCATTAGAAACGTCCATTAAGGTATCTAGTGAGAGATGTGAATTTTGTGGTTGAATAAATTCCTCAATCCAAACTTGTGCCTCTGTTTCGAATGATGATTGCGATGAAATGTGTGTCATGACTCTGTTGGATGTGAATGGAATGATAGGTCTCATTCCATTCATGACTTTGAATAGGATATTCACTCCATTTTCGTCACTTCCACTATTTTTGTTAGTGAATGGATTGTTGGTGTGGAATTTGTGAATTTTCATTGATTTTTCATTTAAATAAGGATTTTCTTCAAAGAATACTTCCCACATAATGATACCAAATGAAAAGACATCTACTTTGACATTATATCCTGGACTATCATTGATAATTTCCTAATGGTTGGAGTGTTTTCATTTTCATCCATTTTGGACCAAATCACAAATTTCAAAGATTGTTATTACAAATTCACATACATGATCAATTATTAAGTATTACAACAATCGAATCATCCACTCTACTACTTACATTGGCCATGTAAAAGATGGTTCCAATATTTTTAGTTGCCGTATAACTATGGCCCATGACTCGACAAAGACCAAAATCACAGATATGGCCATGATCATTGGAATCGATTAATATATTTCCAGGTTTTAAATCTCTGTGAATAATGGGTGGAGTTAAAGAATGAAGATAGGCCATTCCTCTCGCCACTCCAAGGAGAATTTTCAATTTCGTGTGAAGTGTGAGCACGTCATTGCCAACCTTGCAATTGTAAATGACTTTATCAAGACTACCTTTTGGATAGTATTCTTGAACCATGTACGTTTTTGAGCCAGAAATTGAGATTCCTTTCATTTTGACAATTGAAGGATGTTGAATGGAGTTCAATAATGCAATTTCTCGTTCGAACTCTTCCTGATCAGCGCTATCATTGAATTTGATCGCTTTTAAGGCAACATGATTCTCTTTCCATTTGGCTTGATACACAGTTCCATTGGAACCTAATGAGAAAATGGTTACCATTGTCAAATACATGACAGAATATATTCAAAAAATATAACAATCACTAATCGTTGATAAATAAATGCAACTCACCTTCTCCAATCTTTTTAACAATTTCAATTTCCTCAATGGGAATAATGGTTGGTCCCAAGGACGACGATGAATGAACCATAGATGTCACGGATGTTCTTGAATTGCCATTCTTTTTTTTCAATGTATCATTGATCACTAATGGACTGGATTCATCATCTTGATGTGAGAATATAACTTTCTTGTCAATGATCCTTGCTTCCAATGTTTTTTCTGCTTGTTCTTTTTGTTTCAAAATTTGCATTTTCCTATAAAAGTATCTCAAACTTTTAACCAACACATAGAGAAGGAAAATACTAGTGACAATTAAGGCTGCTCCTGAGATGGCCAGAACTGGAATTAAAATTTCGAGATGCACCGTCACGCAAGTGAAACCATACGAGTCTAAAAATAGTAATCTTGTTCCAAATGGACAATCTTTCACATTGATTGTAAAATTCAATGGATAATACTTTTCTATCAAAATTTGAGAAGGAATTTCAGTAACAGAAGGAGAGAAAATAGAGATTGAAAATTCCCGAATTTCAAAATTTGACTTTTGGACAGTTCCGAGGTTCGTGATAGCATCACTCGAGTTGTCAATCACCACTGAAATGGGAAACTGCAACACGTTCACTCGTTCATATTTTCCTTCTTGGTTCATTGTTTCTATGGTGATGTTCATGGTTGGTATTTGTTGTCCAGGATAAATATTTAATGTTAAAAAGTCATGGGAGGTAAATTTCACAATATCATTATAGAAAATCTCAAACGTGAATGAAATGTTCGCAAGAGGCCCTCCAAGAAATGGTCCATAGGAAAGAGCAGCATTTCCTAAAAATTCCATAAACGTTTGAGAAAGGTCAATCGATTTTGTACTGTAAATGCATCCACCTTCAATAGAATTATTATGGAATTTTCAATCAATAGCATCACATGTGTCAAAGGTGTGAGATGATGATGTATTATCAATCAACAAGTACATACCCGAATAAGATGCAAAATTATTATAGCAATTAATGATGGATATCGTTGTATAGTCATCCATAGGACTGTCAAAAAACACTGCTCCTCCTCTTAAGGCAGTATTGTTCGTGGCCACAATACCACTTCCTTCTATGGTTCCATATATTTTCAATGGCTTGATATAAACGCATCCTGCATTCTGAAGGGCATGATTTTGATGACAAACAACATCAACCACAGGGGCATTCGCTTCAATGTAAGCACCCGCTCCATTAAGGGATCTGTTCCACTTGAAGGTTGCTTCCACTTTCACATAATCTCCATTCAAGACACAAATTCCTCCTCCATTGCCATTCAAGTTGCTGATATTTGTAAACGAACTGGGACCAATGCTGATCGTAGAGGTGGACAAGGTACTCGAGTCGATCAACAGAGCTCCTCCATCAATGTTACTAAAATCTACCATAGCTGTCGTAAAAACAGCAACTCCTTTCACCACTAATGCTGGTTGTGAAATATTTTCAAAACGACATGTTGCCATGAACGTTCGATAGCCATTCGTGATTTCCAACAATGCTTCATAAGGACTTTGGAAAGGATGTGAGTTATAAAAATTGCTATTTTCAATGATCAGCTTATCAATGCCCTCGAATTGCATGTTGAAGATTCCATTGGATTGACATGTCATTAGGGTCACTACGAAGGAAAAGTATTGAAACATGTAATTATTATCTTGGAAGTCAACTAATTCAAAAAGAACTGATTTAAATCGTTTGATTTGGAATACAGAATTTTCACATACGCTGTTTTTCATTAAAAACAGTTCATTGTAGTCTACTCCGTCGACATCTGTGAATGAATGATAATTCACATTCTGTAAATGTGAATTGATGATGGTCACATTAGCACCCGGATTTCCAGGAAAAGTTGTGGAGGAATAAATTACTGAATTGGTAACATTTGAAGAGTCTATTTCGAGGTTATAAATCGCATCAAGGTGAAGGCCATCTATTCTTGAATGGTGGAACTTTAGGGTGTCTATTCGATTCACTTGTGCATTTTCCGAATAGAGAATATTATAGAGCTTGCAATTTTCAAATGTAACAGTTTCAAGTGAAACGGTCTCTGATAAAAGAGCATTTCTAATGGTTATGGACTTTACAGTCACATGAACAGCCCTAAAAAACGAAAAGAAGCTTTTCGTTTGACAATCAAAGAATATTTCTGTGGTATCGTTGCTTATTTCCATGGGTTCAATAGTCACGAATGAATAATGGTGCAATGAATACGAAAACATTTGACACGAGGAAGAATAATTTCCTCCATTCATTAATTTAAATATTGCCTCCGATTGAGTAGGTATCTCATGATGACGAAATAAAGAATCCAATCTGACAAAAGCTTCCGAAATTGTTTTGCATGGTTCTGAAAGAGTACAGTTTTGTGAAAATCGAGTCTGGTTATTGCTGCTTTCGGGAGATGATACGTAGAGAATGATTGGTATGGAAGAGAGGTGGTTGGTGATGAATGTTGAAATTGTCGTTGGAGTGAAATTTCTGGTGGTTGGCCATGTCCGTTTCTGTATGGAAAGTGATGGCCATGTGGATCCATAAGATAGGCAAAGCAGCAGCAATAAAGACACGACTATCACTCTTGTCCTTGAAAAGAGCTCAATCCTTGTCATTTTTTATCTTGCCATTCAAGGAAGGATGTATCACCTGTGAGAGGACATCAAGCATTCCAACATTGATGTTCATGAGACTGTGTCCATACTGAAATCAGGATAATAAAAGTTTAGTCTCTCAATAACTGCACGTGATGCAATGGTGGTGGCTGAGAAGAAGGGAAAAAGATATGCCATAAAAATCTCCAATCAAAGAGTAAGGTTTTCCAGCTCAGCAACATGTTCTGAAATCGTATGATCGTTAAAAAGACAAACTGATCCGTTTCACATGCTTCAATGGCTTTGTAGAATAAGTAACTCAAAATGGGTTTGACAATAGTTCTCATGAACCAATTGGTGACTTTTTGAGGATAAAAAACTAAATCTGACATGTAATCCACAAACCAAATGTATGCGTAAAGATAGAAGAAGGACAGCTGAAGCTTTCTACTGAAATTAAAATTGAAAGTGTACGCTTCTGGATACTCGTGTTTTTGTCGACTCTTTTTCTTTGCCATTCGAGCTTCTTTGAGTGATTCATGCAGTGCCAAACAAGACTCAGCAACAAGTGCAATACCTCTTCCATAATAGGGATTGAGAGAGGCCACACTGTCACCCAATGAAATAAAACCTTCAATGATAGCTTTCTTTCCTCGACGAGAGCATAAAGCAGGAAGCTTTTCCCAATGATTAAATGAAATGTAGTCGCGCCGATAAACACTCCAATCCATGACAGGTCTGTCACCACCATCAACAAACGCGTCAAAGCAGTTTTGGCAATGATTATATGCACTGGGTATTTCATTCTTAATAAATTGTAGAACAGATTCTTTTGATCGTAATTTTTGTGCATGTTCAAAAGTTCCTAGTTTGCTGATGATAAACATGGCAAGCCCATTTTCAATGCGATAGATCATGACTCTCCCTGCTTTTGGAAATTCATTTGTAAATACACAGAGCCATTGAGGTTTACCATCAATATCTCTCTTATAGAATCCCTCTGAAAGCATATCAGGTTTAATCCTAAAAATTGCCATCACGTTCGTAATTTGTGACTTGGCTTTTGTTTTTTGAAATGGCTTCACTTTTCTTTCTATTTCAGAGAGCTCTGCAGAAATCCAATCAGGAGATTTTGTATAGACCCCTGAACAGTCAATTACTAAATTAGCATCAACAATACTCTCCTTGCCTGATGGCTCAGTAATTTTAACACCAACAGCTCTATGTACAATATTTCCCTTATAGTATTTAGGTCTTAATTGATGTATTTTGTGATGTTTTGAAGAAGTAGTATTAATACTATCCGTATTGGATACGTGGTTTGATGATGAGTTAGAGTCTGGATGTTCACGATTCTTAGACATTTCCTTTGTGTGGATATCTGAGCTGCGTTCTTCATGATATCTCTCCCAAACAATATCTTCGACTTGTGTGTTTTCCATTACTGTAACATTGCTCAACTTTTTCACATATGACCTCAAATAACTTTCCAAAAAAGTTCGTGACATCATGATCATGTTTGGAAAATTAAGAAAATTTAAAGGTACTCTTGGAATTCCATTTGTTCTGTAGTCGGCCATATCAATACTAAGCTCAAATGCTCCCAACTCTACGACATTTTCCGTAAAACTTTTTTCACTCGTTGACAATAAACGATCCATTAATTGGATACATCGCATTAATAAAATGTGTGTCTGATGACCATGTGCAACCATAGTGTGACCTGCAACCATTTCTTTTTTCTCAATAATAAAGACATGATCAAAATGAACAGAGGCAACTACGGCTGATAAAAGTCCAGAGACAGAGCCGCCAACAATCACACACCTTTTACCAGCTTTAGGAATGTGCTTTTTTTCTAATTGTGTTGCTTCCTTTTCGAGTGTGGCATCATAGGCATCCACATTGGTGTCGCTTACATAGGGGATTATATATTTTGAAACAAGATGAACGATCAAGACTTTTAAAATCCAAAGAAGCATCAAAATGATGACCACAATACACCATTCTGAAGGAATAATCTTTCCGAACGTAAATTGTCGAAACTCTATGAATTGTTCTTTCAATTTTCTAATTGCCATGATCCACCAAAATTCCGATGTTGGTTGCGAGGCTTGATCGCCATTCACAGCCATGGCTGAAAATCCAAATAAATTAATAAATAAATTAATCCACAAGATTAAAGTTCCGATCATCATCATCATGATGATCCAGTTGATGTTGATGAGGATGATTCTGCTCTTCTTCTTATGTTTCCATCCAGTACTACTACTTGTGCTACTTCTATATAGAAGAACTCGCCGAAAGCGTTTAAAAATTTTTTTTATAAATCTTGAGGTTCAAATAAGGTAGTTTGTCAATATTATTGTTTTTGTAGATCATGAATATAAAATTGACTGAAACAAAACCCATCATGAATCATTTGAATGATAGATTTTTGTAAATTCTTGTAAAATTTAATCAAAATCTGAGGCATCCAAAGCTTTCTTTTTAGATTCAATTAATTTCACAGCCTCATCATCAGAATCCCATCCATCATCGACCTGGTCATCATCTTCAGAATCCTCACTTTCATCTGCCAAATAAATTCGTTTCTGATCGAGTGCCTTTTTCAACATGTTGGAAATGGCATCGCCTCCGTTCGTTTTTGGTTTGTTAATCTCTTCAGGGTTGACTTTCTTTAAGTTTGTACCTTTTCGAATGGATTCCAATAAATCGGAGCGACCACTTGGCATTTCTGGCATTTCGATGTGAATTTCAATTTTCGGAGTATTCATCATCGGAGGTGGAGGAGGAATTAAGGAACTCTGCGGAGGTGAAGGAGGAATTTGTGAAGAAGCAACACTTGAGGAAGATGCAACAGAGGAGGAGGATGGTTGTTGTTGAATGGACATTTGTTGTTGCTGTAATAACTTCTTTCGATGTTCTTCAGCTTCCTTCTCCGCTTCTTTTTGCAATTTTTCTTGAAGTTTTCGTTTCTCTTCTTCAAGTTGTTGAATCAATAATTGTCTCTGTCCTTCTTCCATCTTTTCCAACTCTCGTTTGAGTCTCAACTTTCTTTCATGTTCTTCTTGTTTCATTTTCTTTTCCAATTCTTCAATTCGTTTCATTTCTTCTTGTTTCATTTCTTCCGCCAATTTCTTGAGTTTTTCTTCTTCTTCCTGAACAAGACGTGATGAAACTGATTTTCGTTTCAATTGTGAAGCTTCCTTATACATGACAGATTGTCTTTTCATGCTCTCAATTTCTTTCAAATTGTTTTGAATTTTCTCAAGTCGTTGTCTCTCTTCTTCTTTAAGCTTCATGTTAAGTTCTTGAAGTTTTCTCTCCTCTTCCTCCTGGAGACGTTTTTGAATACGTGAAAGCATTTCCTTCTCTTCACGTTCGATACGAGCTTGTAACTCCCTCTTCTTTTTCAATTCTTCTTCCTTGTATTTGTTTTCAATTTCTCGACGTGCTTGTTCCTCTTCTTTTTTGATTTCTTCATTGATTTGCTTCAAGCGTTGTTCTTTTTCTTTCATAATTTCATGGTCAATTTCCATGAGACGTTTTTTAGCTTCCTTGTCCATGTCACTCATCATTTTCTCTCTCTTTTTAGCTTCTTCTGATTTTAATTTGCGAATTTGTTCTTCTTTTTGTTGCTCTGTGAAAGAAACAAGTTTTGATTCCAATTCTTCAAGTTTTTTCTTTTCTTCTTTCTTTAAATTTTCCTCAAGTTCTTTTCTCTTCATTTCCTGTTCATGAAGAACAGATTCTTTCATTTCTTTCAATTTTCTCTTTTCTTCTTCCACAATTTTATGATTCATGATAGTCTTTCTTTTTTCCAAATCCATTCTCTTAATTTCCAGCTCTCTATCGTGTTCAGAGGCTTCATTTTCTGGAATAATTACACTAATCGTAGGAGTTGCAGCAATACGAATCACATTGGAAGGTTTTGGAGGTAATGCTTTTGGTTTTGGTTTGGGTGTGGCTTTCTTTCCTGACTTTGAAGATGGCAATGAAGGAGACAATGATGAGGATGTCGTATTTTGTGGTGTTGGTGGTGTTGTCGTCACAGCAAGTGTTTCATTATTATTTGTAAAGGTATTTTTCACTTTTTCCGTAATGGCCCCCATGGCACTTGTGAATTTGTTGGTGACCAGTGACAGAGTGGCATTAAGTGTCAATGAAGGTGACGACGAATTGGTTTCTGAAGAGGTCGAAACAGAATTTTGAATGGGAGATCCAGGATGGTTTGAACCATTGGTGTTTGTTGATGAGCTATTTGTGGTGCTTTTTTCAAAATTCACAGCATTTCGTTTTTTCAATGAAATTTCACTTGCAGATCGTTGATGCTTGAATGCAGCCGTTGGATCTTTGGCAGTACTGTGTGCCACATGAGTCATGCCTTTAGGAGCAGAAATTTTGATTTCACTTTTTGGTACATTTTGGGTAATGGAATCAAAATAATTTTCTTTCACTTCCGGAGTCTTTGGAGTTGTCGAAGTCTCGACAGAGCCAACTCTGTTCTTGGACATGACTTTGGCTGAAGAGGTGTGTTGTGGAATGGGAGGAGGAGAGTTGGAATTGGACGATCGAGGAGGTTGTGACGTCGTCGCCGTGCTGTTGTTGTTGCTCGAAACCGTCAAAGTCGAGAACAATGGTCTTGGTTTTGGTTTTGATGATGAAACAGAATCGGTGGCAGAACGAGTTAAATTTGGTGATGACTTGGAAGAAGATGCGCTCTTTGGCATGGATGACGACGTATTTGTCACGGTCGATGAAGAAGAATTAAAAGACGCGACATTCTTATTGAAAGGAGGTGGAGATGAAGTTTTAGTTGTTGGCGAAAGATTGTGCGGTGGTTGTTTCGGCTTGCTTTGTTTTGATGATGATGACAATGATTTTGGTGATGAAACAGATTGATTCCCAGCAGCGAGTCCTCCGTTGAGAACATGTTCTTCTCGTTGGGCATTGGCTTCCAACTTTTCGAACATGGCTAATTTCTTGTTTACGGTGGACATGACGAAGTGGTGGAAGTGATGGGATTTTTGAATGATGATGGTGGATTAGTGAAATCGATGTGTGTGTGTTTGGGGAAGAAAAATTTTTTTGTGGTCTTTTGTGTGACTTTCGATTGACACCGCGGTTATTTCGCTCTACAATTTTCTTCGCCATTTCTTTTTGTGAACACACATCTTTTCCTTTCTTAAGGAAACAATAGTAGGTGGATTCAAAATGTTAAGTTGAATGAACCTTAACTGCGAGAGATCAAGAAAAACATTATTCTTCAGACACAACAATGAACTAATAGCGTCTGCTCACTGTCCATTTTTGATTTTCCGTTCTTTTGAGGTGACACCCAAAGTCAAATGGTTGGACTTGCAGACTTCAACAAAGATCAACAACACTGTAGATTCTGTTGCGCTCCTTCGAAATTCCTTGCCCCTCCAAATCGTTTTACCGTATTTCCAGGTTCTTTTCCAGTTGCCATCTTTCATATTTAATTACAACAGGTCATCCTTTCGGAACGGAAGTGTTGTTAGTCGTTTGTGGAAGTTGAACGTTGATTGGCAAAAAACATTTCTCATGTCAGAGCGCCAAGTCCATTCCTAGATAAATTCCCGGACGACGGTTACAATGTTTGTCCTGAACATGACACTCCCAATTCAAAATTGTTCACAACTTGTTCAAGCATTGCATCTCTCAGAGATTAGTGTGCTTTTACAACACATCTCGCGTCTTGTGTGAAAAGACACCCAACTACTCATTTAACACACGCTCTCTCGAGTTCATGGGTTACTTTCGAACCAAAAAAAAACAAATCAAAACACTACTATAAATCATGAGAGTCACCACACAATTGTTGACCACTCTCTTCATGATTGTGGTGGCCACCGCTACCATGATCTTGGCTGCTAATCCTTTCGACACAAGTACCCAACCATTTGCAATTGGTGGTTACTTCAAGAGATTGGAAAAGAAGTCTCCATCACTCTTTGCTTGCTATAACTCAACCATCAATGACTGGGCTGAACTGAGATGGGGAGAAGTCTATCATATTGGAGCTGCTCCTTATAAGGTTCAATTGAAGACTGGTGAAGTGATCTTTGTGAATCCAAGTGGTGCCAATCATTTGATCTATGCTGCTGCAACCACTACCTTCTCTCCTGCTCTCTTGTCCACTAAAGACACTGTCGTTCAAGCAAGTGGTACTCTTCAAGTCCTTCTCTCGTACGATCAAAAGAGATTGTACTTGATTGGTCAAATCTTTAAAGTCGGTGGTACTTCATTGACTTCCAGTACTTCTATCAAGGTGATTTCCTTTGATATCAGCAAGTTGACACAAGGAGCATTGACCACTTACACCGAACATACCTCCAATTATCCAGTCAACACTCAATTGTCATGTTCCAGTCCAATGTTAGCTCTCGGTAACGGAAACTTGTTGTGTTATCAAAGTGCTCGTACCTTTGTTGCCTATGATGGATCCAATTGGAGAACTTTCACTCCATCCTCTGTTGGAAACACCGTTTCTTTCGGTAGCAATGACTTTATGGTTCATCAACCCACTGGAAATTTGTATGCCAAGGGTTTTGATTCAACTGCTGTTGCTTCTGTCTTTTTCAAGTTTGATATGGGAAGTGATTTCCAAACCATTAGAACTTTGGGTTCCAGACAAGTGGTTTCACAATGGACTTTGGGCTCTGATTCCTTGTACTACAACTTGTATCTAGGTGACTATGTAGTTGATAGTGCTGTTCCAACTCAAAACGTTCAACAATTCAAATTGGATGCTCCTACTAACTCTGTTTCATTGGGAACTACTCGATTGGCTAATGGATTGACCAGAATAGCTGCTGATAACAGCTCTGTTGCTCAATATGTCTCATACATGTACTATGATTTCAACATCAAGAAGTTGGTGTTGGCTTTGAATACCGATACCATCTATCAAGTCTATGGTTCAAGAGATACTTGGTCCGATGATAACACTGTCGCTTACAGATTCCAATTGATGGGAGAGTTGTTGGCCTATGATGAAGCTTCTGGTAAATATGTCGTTCCTTATGGAGGTGGTTACTTGCTCTCAAGAGGTGTCTTGCTGAGTTCCTATGCTGAATCAGGATTGAGTTGTATTGTTGCAACCACTGCAAGCAATGTCGTCTATTACAGAACATGGGCTCCAAACTTTGGTCTCTATGATCCATCTCAAGACAAATTCGTTGCTGATGATAAAGTGAGTGGATTGCTCGACACCATGTTCCCAGCTCAAACTCCTCCTGCTTCCTACATTTCCGCTATTGAAAACTCTCATTCCTCTGGTATGGTCTATATTGGTGGTTATTTCAGATCCATCAACAATGTGGTCTACAACTCTATTGTTGCTCGTGCTCGTGATGGAACTTTATCGGCATTGAGTGGTGGTTTGACTTTGGTCAATTTTGCCTATGATACCTTTGATAAGCCTCAACCTGGTATGGTCAGAAAGATCATTCGTTCCAGTGATAACCGATACTTGTTTGTTTTGGGTTCTTTCAATCGAGCTGGAAACATTTTGTGCAATGGTTTGGCTATTTACAATATTGAGAAGGGAACTTGGTCTCGCCCAGAAGGTCTTTTCGATTCTACTGTTACCTTCCTTGATATGGATTATGATGGAAGATACTTGTATGTGGTTGGAAATAACTTGATCCGAGTCGGAAAGTACGTCGTGAAGAATGTTGCTCGTTATGAAGTCTCTACCGATACTTGGTACCCAATGAATGGAGGTGTCGATTCCAATGGATCTAAGGTCTTTGTTTACAATGGACGTGTGATTGTTTACGGTCCATCCACAGGAAGCTCTGTTGCCTTTGTTTCTGGTTTGGCGGTTTGGGACTCCAACTCATGGAAGACCGTCAAGATGGACGGAGTGGATCAACCAAACTCTTGCAGAACCAACAAGTGGTGTACCTATAACCTCGGAACTGTGAATCCAACGATTTATAAGGGCAACGTGTACTTTATTGGTGCAGGTGATGTGAAAGTCCCAACTGATAGTTCCTTTTCTGCTCTTGAAACCTATACGACTGCTGCTGTTCCAGGAACTGGTTTCTACAATTATCCAAAATCGAATACTCTTGGTATCGCTACTATTGGTAATACCAAATTCTATGAATTCAATTACAATACCATGAACTTGCAACATACTCAAACAAGAGATGATGGTGATGTGGCTGATGCTGCTATCCAAGCTTTGAGTACTGGTAGCAAATTCACCGTTTCATTGGCTTTGTTGTTGGTTTCTCTCTTGGTTGCTTTGCTTCTCTAAATCATCAAGTGCCAATAAATTGATCAAGCTTTCTAAATTTCATCATGATAATGTCACTTTTAATCTGTTTGAGTGAAGTACCCTCAATAGAGGTGAGTCGATTTAAGACAGACAAAACGAAATGCTTATTTCTTGGTCACATTTTGCATTCAACGAGTAAGGCAGCTGAAAATAACAACACCTGATCATAAGGATCACAATTTTCTGGAAAGTCAATCACGACATTGTCCAAAGGTGCCACCAACTCATTCATAAATCCGCTCGATTGTTTAATGATGGAACCACACGTGTCTTTATATTTTCGACGACCCTTATTAAACCTTCTTCCTTTCTTAACAATTTGGAATGCTCTTGATACTTCTGTATGCTTATTTGAGATGATGTATTTTGTTTTCAGTATCTTATTTTTCACAAGAATTGTTAATCGATGGATATGAAAAGAAAAGCTCGAAGAGATTGTTCCAATAAGTGTTCCATCTGGAGTGCTAACTTTGAATTTTGATGAGAATATTGAATAATAGCCGTTAATGATGAATAGTAGTTGAGATGGAGTTAAATTTTTTGTGTTTGTATGTGGAGAAGAATGGGTGTTTGTTGCGTAAGAGTTGTCGCCCGATTTTGAGGAATCCATATTACTTTTGCAATGTTGGTAAGTTGAAGTCATCTCTATATGGACTTCAGAGTGAATGTGCACTTTTCGTAGTTTTTCATTTCCTGAATCTATTGTTTTCAATCGTTGCATCTTTGCTTTTGTTGCTATCTTGTCTCCTTCCTCCATGAATTGTTGTTGAGGGTTTAAGAAGGTTTCATCTTCCACCTGCTCCACCCTTCCAATTTCTTCTGCATAGGTCAGAACAAATCTATCAGCATACAACTCAAAACACTTTGCAATAGAGCACAGGAGAGCGCTGGAAGAGAGAGCATATCGATCCTGAAAAGCTGTACAATCGGATACATCCACCAAATTCACAGCAGGTTGTTCTTCCTCCATAAGTTTGTGATCATTATAATACTTTTGAAAGATGGAATCAATCTCTTGTTTCAACTTTTTTCTTCTCTTTTTTTCAATAAGCTGTGAAATAAAACTCTTTGCAGTGTAATGATCTTCGTGAGAAACTGGAAAACTCAACACATAACCACAAAAACCTCTACTGGATTTGAAGGTGAATGATTTTGAGGTTGAAACATGATTTTCCACAATTCTGTAGCACAAAGGCTGTGTAATAGAATTTTCTTTGATTGGTAATAAAATTATCGAATGATATTCCGTTGGCTCGTTATCCCCAATACACTCTTTGTAAATCATTTTTGATGATTGAATTGTTTTGAATAATGTTATCAAGTCAATTTCGAAAACGCGAAAGAAGGTTTAGATGATAGTGATCATTTACATCCATCATCGAAAAATGTGTTGTGTTTAAAGGTCGGATACACCTACCAAATGTTTTAGAAAACAATTTAGAGAGTAATGTTTTGCTATCGATGGCTGAATTAGCGTTTTCATCTTTCAAAAACGTGTCACTTCTCAATATAGTTTTGTTGGGAGTAATTTGTGTACGGATGGTATCGAGGCTTCTTGATGGCTGTAAAGTTGATGCATTTGCAGGTGCGATTGATTCTACATCATTATGATGACGATCAACTGCTGCAGTCTCAATATCAAGTGCAGGTAATAAATCGCTCATTTTGTTAATTTCCAAAATATGATTGGTAAGAGAGCAAATATGGTTCAAGACGCCGAAATGCCAAGCAATGATGTTTGTCCATATATTGAGGACGTAGTGAATGGAATGTGTGCTCATTATGATTGAAATTTCGAGCACAGATGTGTTGATTTTACAGTAATGCAACTCTCTTCACTTTGCAATGTAAATAACAATAAGCACTACAATAATTGCCAAAATCCACGAATAAAAGTTATTTCCAGAGGTGCTTGCTTCTTCGATCGGAGAAGCAATGCCCTGATTTGAAGATCCAGAAGCCTGGTGTGCCTCTCGAGCATTTCTCTTTGCTAATTCAACTAATTCAGGAAACAATTTGCAATATAATGGAATTTTAGAATTAAATTCAGCGCTACTCTTTGCTTGGCGCTTCTTTTCTTCATGTGTAGAAGTCATGGATCCATAGGTGGTCGCATCTTCTTCCAACATGAAACTCAAAAAACCTTGTAAAATTGAGGAAACGTTCCACAAGGGATTCCAGCTCTCTTTGTGGAAATTAGTATTACTCATACAAATTCGTGTATTGGTCTTAAATCTTCCATTCGGAGTGATGAGTTCAATACTCGGTGGCTTGTAGGGATAATCAACAGGAAAAACTGTTGTTATATAATTATTTCAAAATAATAATTAATTACGTAATTGAACAAGAATTACCAAATGTTTGTTACCTTCATCAATAACTTACCAATTTTACCATAATAAAATCCTCCTTTGTATGGCTCATAGGGTAATGAATGAATGACATAGTGCCATTCAAACAAATTATTTTCCAAAGGACAACATTCAATATGTTCAATGGGGTTCTTTTTAATTTGTGCCAATTCTTTTCTAAGTCTATTCTAAACATTCAAAATAGTGAAAGTGAACGCGTCATCATTGATGATGATGTTTCAGCATAATGACGATTCCGATAAGATGCTTACCAATGCTTGATTTTGATTCATTTTTTTTGTAAATGTGCATATTCACCTTCGAACCTTGATGCTCATGGCCAACCATCCTAACAATCTCATCAGAAAGGGCTACGTTTTCGGAATGTCACATTATAAGGACACCGAAAACAACATTTTTCATCACTGGAAGTCTATCCTTAAAGAATACAACATCTCTGTCAAACTCAACAATCAACAATTATCACTTCCTCAACTCTCAGGAACTAACTTTGAAATCCACACTGATGGATCCCTACAGAATGGTAAATCTGGAATGGGAATCAACATTTACGACCACAGTCACGCTCTAAACAATTACATTCACACTCACTCAGAATTCATGATGGAGAATGAATTCACACAACATTGCCGAACTCGCATCCATCCTTACTTCCATTCATCTTCTACCAAACCACTCCAAAGCAACAATTCACACTGACAGTCAAGTTGCAATCCAAGCTCTCAAAAAGAACTATCGAGGACAATTCCTCCTCTTCTATCGAGAATTTCAGAAAATAATTAGAGATAGAAATCTTCAAATTTCTCTAAAGAAAGTAAACGGACATAAGGACCCTGAAAATATCAAGGTCGACGCTCTAGCCAGACAAAGTCTCTCACAACCAACAATTTTCGACATCAGACAACTCTTTGGCAAACAACGACTTCTTACCAAGACAGATATCATCATTTTCAATCAAAGGGAAATGACTCAGACCTTTCACTACAAGAATATGACAACAAAATTAGATGACAATCCCAACCTCATTGATCATGTTCATCAAAAATCCCTCAATATTAGATTCTTGAAAGCGAAAATCTCACCCAATTACAAGTATGCAGTCTGGAGAAATATTATTGACTCTCATATTAGACACTTCACAGGCTCCTATTGCCCTGACTGTGAAGTCGAGTCCAATCTCCACCACTACATACATGAATGTCCAAAGCTTGACCCTGCGAGATATTTCTGTGAAATGAAGATCTCCTCTTTAATCTCCCAACCATGTACAATCACTGATTCGAATTCGATTCGTGGTTTAATCCACATCGTCCCATTTTCTACATCCATCACTCCGGTTTCCTACCCCCAGATAGTGATGCGATAAGGCACGTCCCAGCTATTGAAAGGAATTGGCCTGAAATCCAAGTACTGTTAGCCCTTTTCGTTGGCAAATGCCACAAATACTATTACTCTGACAAGATTGAAGACTAAGGGCCTTGGGTCCTTAGTTAGAATCCCAATTGGATTCGGTGTACATATACCCCAATAAATTTTTTTTGTAAATGTCTTTCAACAAACACCTCCGTCATGATTTAAAAGCAAGTTTAAGGTCTTAGAAACTTGGAGTCCAACAAAGTCTTTGTGTGTATTGAGCAAGACAAATTATAGTGTTCAAAATTGTTGTTTATTGTTGTAGAGGCAACATGCTGTGTGCCAAAAGTTGTTGTATGGATTCTATACTGTAGCAAATACTTAAATGTGCTACCATAGAGCTTTTCACTTGTCGTGAAAATAGGTGCAGTAGTCAACTGTTCTCAATAATGGTGTTACGTTACATATGCATTTGAGAGCTTCGAAGAAGAAGGTCACTCATCACTAATCTCATGAGACTCGTCGTGGTGCAATGCATTCATTCACACGTTCTGAGTGAGCCAATCCAAGCCTTCAAACAATCCTTCTCCTGTCTTGGCACTGCAAGGTTGAATAGTGAATGGTTGTTTGATGCATGCAGAAGTCCATGATGAGCCTAAAGTGTCCTTCCGATGTGAAGAAGAAGCAGCCAACGATAAGGAGGTACTTGTTGTTGAAGAGCATGGTGAAGAGGAGGATAGAGACGACGAACTCAAACTCGAATCAATGATTCCCAAACATTCCTTCTTAAATTCCTGCACACTACATGCTCCTTCAATATCTTGCTTATTGAAATAGAGAAGTATCTTACAATCGGAAAGGAGTGGATTCTCAGTCACGACATGAATCATTTCTCGTACCTCCTCAAAACGATCACGATCACTCGAATCCACCACAATAATCACCGCTTGGTTCTTCTCAAAGTAATGTTGTGCCAATTGTTTCGTTTTAAAGAAGAGTCCTCCAATATCAAACATGGTCAAGACGGTTCGTTTGTACTTTAAAACTTCCACATTGAAACCCAACGTCGGAACCGTGGAAGGTAAATTCTTTCCCTTGTTGCCGTGTTTGAGTTTCATCATGATGCTGGTTTTACCGGCGTGATCGAGACCAACCATGACTGCCTTTGCTTGTTTCTTCTTCTTCTTGTGTTTCATGAGGAGATTGCCAGATTTGGAATTGTTGTTGGTTACATTACTCGAGTTTTGCTTCTTGTTGTTGTTGCAACTGCTACTACCATCTGTAGTGCTTGAAATGTTGCTGTTGCTGCTTGCGGTTGAGGAATGTTTGGAGGCATTGGCAGGATTGGCCAGAGTGGAAGAAGAAGATTTGTGGTGTTTGTGAGAGGCTTGTCCCATCGTGAAGTGTTGTTATTGTTGGTTCAGGTGTTGGTTATAGTGTTGGTTCAGGTGTTGTTTGGCTGTTGTTGTGGTCTGAGAACTCGAGATCGATTTGGAAATTAAAATTATTTGAAGGTAGTGTGAAGATAGTGTTGTGGAAGCAGGTGATGGTTGTTGTAATTGTTGTTGTAAGAGAGATTCGAAGCTGAATCGAGTCTTTCTTTTTTCCAACAAGATTTGTGTTGCAAAGAAAAGGTGCGTGAAAAAACTTGTATGAATTTGCGTGATTATAAAAGTGGATCTAATCAATCTATTGGACTGAAACACTTAAATGCTGATGACGACAACAGAGTGTTGTGTTGTGTGCAGTTTTGCTTTAAGTGTCACACGTGATGACTTTATGAGTCACTTTGGTGATCCAAACGACAAGAGTTTTTCGTGTCAAGCAATCGTGTTGTTTTTTTAAAGCTTTTGTGCACACTCCAACTCCGACCACAACAATCGTCACTCTTGTCGCACTCAGAAGACGCTTCTCATTCCAAAAATTTGGTCGCGAACCTTTGTGTCACGCATCACTTTCAGTCCTCGAAAATGATTTTTATTCTATTTCGTGCAAAGGTTCTAAAAGGAAGAAACTGCCATCTCTTCGCATCAGTGATTGGATCTTGAAGTGATGGGAGTTTTGAAAATTAGAAGCAGAGCTTCTCGCAGTCTGGAAGAGATTTTGAAAGTCCTTGAATTTCAAGGATTGAATCCTAATTCTTCGCGACATCACAGACCGCTGTGGCATGTGTTTGCTGCAGCACTCACGAATCAGTACGAATATTAGGTAGGTCGGAGAAGGATGACACATTAACGAAGAATGAGAATTGCACACGTGACGAGTACGTCGCAATTAACAATTAAAACATCTTCCCAAAATGAACCATGCTAATTGAAATCAAAATAAATACAGTGTTTAGTTTCCAGAACGTTCCAACAATTGTTTGGCAATTCTCTTGGCCTTCTCTGAGGAAATTCCCAAGTGAATTCTAACCATGCCAGTATTATCGTTTCCTGGTGGGAAGAAAATGTTGGCTGGTGACACACCAACACCTAATTTCAAAGCTTCCACAACAGCATCCAAATCTGAGGCTGAATTGTGCTCAAATAATCCATACATGGATCCAGAAGGTTCAATGGCTTTCCAACCCAAACTCTTACAGAATGCATCTCTCAAAATTTGCCAATTGTCAAGCATGAGTTGACCAGTTTCTTTGACGTGTCTCTCGAAATCTTGCAAATCTTGTGACAAATATTCTCCCAATGCATGTTGGAAATAAGGAACACAAATATAGAGAGGATCATGAGTGCGCATCAATGCATTAATCACATCCTTTTGAGCAATGACATATCCACAACGCCATGATTGACAACCCATATTCTTTGAAAATCCTCTACAAACAATGACATTCTTCAAAGTATTCAAAATTTCATCGTTAGCAAGTGGACAGTAAACATGATCAATGGTGAGTTTTCCTGTTGATTCGTCCTTTCTCCAAACCATGTCACAATAACATTCATCCAGCAATACATAACAGTTATACTTGGCGCACAAATGAGCAAGTTTTTCCAATTCTTCCTTTTCATAGACTCGAGTGGTTGGATTTCCAGGATTGCAAATCATGATACAATCCAATAAACCCTTCTTCAAATAATTTTCCTCAATGTCCACAAAATCGATATCAAAACTTGGTGCAGGGCCGAGCTTTAAGAATCGGGCATGTTTTTCATGAGCTTCTTTGGTGTTACCAAAAACACTTTCAACATCTCGGAGATGGTATGTATAGAAAGGAGTCATTAATCCGATTTGAGTTTTACCTTGTTCTTTCATCCAAAGTAAAGTGCTCAAACATCCAGCAGTCACTCCTTGAACAGCCAAAATATTATCCAACTCCAAATTCTTCATTCCGTAATGATTTCTCAACATGTTCAATAAACCTTCTCGGTACACAGGTTGTCCCATACGAGCTCTATATTGATGCACGGAATCATCCATTGTAATTTTCTGAAGTAGACTTCTCAATGTCATGGGAGGAGCCAACTCAATCATGCCTGAATCAAAAGTCCGATGACATCAGCATCACCATTATCATCATCATCCTACTCTGTTGTTACATAACTTTCAAAAACTTACCTTGAGCAACGGAATCCAATCCATGCTTTTCGCAATAATCAAAAATATCTCTCATAGTGGCTCCCTTTGGGAGTGAAGGTTCTGGAGTTTGGGACATGATGATATTGTGCGTGAGTAGTATGCGAATGAATGGATAGTGCTGCAGAGAAAAATGCTTCGTCGCCTTTTCGCTTATTTTTTTTCAGCGAACAAATTGTTGCAACGAAAACTTGAACAAAAACTCGGAAATTCCACCAAGGTGCCTGACGAATGGATCGAACATGAGTTTTGAAGAATGGATTCAGTCATCGAATCTCTCTAATCTTGATTTGTTCGAATGAATAGTGAGGTTTTTCACAACAAGTGTTGTAACCTCAAGCTCTCTTGAAGACACTTATGAGGACAGACATTTGGCAAGGTGTTAGTAACTGAATGTGTTTGAAGTATAATCTTAGTCTAAATGGTGATCACCCTTCCAACAAAAATGGTTGAAAAAATTACTATTCGAAATGATTTTCTAATAATTTCAATACTTACACATACTTATCCATTTGATGTTGAGGAGCTTCAATACAATAATTCCATGCAAAAGTGTTCAACTGACGTCAGGAGGTTGACTTTTTCATCGCTAAAATAAGTCAACCTTTAATTCACAAGCAAAATAGCTCTCTAAAGAGCAAAGCAACCCAGTTGCAACTTCACATCCTGAAGGGATTCGGCGAGTTTATTTAATGAATTGATGATGCTCTCATTTTGAGAGATTATTTGTGTCTAATTTAATGACACTTGTGAAGAGGGAGGTGTGGTAGTTTGAGTGGTGATGCCAGTTCTTTGAGAGGTTGTTAAAGCAGATTGATGTGAAGTTGCAACTGGGTTGCTTTGCTCTTTGGAGAGCTGTTTTGATTGTGAATTGGAGGTTGACATATTTTTAGCGATGAAAAAAGTCAACCTCTAATTATTGTTTTCATTACAAAACACTTCTCCATCCATATTAACCAATTATTGTTGAGTTACATAACATTGAGTTGCTGCCTCTTTGACAAATCAACTTCAAGTTGCACTCCTGAAAATAGTTTTCAAAAACAAAATGCCATCTTCTTCTTCCAGCACCACCAGCACCACCACGACTTCTCAACTCTCTTTGAATTTCCTCTCTGAAATTCCCTCTCAAGTTCCTTGTGATGAATCCGATCCTACTTTCACCAAATCCTTTGATCCTCTCACACAAATGGATCAAGCAAAAGAGTTCTTTCGGGAATGGGGTTTTGCAGTCTTTAGAAATGTCTTGAATTCGGAACAGGTTGAAAAGTCCATTCAGGACGTGATGGATTATTTGGAATCAGGACAAGTCTTGAATACCTATGCAGGTGATTTATTGAAACGACATGAAACACAGTTGAAACGAGAGAATCCTAGTACATGGATCAACTCGAATTGGCCATCCATGAAAGAGGAAGGTATTTTAGGTGTTCCTCCTGTGTTCACGAAACAAGCCATGGACAATCGGCAACAAGAGTTGTTGTATCATGTCTTTAAAGAAATGACAGGTCAGGAAAAACTGTGGGTCTCGATGGATCGGTATGGGTTTTTCAGACCTACGAAGAATGGTCGTTCCAAAGAAAAAGACCGAGGAGAAATTAGTCGTGGTGGATACCGAGGTGAAAGATTTTCCCGAGCACAAATCCAAACGTAATGTTCACTTTGATCGAAATCCATGGTCCTATGTCTATGATTTGAATTCATTGTCTGGTGCATTTCCTCATGATTATCTGTATTTGCCTGGATTTTGCGTTGAATACAATGAAGCCGGTCGTTACGATGACGGAATTGTGAAATTACAGGCCTTACTCAATTTTGTGGATAATCGAGAACAAGACGGTGGATTTATCATTGTTCCAAAGTTTCACAAATACTTCCTCCAATGGGTTCAAGCAACAAAGAAAACTCTTGGAGCCAAACACCATTCGAGTTTTTTAGTGTTAAATTCCATCCAAAAGGAAATTGCAGAGAAGGGAGTGAGACTTCCTTTGAGGGCTGGAGATTTGTTGATTTGGGATATTGTGATGCCTCATGGATCTGCTCCGAATGATTCTGACAGATATCGACTTTGTCAATTTTTGAAAATGTTTCCTGCACAGCCTTTGAAGAAGGAGAGAATGAAGGTGATACAAAAAGCTGTAGATTTGAATGGAATGCAATTGACAGAACTTGGAGCAAAATTGTTTGGTTTGAAAGAGTGGTGAGATTCTAGAAGGGTAGAACCATCTGACATCTGTCATTGAGAATAAACCTCATCGCGAAAGCATGTTTTGAACTATTGCTTTTAAACTAAACGCACATTTATCAACTGGAGGGGACGGGTAAGCACAATAATTCCTCCGCGTTGACGGATTCCTTGTCTCTCGTTCATTGAATTCATTTATTGACATAATTGGAGAGTTAGAATTAATGCAATGGATTTGGCTATTTAAATCATGCATGTGTCTCACGAAAGAATCATTATGCAGCCATCAACAAATTAAAAAAATGCAACAACAACCATCCTTATCTTCCTCTCAACAAGCAAATTCCAATCATCGCATTCTCAACGATCAAGATTTGAAAAACAAATACAATGCCACCTTCTCAAAAGTATTCCAACAAATTTACGAACCTTCCACAAACATTACAGCTCAAGCTTTAATTTCATCTCTCTGTATCAACAATAAGAAGCGCATTCTCGATATTGGATGTGGTGCTGGAGGATCTGGATTTCTCATTGCTTCCCAAATGCCTCCCGATTGTGAACTCTTTTGTTTAGACCTCTCTCCTGACATGCTTCAACTCGCTCGCGAACGATGTGACATTCTCACTCGAGAACCCTTCTCTCGCAAGATTCACTTTGTCGAAGGTTCTGCCGAGAAACTCCCTTTTGAGGACGAAACCTTCGATGCCGTATTCTCCAATTACTCTCTGCATGTCATTCCAAATCCAGATGAAATGTTGAAAGAAGTGGCTCGAGTACTCAAGACTGGAGGAATGTCATGCATGAGTGTGTGGGGTCGTCCCGAGAAGTCTCCTCTCTTTACCTTGTTGCAGAAAGCCTCCACTGAATGTAAGAAGAGATTTCTGAAAGAGAAGAACTCTTCAGAAGGAAACAACAACAAGGTGTTGCAGCTGCAGAATCCTCCACCAAGATCTCAGTTTCACTTGTCCAATTTGGAATTGCTTAGAGAACGTGTATTGAATACCATTCTTACTTACGGAACACTCCATCATGAGGAAGAAAGTGCTTCCATGATTCACGGTAAAAGTGTTCCAAATAATGGAATAAGCACTACAACAATAACAACAACTCTTAAACGAAAAGCCTTTTCTCAATGTTTAGCTTGGTATCAATTTCAACCTTTTCAAGCCTTCAATGCTCGTGAATTTGCTGAATTGAATATCCTCTCGCCTGATTTTCAGCAGTGGATTCAAGAAGAAGAAGAAGAAGGCTCTAAAGAGAAACGAACACTCGAAATTTTGCAACTCTTGGAAGAGATGGCTCAACAAGTGATGATGATGACGAATTCGGAACCCATTGGAAATGAAGCCTTGATCGTTTGGATGAAAAAGGAATAAAAGGGTCTTAACGAAACCGATGGATCAGGAAAAAAGTGTTTCATTGAATATATATGATGTACTTCACAATTGTGTTTGTAATAATTGATCAAATGTGCGAGTAGTGATAATATAGAGATCAACAAGAGAACTGGAACTCTTTGTTTGATGAACTTGAAGATTAATTAGTATTAAAGCTACTAATGGATCAATAAGTTTCAACAAAAAAAAATTCAAAAACTCTCTGAAACAACATGCACACACAAAGTCGTCATTTGATCCTAACAGATCTCATCACTCAGAGCACGAGCAAAATCTCTCTCAATGTGAGCCATCAAAATGGCTGTACTGTCTTTTCGGCTTTTGTGTTCCGACAATTGCACGAATATCGATCGGAACCAAAAAGTGATCCCGAACTCGATGTCTATAATAATTTTTTTAATCCAGCCATGATGGCCGCTTGGCAAATTCCAAATGAAATTTTGGTCATTTCTGTTGGAATTAAAAGTATTCAATTGTTTCGACAGAATATAAATTCATTGCAAGATTTGGAGAGACGAATTCAAAATATTTTGGAAAAGCCTTTGATTTGTGTGTTGAAGGATCCAATGACTCTACAAACAAATGCACCACAACTTGTTCCAGCAATTTGTGGATTGGGATGTCATGTGACTGCATCTTCCTCGTGGAGTCCAACCTATAGTGCTGCCAATGTAGCTCTGGATCATCAACAAAAAGTGTTTGACGCAGGTCAATTTGATGTGGACACGGATAAATGTTGGGTTGCTGCCAGTGGTGATACGAATCCATGGTTGAAAGTGAATTTTGGAGAGTTGGCATTTGTGCATAAAATTGAAATTCAAGGAAGAAAAAAGTTCGAACATTGGGTTACTCAATTTGAGTTGCATGCGTCACAAGATGGAGTGAATTGGATGGTGGTTCCTTATAGTCCTCAATCAACTGTATTTCCTGGAAATACAGATAAAACGACGGTCGTTTCACACACACTTCAGAATCCAGTGTTGGCTAGAGTTTTAAAGATTGTTCCAAAGACATGGCACACGGAGGCCAATATGAGATGTGAAGTGTATATTACGTTCCCAGAAAAAGAATATTATCATTCAACTATTTAGGATTAATATTTGTAATATTCAATTTCTTTGATATTCAAATTCGAAGAAAAGCTTGAAAAATAAAGAGTGGGAAAAAAGTATCTGTTAGACCATTTTTGGGTGACATTTCCATTGTAGAACCGTTTAAAAGTTTTCATTTGTTTTTCTTCGTTGCTGGTGCCGACTCATCAACAAAGCTGACTTTTTTTCGTTTCTTTTCTTCTTGGGGTTTCTTGTTTGATTGAGGCTTTGAATTGTTAGACTGTTGTTGTGATTTGCTCTTTTGTCGGCCCATATGGAGAGCTTTTCTTTTTTCTTTTTTGTCGAGTGGCTTTTTCCCGTTGTTGGTTTCAACATCATCCTCTTGTTTTTTGGATCGTCCAATTTTCGTGGCTTTGATATTTTCAATGACCGTCTTCGTCATCTTTTGTTCTGAGACTTGCTTAATTTCTGACATGTAATCAGGAACAGGACAACCAGAGTTCTTCAACACGTCTGCAATATTTTTCAAAAGAGGAATATCGTCATAGGTGAAAAATGTTAAAGCCTCTCCACGCTGACCCGCTCGACCGGTTCTACCAATTCTGTGAATATAATTTGAAACAGAGGTTGGGAAATCATAATTAATGACACATGAAATGTTTTTAAAGTCCAAACCACGAGCCATGACGTCTGTACAAATTAAGGCCCATGTTTTTCCTGTTCTGAAATTTTGAATCACCTCATGATTTTTCTTGTCACTTCGTTTTCCGTGAATGTAGTCCACACAGTAATCGAGAGGATCACTGGCACCAGTTTCAGTTGAGCTCGATGACATGCCTGTTGTACTTGTTAACGTGTAAAGCATTTCCTTGTAGAGTTGTTTGGCTCTTTCAATTGATTGTACGAAAATGAGCACTGGAGGTTTCAGACCTTCCACTCGAATTCTTTCTTTCAGAGCCAGAAGTTTGCCTTCTTCAGAGCCAACAAAAACCAATTTTTGGTGAATGGTGTCAGGTCCTGCATTTCTGACACCAATACTCACTTGAACAGCGTCTGGTTTCAGAAGAGATGTCTGGGTCTTCAATGTGTGTTCCAAACTGAGTGGAATGGTAGCGCTGAAATATGCCTTCACTAAATTTGGGTTGGTGCAAAAACTCAAAATTTCGTCCACTTGTTCAATAAATCCCAAGTCGAATAAACGATCTGCTTCATCAAAAACTAGCATTTCTACATTGGTTAAATCAATAATTCCGTTCTTAATCATGGTCAATAAACGCATAGGTGTTGAAATTAAAATATCATTTCTCTTGGATTGGAATTTGTGATTGTCTCTCACAGCCCCTTGTGTCTCACCTGCTTCACTATCTACTGCAGATTGATCATTAAGGCGAATTTTCCAGTCTTTTCCACTTCCTAATACTTCCAAATTTCGATATATCTGATCAGCCAAAATCTTTGTAGGTGTAATAATTAATCCTCTAAATCCTTCTTTCCTAGGTTTACCCAAAAGACATAACATGGGTAAACAAAATGCAACTGTTTTACCAGAACCTGTTGGTGCAGCTACAAGACATTCCTTTCTCGACATGAGCACAGGTATGGCTTGCATTTGTACAGGTGTAGGTGACTTGTATTTGAGCTTGGTTTTAATATTCCTATATAAATAATCGCGCACCAAATCAGGATATCTATTCTTTAACTCGAGGAAAGAAACAAATGGTTTGTAAGGAGAGGTAAAGACCTCCACAGGGTCCGATGTGGTTGCAGAATTTTCAGAGCTTGTGTTGCTTTCTGATGGCTGAGATTGTTGCTTCTTCTTGGAAGTCAAAGTGGGAGCCAACAACAAATCGGGATCCATCTGGCTCACAATTCCTTTAATCTTGATTTTGTTGTCTTTTCTGAATTTTCGAATTTCCTCAGCAGTTGTGAGAGGAGGAGGTAAATTTGTCAAATCATCATCCTCTTCACCATCATTATCTTCCTTGCTATTATTGTTGCTATTCTCTTGTTCGGAATGAGCAGATGATGATGATTTCTTTAATTGTTTCATTCGTTCCCTAAGTGAAGCCTTTGATGATGCCTGAGAAGAAGAAGAGCCTATTGGTTTGGATGTACTCATTGTTGATGATGATGTCATTCCGAAAAAGTCCAAACTCGATGCTGGCAATAATTGTTCAAACAACTTTTCATCTGCCATATTGTGGATAGTTAGAGAAGCCTTGGTTCGGGCTGAATGTCCATTCGTATGATTGCTCTCCGATGATTGTCCATTTCGTTGTTTAAAACTTTGAACTTGAGTATGATCAAATGAGAGGCTCTTGGTGAGAGTTTCAAATAAACTTGTTGATGAGTCTTCTTCAGAGGAAGTGTGGAGATGATAATGTTTCATGAATTTTGTTTTTTGTGGAATCATCAAAAAATTTTAAGAAGCTTGTGTGTGTTCCGATTTTTATTAAATTCTCGTTTTGAATATTGGAAGGTTTTTGGTTTGAAATAATCATCATAGAAAATTTGAATCAATTTGGGAGAGAAAGTACAATCGTTGGGAGGCTTTGGAGGAGTGCTGAAAAAGGAAAATTAAAATTTAATAATTCATTCATGATTGATTGAGGCTCCACGTTGAAAAATGTCATTCTTTCGGAAATTAAACAAGATGAGACAGGATCATCATAGTGATGAGGACGTTTTTGTTGAAAGGAGTAATGATGATGATGAATCTGTAAATGAAATTTATGATGCCAATACATTGGAAATTAGTTTTTCTCCAAATAATAATCATTCGGATGATGAAGATCAACCAACCCAAGGCTTATGGAAAGCAACGCTTCACCTTCTCACTGGAGATTTATTTCCAATGAGGAATTTCATATTTCATAATCGGAGGAGGAGCAAATCATCACAGTACTATGCAACAACTTTTTATGAACAAATGATTTTGTACATTTCTGAATTATTGTTTGATAGGAATGATATGAATGCAAGTCGATGGATGATGCTTATTGCTTGTGTACTTTCATTGATCGGATATGTCTATTACCGATGGCTCTATTTGAAACGAAGAGAGGAAAGAACGGATTTTGTGGATTTGGCTCTTCGACAAAAGTATCGATTTTTGAAGTGAGCATTGGGGAGTTGTTTGCACCTTATCAACATTGACACAATCATCTCTTTCAGCACTTTTTTGCAGCATTCATGACGCAAACAATCACTGCGTCCAAGGTCTTCAATAGTATTCTGGAATCATATTTGGCCCATCGTTGCTTCCTAACCTTTTATTATTCTCGAATCAAGTTGTGCGAATTACTGACGATTGGCCGCTGATCGGTGACAATTTGTCGTCATTCAAAACTCAGAATATTTCACACACAGAAAAATTTTGAAGACAATTCAGCGTTGTTCGATCAAATCACACACAACAATTTCACATAACAGTGATGGCACTCGATCTCTTTCATCTCTTGGTCATTGAATGACCATTTCCAGCTCTTGTTCTTGGATTGCTCGGAGTGTCATGGGTTCTTTACAGCCTCTCTCGTTCATCACTCTTACGAACGCACTGCCTTCTACTGGTGGCTTCCTCTTTTCTTTTACATGATTCATCAATTTGAAGAACATGGAATTGATGTGTACGGTAATAAGTATGCGTTCAAAGGTCAATTATGTGCCTTGTTGGAACAGACTGCCACCAAGAAGAGAAAATGTGCTGCTACTGAATGGATTATCATGATTGTCATTTGTGGAACTGTTTGGATCATGTTGACATTGGTTGCATTATTCCAATCCCAAACAAGTAATCGAAAGACTTTCACCTTATTGAAAGCAAGTGGAATTGGATCTATTCTTGTGAATGCTTGGAAACATATGATTGAAGTACCAACCACTGGTTGGACATATAATTCAGGACTTGTCACTGGTGTTACCATGTTTTTGCCATTGGCTTTGTTTTTAATGTATTTGGAAATTAAGGAAAATGGTGGATTCAAAAACGTGAGCTATGTGTTGAATGTGATTTTTTGGAGTGTGGTCATGGGATTCATTTCACATGCCGTTCTAATTGGTTCATTGGTCATGGCCATGAAAGGATCTTTCCAACACTTGAATGAAGAAGCAATTTTGACATGGATTCAATTGTTGAATGGAGTCATTCCTTGGTTGTTGACTTGGCTCGGAGGTGTCATATTGAGACCCTCTGGAAAAGAGGAAAAGGAATTGCACAAGAACAAGTAAGACAGTTATCAAGTTCATCCCAGAGATGCAATGTTTTCTCGTCTCCAATAAATTTTATTAGAATGCCACTTCAAATTATCAAATGACAATATTAATATTTAACATATAAAAAACATGTTTTTAAAATATTAAGAATTAATTTTTTGAAAATTTTAAAAAAAACAAAAAAAATGCCCCCTCAACAACATCCTCCGAATTCGCACCTCAAGAAACCCACCAACACACTTCTCAGTAAGAACACGACCACTCCTCCTTCGAGGAAAAATTCGGGAGCAAGTAATGTCGTTGTTGTTTCTGGACAAAATACAACATCTCCGAATATATTACCAACACAACCATCAGCATCGACAAATAATGAAGCAACACAGCAGAAGAGAACAGTTCAAATGATTACACCACCTCCACCTTCATCATCATCATCGGCAAGTGGTACTGCTAATGCATCTTCTCAATCAGCACCAAGTAAAAGAGGAAGAAAGAAAAAGCAGGAACAAACAAAGAAGGAATTATTTATTAATACAGATGTCAATTCATCATTGCCAGTTGCTTCATCGGATGAAGGAAAACAACAAACAACAGCAGAAAAATCATCTAATATTCCACAAGCTTCACCTCCAACGAATCCGACTACACCAACATCTTTCGGAAAGAAGAAAATTCGTCCAACATTTGCAATGGCAAAAATTAGAAGAATAATTCAATCGGATGAGGAAATTGGAAAAATTGCTGCTGCCGTTCCTGTTCTTGTTTCTCGGTCGTTGGAATTATTTATTCAAGATCTAGTGACACAATCGGCAAAAATTACAAAGAGGAGAAATGCCAATACGGTTACACCAGCTCACTTGAAAGAATGTATTGAATCTGAGGAACGTTTTGACTTTTTGAAAAACAAAGTTGCAAATATTCAAATTTTGGCATCCGCTCAAGGTGAATCAGCTGTCATGAGCGATGAAGGAGAAGGTGCAAATACCACTACGGCTGCTGCTGTGGAAAAGCCAAAAAAGAAGGGAGGAAGGAGAAAGAAGAGGGTCAAGGAGGAAATGGAACACGAAGATGACGAAGATTTTGACCATGAAGAACATTATGCAGATTCAGAAAATACTCTTCCAACAGCATCGTCATCATCACAACAAGTATCATCTCAAAAGTTTCCAACTGCTTCTACCGTATCCAATCCAGAAACCTTAATGGGGCAACAATCTACACCATCGTCGTCGCACTATGCTCCTTCTGGTGTTGGAGGCAACCAGTATAATACTTCGACTACATCAACTTCTGCATATGCTTCCTCATCGTCATCGGTACTTCCTCAATACACCTCCACAACATCAGCAGCAGGTCAGCAACAACAGCAATTACCGCCACAGCAATATGCTTCATCACAACCTCAGCAATACTATTCACAGAATTCTCACAATTATCAATATCCCTCTTCTCAGCAACAACAATTTTCACAACCACCACAACACATGCACCATGGTGCTGAGACCTCTGCATCCTATCCTTTCCCAGCAAGTGCTGCAGCAAACATGTCATCCACATACTCTTATCCATATCCTTCATCAACACAAAATCCACAATCAAATTCTACAAGCTATAACAACACTGCTTACCACCCTTCTCAGCAGAGTTATTCGAATCACACATATCCATCCTCTCATCAACAAACACAGCTACCAACAACTTCCTATCACTCCACAGATCAACAATATTACCACTCTCAATATTACCAACCTCAAAATTATCCTTCTCAACAGCCTTACAACACAATGTCAACACCATCTTCCTCAATGCAGCAACCACTTTATGGCCATTCATCCTCAAGTACTTCTCCTCCTACAGGTTCCTCAAGCCAGCAAGCATTTGTATTGCCCAGCATTTCATCTCTCACGAGCCAGCCACCCCCTCACATTTAATGTACATTTCAAAAAAGAAGAATACTAATGGTCATTTCAATTTAATATAATTTTCAACGTTTTACTGTTTCACAACTTGTTTTTAACAGGTACATTGATCTGTATTGATGTTTGGTCTTGGTGATGGTGCTGGCGTAGGTATTGGAGTACTACCGCTTGTGTACGAGCTCAAAAAGACGTCACTTGTGACACTTCTGATCCATGGTAAATAATTAGTGACGTTTGCATAGACACCGACATTATTTCCACCACATCCTGCTGGACCATAGGAAACAATTCCGACCAACACTGGCGCATTGGAATCCCTGCTGTTCAAATAGAATGCAGGACTTCCAGCGTCACCACTACAAATATCAATACCTTGAGCAGAACCTCCAGCTCCAATGCACATTTGAGCAGGTCCAGAAATGGTCAATTGTTTCTGAGAGCAAACAGAGGTGGTCTGGAGTGGAATTTGACCCTTTTGTAAATTGTTGACACTACTGCCTTGGTTTTGAGTTGCTCCCCAACCAGCAATTTGAAGTTGAGCTCCAAAAGGTACAACTCCTGATTCTAATTTGAAGGATTTCACTTTGGAAGACATGGTCACGAGAGGAAGGTCTTGGGATAATTGAACGAGAGCAATGTCGTTGGTGATGGAGTAGACATCAAAGTTGGGATGAGGCACTACTTGAGATACCGTTCGTACAATGCATCGTCCAGAGGTGTCTTTGTAACAATTGTTATTGGATGTTCCTGCAACGACCACAAGTTTGGAAATGTCAACACCTTGGACGCAATGGGCAGCTGTTATAATGTATCGAGCATTCACAATGGATGCACCACAGAAATGGGAAGGTGCTTGGTCCGCAGCACTCTGATATTGAATACTCACAATTCCTGCGAATTCAGACTCGGATGCTTGTGTGCCACCCGAGAGTTTGATACTGGCAAGTGTGAAAGGGCATTCTAAAAGGAGAATGGTCGCAAAAATACAAGCCAGTGCAAACACGAATGAAAGTTTGCTGCTACTTGTTGGTTGTGTTGACATTGTCTACTATTAGTTTGTGTTGTTGTGTTTATACAATTTGTTTTTTGTGAAAATACAGGACCTAAATGCTGGTTTTAAAGCAGTGGGAGTTTACCAAAATATCGATTGGTGAAAAGTTAGAAAGGGAAGTGGATCATGATTGGCGCGTTATCTAGTTTTCAATTTTTGTAGAATTAGCTATGATTTTAGAGAATGGATTCCAATTCATAAGCGCAGAGAGATAGGTTGAAGAAGTTTTGAATTAGTGAATATTGTACAGGTTTGGTTCATGGCAGTAGATTTTCATTACTCTTTTCCTCAGATGTCATGACATTCACATCACAGAATCCTTGGTGATTGGATGACTTTAGGAGGCGAGATTTAAACATCTGCATGTTTGGTGAATAGTGATTGATCGATGTGAGTTCATGGGCAACATGATGCATTGTCGTTCATGTGCATTATCAATGGGAGCAATTGGGGCAGGAAGTAATGTCAACACATGCGTCCATTCAAAAGTATGGCAAGTCATTGAAACAAGTCAACAATAGAATGTTTAAAGTTCACTCACATCACGTACCTGTTTTCTCCTTCTCATCAACTTGTACATTTCATAATCAAAATTTTCCAAAAGTTCCACAATGTGCTTATGACCACGCTCCGAAGCGATATCCTTTGATGATTTTCCGTTCTTGCATTTCATATTCTTGTCGGCTCCTCTCTTAAGGAGGTATTTTACAATTTCAAAGTGACCATGATTTGAGGCAATCCATAAGGCAGTCTGCACGCATGATGATGCATCAAGTTTAGCATTGTTTAAAGGAAGGAAGCCATTTCAGCCAATATGAATAATGAATTGCTCAGGTTAATATTATTCAGTCCAAATATTCCAATACTTACATGTTCGGACTATTCAAATGCAATCATGGTTTACATTTGTATACACAAAGAGACAAATGATTGTATTCAAGTTTGGCAAAAGTCGGTTAGTTTGTGAGAGGCTTGCTTATTTATCCTCATCGTTCCGTGTACTTACCTCCTACATCAGTGTTCATGTATGTAGATTATACAACGCATGAGATGATGTTACATTGAGAGAGATTGCAATATGATTCTTTGCCTGAAACAAAACAGTCAAGTCGTACTTACTTCGTTTAAATCATTCACTCGAGCTCCCAAATCAACCAAATATCTCACGAGAGGAAGGGAGCCTTTGGCACACGCCGAATACAGTGGTCTTCTTCGGAAACATTTGTCATAGTGGTTAATTAAATCAATAATTTGGAAAGGCATTACAGGTGCTGCCAGGGCTGTACCGTGATAGGAATAATAGGTTGCATTCCGACGATGGTTAGAATTGTTAGAGGCGGCTGCTTGTTGCTCCATGGAAGCCTTATTAAGCTCTTCAAAGAACAAGTACATTTGATAGAAGGAATTAGTTTCAATCCAGTACACTGTTTTATACGCCAAATATTCCAGTGGCAATGGAGGTGAAGCAAGAGGAGCTATGGTGGTTGCCATTCTCAGTTGAGGTACTCTACTGCAAAGATGATACAAAAGATATTATTCTTGTTCTCGTGAATGTAGTACTACGAGTAATCGATCCAAAGAGCCAACAAACACGAAAGGTTGTTTGAAAAACTCCAAAAGATGAAAAATCCTTGTTGTTCTCCTTGAGGTGTGTTTTTTTTAAAAAAAATCTTAAACGTTATTTTTGTTTTAATGCATCAAGGAAACTAAATTTCGAGCGGAAACCAACAGATTGATGTTCCTATTGGTTTCATTCTCACGGAAAGGAATATTAATGTAGAAAATCATAGAGAGAGAAATAATCTCGTGTGTTTGGTTCTTTTGAATCTTAATGATTGGTGATGGAGAGGGATTCTTTTATGGTTTTGCAAAATAGAGAAAGGAAACTCTTTTTTGGTATGTCAGTTCTTGCATGGTGCAACAAACTCGATTAACTGTTGTGGCAACTTTAAATTGTTTTTCGTTAATAAAGTTCTTTAATTCCATCCTTGTCCAGAGATGTGTAAGTGAGCTCGCAATAATAATGTGTGAATTGAAACATTAAATCCTTCGTTTGTATTTCACATTTGCAATTCAAATCCATTTCATTACAAAAGAGATTCACAACAATGTGACCCGAGTTGTGTTGCTTTAACCTTTTTCTATCAAGTCATTTCGAATGACATCTGTCCTAGTTGTGAGCAAGTGTCACTTAAGGAAAGAAATGCAACGGCTATCTTCATTTCTGCTCTTTTCTGCCGTGCGGAAGAGCGAGTCACTCCGGACAGTCAAAGTCGTCTGTCACCTGCCAACTCTAAAAAATAAAACCAATCGTCTCACAACAGTCATTGCGGACCGACCAACAACATCCTCATACGCATCGGCCGTGAGTTCAACTTACCTTTCTCTCAACCTTGGTTGCAAGAGTATTGGTCATCCCGACCGAATCTCCACAACACGAATAATAATTATTAAATTAAAAAAAACATCAAGAATAACAAGAATAGTGAAACTCCTCTCCAAACTGTTCTTCCTTCATTCACTGAAGGTGTTTGAACACAAATTCTTCTTCCATATCTATTCCTATTATTCTTCTTCTTGTACAAGAATATCCTTTTTGGAAAAACATATTTTCATCATCCTCTTACATCTCTAAACACAATCTTGTGAATACGTTTTTCTGTCGTTCCCGCTCAACAACAACAACAACAAACGAAGAATGGGACAAAATCAATCCACCTCCACCACCACCAACAGCAGCATCACCACCACTACTTCCACTTTTGATTCAACAAGTTCTTCTTCGGAAGAATTAAAATCTCCTCCTTCTCCTCCGCCTTCTCCGAACAAGAAATTCAAATCATCGTTCAAGTTCTTCAAATCTTCCTCAACTCCAAAAAAATACACAAATGACTCGACTCAGAAAAGCCCCTCCTCCTCCTCCAACTCTTCTCTTGCCTCCAACGGAGTTCTTTCCAACACAACGGCCATTCCGATGTCTCTTCCGAAAACCAGTGACGGACTTTACACCTTAAATTTCACAATGGATCAATTAGATGAAATCAAAGCCTTCTTTGAAAAGTATGGATTCGTCGTGGTGAGAAATGTCTTGTCGGAGAAACAAATTGAGGAGACGATTGAAGAAATTTGGAAGATTATTGAAGGAACGGATGATTCCACAAAATCCGTCATTGAAAGTTTAAGAGAATTTCACAATGGAGGAAATACGGAAAGTTCATCCAATGGTGTCTCTTGTAATGAATCGAATTCGAATGGGAATTCCAATTCTAATAATGCTTTTACACCGGTTCAGAGAAATGATCCGACGACGTGGCGAGAAGAATGTGGATGGCCAGAGTTTGACAATGTCGGAATTTTGGGAAATCAACCTGCAATGGTAAGTGTATGAGTGAGTCATTGTTTCCAAAAATTATTTGAAAATGACAACAATTGGTGTGGAAAATGTGTGTTAATTGGAAATCTCTACACGCGATTTTGATGAATTGAATTGAAAATTTTGGCCTTGTGGGATCTTATTTTCGTTCCTCTTGAATATTAATTTAATAATTTTTTAAATTGATCGAAATTGATCCCATGCGAATTATTGACATTTCTTTATTTTCCATGAATAGGGTATTTGTGCTATGGAAAATCGACAAAACGAAAATATTTACAGAATATTTAATCTCCTCATGAATGGATGTAACAAATTATGGGTGGGTTTCGATACGTATGGAGTTATGAAACCAACCAAAGACGTTCTCTGTAAAGATGGAAAAACTCGAAAAGATTTTCCACAGTACAAAACAAAATCAAATTGGTTACATTGGAGACTCAATCCATGGAAACTCTTCAAACAATATCAAACACTGAACACCAATTTACAAAAGCATTTGAATTCTAGCACTTTAGACCAATTACCTAATTTGGTAAATTCATCAAGTCTGACATTTACAGACATTGGATCCAGTCGAGGATTATTCAATTCAAGTCCTCTCACAGATCATGCATCATCACCTCATTCACACCAAAACAACAACCACAATCACAACCATCAAAATTCCTCAAATCTCGAACCCTCCAAATCCTCTTCTCCTTCTTCTTCTTCCAAAAAAAAGAAATCCTCCTCTTCTTCTTCCTCTTCTTCTTCTTCCTCCAAATATTCTCCATGCGAACGTGCTCTCTCTCTTCTCAAGACTTGCACTCCCCGAAAATTCTTGCTCAATGAGGATTACGGCATTTTTCCATTAATGGACTCGGAGAGCGCCCTCGTCTCGAATCCCGCCAAAGACTATTTGCGCGACGAGTTCAAACTTCAAGGTTTGATTAATTTGGTGGATTCGAGAGAGCAAGACGGAGGTCTCCTGTTGGTTCCGAGTTTTCATACGCCTGATAATTTTCTGACGTGGACAAGGGCCACTTATAAGCGATTTGGTACCATTACGGAACATCAGGATTCATTTATCAAAGTGCCACTTTCTTATGATTTGTATCCATATGCGAAACCAATTTCATTGCCAGCGGGAGCATTGTTGGTGTGGGATTCGAGAATTCCATCGTGTACTTATTCGAATGATTCAGATCGATTTCATATGGTTCAGTATATTCGAATGTTTAAATGTGAAAAGTATATGGATTCGAGTGTGGTGAATGAGAGTACGAACACGACCTTTTTTGAAATGCGAAGACAAATGATTCTTCAACAAATGCCTAAAGACTTTGTGCCTTCACCCATTGGTAAGAAATTGTTTGGATTGGAGGAATGGTAAAGTGTGACAAGTGACAGGAAATGTGGATTTTGAGTTTTTGAAATGATACTCAGATTTGTAAATAGCATTAAGGTTCAAACCAATTTTGTAAAATTTAACTTGTATTATTTGTTTAATATTTAAAAATTAATCGAGAACACTTATTATAATAAGATTGCTCGATTTAGAGTTTTTCTCCTCTTTCTTTTTCTTCTACCTTGTTCGGTCCGAAAATTATTTATTTAGTACTAACACAATTATGACATTTAAGGCAGTATCCAACTATCTTTTTCTACAAAGGCCAAGACTTTATAAATCTTCATTTCTTTAAACCTGATCAATATTTATTATAAAGTTCATATCTTAATCGACTGTTTTACGATATTGCTTCATCACAGTCGTTTCAAGAAGTCCTTTCAATTTGTTCACCATAAAGGAGGAAAACAATACTTTTTCTTCCTTAATCACAAATCCATGTTTTGGACCTACGCTTGCTGCCTTCACTCGAGCATCCACTTCATACGATGGGAGAGGTTCTTTCGAGTTTTGAACTACCAATTTGGCCACGTCCGTAAAACAAGCTGATTGAAGTCTGGCATTTTGCAATAACTTGTCAACTTCCAAATTATTCACATCTCCTAGAGCAAACACATTTCTCAAGTGTCGGGTATTGTCACTCGGATCGAGTACTTGGAAATGTTTGTTTACCTTAATGTATCCTCTCTCATCCAAAACAGATTCAAAATTCGAACCTTTCAGCATGTCCGTGTTTGGTTTACATCCACTGCATAAATAACAAACAGAGCAATCGATTTCTAATTCTTCAGAACCACCATTTTGCTGATTTGGTGCTGTAGTCTTGACCACAAGCGTATTGGCATCCTTCTGGGAGGTTACTTGTGAATGAAACATGATTTTGAGATTTTTGAATTTCTTGAAATTCTCTGATACGACCTTATGTGCTGCTTCTGAAGGTTTCATAATCATGTCACCTCGTTGAATGAGAATAAATTCTCTCTTTGGATAGGAAAAGGCTAAAGAACCAGCAAATTCCACTCCAATAAATCCACCTCCTATTAATACAATTTTCTTTGTAGAATCATTCTTGAGAAGTGGAATGGAGGATTTCACGCTTTCCAAAGAGTATGGATCTACATAAAGAATCTTATTATCTGGATTGTCCTGTTGTGTAAATTCTAACATGTTTTTCCATGAAGATGATCCTGTTGCAATGACAAGATAATCATAGTTTAAAAATTTGCGATTTTGGAAGGCTGAAAGTTTTTCGTCATTTTGTGTGACAGTATTTAAGAAGGAATCAAATGTAAAAGTTGTGTTCGATGTTTCAACAAAAACTCCCTCTTGTGTTACATGTCTCACCAAGCCACGGATGAACACTCCTCTATTTTGCATTACATCTGAAAGAGGAACTGAAATCTTGTCTGCATGTTCTTCTTTTTCCAAAACAATGGGATGAGAGGGTTTTAAACTTGCCACATCATTCTTGTCAATGAGAATTATATTGAAATATTCAAACAAGTTCTGAGCTGCTGTTATCTAACAATTTTCATGTGTTCACATTCAACATGCAAGAATTGTTGTTCAAATTACATGCAACACCAAGAATTATTCAACAATGAAATTCCATTTTGGTCATCTATCAAACAAACTTCAAAAACTTACTCCTGCATGTCCACCTCCCAAAATAACCATTCTTGGCAAATACTCTCGTGTGAATTTAAATAATTTTCCATCTTGAATGGTGTACTTCTTTTTATCGATACATGTAATGATTCCATTTTCAATCATGAAATTTGCAATCTTCTCTGCTCCCTTCTGATCGACGTGACATTCCTTCTCAATTGCCTTCAACAAGGAATCTGCATTGAAAACACTCCGATGAGCCTTTCCAAATAATTTCTTCTCATCCCGATAATTCATTTCGTGAACGGGTTGAAGTCTTTTAATGAGGGACAATAATTCTATTTTCATGGCAGAAGGATCCACTGGTGAGGATGATGAACTCTCTGAAGAGGCAAATTCCGATAATTTCGGAAACGACATGTTCTCCATGATCTTTGAGGTGTTTTCGAGTTGTTTTTTTTGTTGTATTTTCATCGATGTTGTTCGGGACTTTTAGATGTTTGTGGCATTCTTTGGGCGCACCCTTCTCGACGAGATGCATCAAAGTCGTCGCATGTGCATGAATTCTATGGAAGGCAGAAAAACTGCGCATGCACTGTGGTCAAAGTTTGTTTCAGCTCGGGTGATTAAAGATAACAAGTTCAAATCCATTAATGATCTCGGCGTGTCCGTTGAAAAAGTGCGCACGCTCGGAAAAGTGTCGCAACAATCCAAAAATGTTAAGGTTGTCTCTTCACTTGGAGGCGATCTTTGAATATATTCAACACACGACGATGGTTCATTCCTTAATTCTTTTTGGAAAGGAAAGGGTGATTGAACATGTGCATTGATGAACTCTCTTTTTAGAAAGAATGTGTGACAACCAACAATGTGAAATCAACTTTTCAAAGAAGATGGTGGTCGTCCTGTTGTTACTCGTAGTAGGACAGCCACTGAGTCGCCGAAATGCATGTTTTGATGGTTTCAGAATGATGATGCACGGATATGGTTTCGAAACCATAGTAAATAACTCATCGAATTTCTTACACTCTCTCCGATACTTAAAGAAAATTCCACCACATGCATTCGCCATGAGTGCTGACAACTCGAACACCAAATCCTCCTCTCAATCCTCCTCTTCATGGTTCTCCGCACCCTGGTGGTGGACCTTCGGATCGGTACCAGAAATTGATTCCGATTCCTTGCATCAATTAGTACAATCAAAACCCGAACCACCTCTTCAAATTATTGATGTTCGGACCGAAACTGAATATCAGGAAGGGCACATTGAAGGCTCTATGAATTGTTCCTTCCTTCCTAACGTTTTCAGTTTTTCAAACCGAATACAAGAATTGAAATTGGATCCCTCTCGGCCTGTCTATGCCATTTGCTTGAGTGCTCATCGTTCCATTGCTGCCGTGAAATGGCTCTCTCAGAATGGATATCAGGCTTTTCAACTGAAAGGAGGTATGAAAGAATGGAGAAGGCTGAATAAGCCGGAAGTGAAAGATTGAATGGTATGAATTGTTTCATGTAGTGCTGTAATTAGTGATTGTAAATATGTATTCATCAAGCTTAACTCCGAGAGTATATGAGTACAACAATAGCACAATTTGTTCAGCTGTAAATATCGTAATTCATCATGATGAGTCCAAATTAAATATTAATAAATTAAATTATTTTTTAATATTTCCATTAAATTTATATTGATGTTTCTGTATTCTATTGAATCCGTCGATGCACCCTATAGTGAATTCCATCACCACACACGACTAGTGCACTCATCCAATCAAAATAATAATAACAACATCCACAAACCTGTTTTCATCAACAAAAAGAAAAATGAGCCAACAACAACAACAAGCCTCTTCATCATCATCGGGAAACAATACAGACAATGAATCCAAAGAACAACGAATTTCAATTGAACACGATCAAATTCGTAGAGATATGATTGCTGCTGCTTTATTGGGACCGTGTAAAGCAATTAATCGTGAATTATTGAGATTGAGAACGGTGCAGACTGTGAGCACGGCACAAATGGAAGCAACAGAACAACAATTATGGAAATGTGTTGAAAGTTTTGCTCAAAACTTTGCAGAGAGAGAAGGTGTTTGGGGAAGTGCCATGATTGTTGCTCCAACACAAAAACCAATACAGGAGGAGATTTCAACAACACCACCGGAATTCGGACCACCTCCAATTATCGGAGGAAATGTTGGCGATATTTATTATTTTGAAAGAACGTCAGGAAAAGTACAATGGGATAGACCTTCCATGTTGGACAGGTTAATTCGAGAGGGAAAATCTGCTAGAGACCAAACAGAACCAATTCATGATTGTGAATTTTTGCAAACAAACTTTTTCATTTGCTTACGTAGTACTAGGGCCGAGAGAAGTGGATGCTCTTTTGAACATGACAAACTGTTACGTTGTATGAGAGCAAAAGTTCTCGGAAATAAGAAGTAAATTCTTGAGAGTGGCGATAATTTATTAATGTTTCAATGTTTCAACTGTAATTCACGAGTTTTTTGTGCAGTAAGGTTAATTGAATATTTCAACATTGAATTCAACAAGCAACGAGTGACAGCCAACGTACTATTCACCGTGAGATGTTCAATCTTTTGAACTTTACGGAGCTTCTTCTTCTTCCAATTGATTTTCACAAGCCAACCAAAATGTCTTAAATTTCATGACCGCGTCGAATTACTTTCGACGACTTTCTCCTTTCATTCCCAATAAATACCCATTTCAACTCTCAAAGCTCAGAACTCATACTAAACCAAATTCCAAAAAATGTTTCAATCTTTGCGTTCCGTTGTTGGTTCTTCCCTCAAGACCACCATCCGAGAGAGAGCTTCTCTTTGGATGATGATGCTCGTGGTGGTTTTCATGCTCGGGATCATCATGAGCAGTAGTAATTGTCCTGGCGATGGTGCTGCTACTGCTGCTATGGTCAGGGGTAGCTCACCACTCGTAGAGGCAGGACCGAATGGAACTCAAATCAAAACAATAACCACTGGAGAGAAGATTGTGGATTATGTTTCTCCACAACGTCCTGGTTCTCCACCTTCCATCTATTATAAAGTAACAGTCCCTACCATGATGTATTTGGATGTTGCAGCCTCTGCTGAGTATGGACCCGCAACTCTGTATTTGAAAATTAATGATGTTCCATTGGAATCCGATTTTGGTTATAAACAAGTCGTGAGCAAATCGTGGAAACATGAATATTATAGAAATGGTGTGGATGGTGATCAAACGTATTACATTGGAATTTGGGGAGATGCTAAATGTACATTCATGGTCAATGTGGTGGACAGTCCTATCAATAGTGGGGAAAGTGCTGGATTGGTGGCTGGATTGGTCATTTCCTTGATATTACTTGTATTGGCTGTAATTGCATTGACTGCTGGAGGAATTTTGTATTATCAACAGAAACACAATCATGCAACAAGAATGGTGTAAGGAATAAGGAATATATTGGACAAGACTTTTTAATCTCAATGTCATCATCACCTCAAGAGGCTGTGACCACAGTCCAGACGAACACGGAATGTTTCTGATGTCAGAGTGGAGGATGACAAGGAGGTTTCCAAATTTACAAACTTTGATGAACAACATTGTAAACTCAGTGACGAAAGGAAATTATTCTTTTTCAAAAGATATTCTGTTCCTTACATTTTCTAATTCATCCCCTTATAAGAAAAAAACCATTTTAAGATGATCATTCATAACTGCCAAATGTAAGATATCCTGTATGGAAACACACATTCATCCTCCTCTGTGCAACTCTTTAAAACTCACTATTTGCTTCAGCAAGACAATTAAAACTTGAAAAAAACAGAACTTTCGTAAATGAAATTTGAATCCATTGCTGATGTTGGTGTGGTCCTTGTGGTCACTGTCCTCATCTTTGGTTTCCATCATTCTGGTCCACATCATGTCCATTCACTCTCTCTCCAGCAACAACCACAACAAGGACAGCAACAACAACAGACTCAAATTGCTCCAACCTCATTCACCAACGTTCCAGAGTCCAAGTATTGTGTGAGATATTTGAATCAAACTCAAAATGACACTCAAGTGGGTGTGACTCTTGAGAGTTATTATGATTGCGGAAAGTCTGATCGAAATGGGGATTTGAGTGTGATTCATCAGAAAAATCCAGATCGAATGGACTTGTTGTTGTATCATTTTTCGAATTATGTAAGTAGTTGAACAAGGTTTTCACTTATTTCCTAATTTGGAAACAAAATTTTTTGGAACACATTTCAAATTACCTTGAATGTTGTACCTCACCTCACATAGCCCAATCCAACCTACGGAATGATCGGCTACCCCCTTCTCGGTAATCCAACTCCAAGCACTCAACAATCTCTTCCCAACAGTATTTCCACACAACTTCCAGCTCCAAATTTCCAAATGTGGATCTCTTTGGACCGAATTGTTGAATTCACACTCAGCCTCCAAGGTGGCACTGACCTCAATTCAGAAAAAGCCTCTCTCCAAATCTTGCAAGATTTCCCCATCAATTCTCAAAACATTCCCTTCACCATTCAAAAACAAAACTATGGAGGTCAAGGACGGAATTACAAATCCATCTTTGCCGATTTGGAAATTCCACTTCTTTCTACTATTAATTCCTCCTCACCCACATCCTCACGTCCACCCTATGCTCAAAAACTTCACGTGAGAGCCATTGTCTCTGAGAGTGAAACTCGTGCAAGAACCAATCTCTTGAGCGGAGGCGGAGCTCAAGGAGGAAGGGATGCTTTTGCTTACCGAACCACTCCGACGAGTGTGACTCTCCTAGTGACTGCTCATGGAGTGAGACCTGGAGCCATTCAAGGAACTGGCAATGTGGGAGATGCTGCAGGAGTCGTCTCAGAGACTGAATCGACATGGGCAATCTTTGCCACTGTTTTTGTTGGAAATGGTTATGTCTTGAATACGAAACCACAAAAGAGAGCGACGGCTCCATGGACCACATCGGGTGGCCAATCGTATCCATTACCGTATGATGTACTTCCGGATTATTACTTGTACAATGTGTCCATGAATGGAATGTACATACCAGGTTCCTCTCAAACTGGAGCTCCTAAAACTCCCTTGGGATATTTCACACTTCCAAGATTTGCCTATGGCAATGAAAAGAGTCGAATTCAATTAGTCGATTTGGTGGACACGGTAAAACAAGGAACTTCCTTTTCGAGTAGTCCGCCTTCGAATAGTGCCATGAAGAATTCTGGTGTCAGTTCCGATGCAACACGTGTGGTGATGATTCCTGCTCAGAAACAAGAAGCATCCAATATTGGTGAGAACCGAAAAGCGGTTGCAATTCAAACGGTGCAATTTGCGCCAATATTTATTGGAGCTGTGGAAGTGACTGATGACTGCAATTGTGCGACAAATGTTCAAACAGTTTGGGATAATAATGCTTCTCAAAGAAAGCAAGTGAATGAGTAGAATAAGATGGAACATGGAAGTGATTTTAACTTCTGTCTTGAACTGTCAGTTGTCATGAAATCCAAAGTAGGTGTTGAAAATAAAAATTGTATTCAGACACTCAACAATTTTCGACGATCTTTTCTCCGTTCGATGCATCGTCTTATTGGTCTTCCATTAATGAATAACAACTCTTGTTGCATCATGTACAACCTCAAGATCAATGTCTCCAAAAAAGGTAAATTATTATATTTGTTCCATCCCCCAAATAAAAACCTGTTCCAACTATTCTCCATTGAACCAAAATAACAAAATGCTCACTTCCATCCATTCCTATTCTCCCCATTTGTCACTCAATTCTACTGAATCTGAAAGCCTCCACAAATCAATGAACACTCCATCATCATCACTTTCAAAACAAACAATCACTCCTCGAGAAGAAACTCCTTCCTCTCCTTCTGCTTCTACTTCTCACGAGATTGAAGCATTGAGTCCATTGAAGAACCCATCAAGTCCATCGAATCAAAAGAACTCTCCGGAATTGGAAGAACATTCATCTTCACAAAATCAAAACACAATCAACAACAACAAACAAGAGTCCTTCTCGAGTGCTGTGGAACCTCTTTTATTTGAAAAAACACTTCACCAACAAGAAGAAGCGAATTCTGATTTAGAATTACAGGAGATTAAAGATCGATTGCATCAAGTGATGAACATGTCCACGAGGGTCTTGCAACGATCCATGTTGGGAGATTTTAAGAAGGAAGAAGAAGAATTTAAAAAGAAACCTCCAAATTTGGAAGAAATGAGTGATGATGAAGAGGAATTTGATGAAGAACATGTGGAGGCCTATCATTCAGAAGACGACTTCCTCATCGATGAAAAAGGACATGAAAGAATTCCCGAGCATGAGGAGGATAATACCTTGAATGGTGAGACGAAAGGCGAATTTGACGAACATTTAAATCGTCTTTATCCATCACTTCGAAAATCGAATCAACAACAACATGAATTCCGTTCTTCGTCGACTCAACCAACCTCTTCTTTCACATCCTTTCGAAATCGTTCATCTCCATCATCCTCTCGAGACAAGGATCTCTCTTCTTTAAATCATCATCATGATTATGAACAAGAAGAGGAGATGGAACATTTGAAACCCTATGCTAGTGTTCGCTCCAAGAGTCAACTCGTTCCAAAAGAAGACACTGAACCGAAGCATTATTATCGAATTGCCACCATGTCCACTGGTATGGTCTTTATGATTAATAGTTTCATGCTTTATTTTGGTGGACAAGGTAAAATTCAAGTTGCAGAATTGTATGGATTCCATCAAGACAGCCCTCATTTGCAGAGAACAGTGGCTATTCTCTTCTTTGTGATGGGAGTGATTAATTTAGCTCCAAATTTGTTTGGAGGAGAAGAAGGATTCTCTCTGAGAAATGCTGCAGAATATTTCCCCTTCTTAATTGCAGTGTTGAATGTGGTGGTGGCAACACACTATGTAGTTGAGAATTTCAGGCAGGGAGAGACGCTGAATGTGAATTGGATCTCTCTAAGTGGATTGGTGCTATTTATCGTGTTGAATATCAAGTTGGCGACCTTGTCACATCCCGGTGCAAAGATTAAGGTGAAAAGGTCAGAGTATTTCCAGCAGCAGCAACAGATGAAATACCCGTCCAATAATAAAAATCAGTAACATGCGATTGTAAATAATGATAACGTTAATAGTATTAATAGTTGATAAGTGAGGGTACTATTTGAAAGATCTGTTGCGTAGAAGGAGAATTCCTATAAACCGCGTTGTGAAAGTGTGAAGATGGATAATTAAGTTCTAATTTTTCTGATCGGTGGACGAACTTGGGAGTGTCACTGATTCATCAAGGGATGTGAGAGACTTGTTCTCGCTTAGGAATCCTAGTGCACTCCTGGATTCATTATTCACGTCTTGTCGTAGTATTCTCTTCAGTGGTCTCAAAGGGCGTTGTTCCAATGTACCGTTGTTTGTCGTTGTTTCAGTGACCTGGTTCGTAGTTACATTTTCAGATGTAAATGAAGCAGCTGGTTGCAATTGGGCTTGGTTCGTTGGTGAGGATGAGGAAGCAGCATGTGTTGGTGAGGAGGAAGGAGGTGGCATCTCACCAAAGCTAGAACTTGATATCAAGGTTGGTGTAGCATCATCGTATTGCATATCAAGAGGATTGACATGATGTTTTGGTTTAAGGAGATAGGTTTGACACAACCCTTTACCTTTCACATCAATCTTGCGCTCCTCAAATTGAAATCCTAAATCATGCACTCTCTCATATGTTTGACGAGAGATTTGAATTCTTCCAGGAATACCGGTACTTTCCATTCTACTCGCAGTATTGATTGTATCCTAAAATGTTTTGGAACAATTGACGATTTCATAACATGCATATTTGATATATTGAAGAAAATGGTAAACAAAAAAACTCGTTTCAACCTACCCCCCATAAATCATACGCAAACTATCAAGTTGTGGGTAAAATTTTGATAAAATGTTGTGAGCATGACAGTGAATTAAATATACCTTGCATCGGTGATTGAAAGCAACTTACTTTTTTAATTCCAATAACGCCTGTCATTGTACATCAATGTTCATTTAATAAAGTGTAACGATTCTGTGAAAAAGCAACTCATACTTACCAGCAATGACAGGTCCAGTATGGATCCCTACTCGTATATTGACGTTAGTTTTTCCATTTAAATTGTAATCTCGAATGACAGCCATAGTTTCAATCGCAAATTTCAATGTTCGATCGGGATGATCGCTTTGAGTATTTCCATTAATTCCTCCCTTAATAATTGAATAGTGTTAACAAAAATATCCATTGCGTCATGAAAGACGTCCGCGGACGGAGTTTGATGAATTAATGAATTATTAACCTTCATGTAATAATAACTACATACCACACAAAAATAGGCATCTCCAATAGTTTTAATCTTCTCAAGTGTATACTTTTCTGTTAACAAATCAAATCCATTGACGATTGTATTTAGCATGTACACCAATTCAGAGGGATTCATTCCAGAGCTGATTCTAGTAAATCCAACCATATCTACATTAAAAGTTGAGAAACATTATTTGAAATTGAAATATTTTGTACCATTATAATCTTACCTGAAAAGAATACTGTGACGTCATTAAATTTTTCTGCAATAAATGTCTCTCCACTTTTCAATCTCGAAGCTACTGCTTCAGGCATGATGTTAAGCAGCAGCGTTTCAGATTTTTTCTTTTCCTCTGCCAAAAGCAGATTTTGCTTCTTCTCTGGTGTGAAATCCTGTAATAATTGCGTCAAAATCAATCGACAACATATCTCTCAAACTTACTCTGATGAAACAGCTTATAAGCGGCTTTTTGTTATAAATGCTCGCCACAATATTAACTTTTGCCGGAAATTTGCTTTGGTTTTTTCTTAGACATCCTATCTCCAAAGTTTCTCCCATTGGTTGAGCATTTGTAATGGTTTTCTGAATAATTTGGCTAAGTTTTTGATAATTTTCAGTGTCGGAAGGATCAAATAATTTCAATAAAGGTTGACCTAACACATCGCTGTTATTCATTCCAAACATGTTTTGAGCTGTTGGATTAAATAGCTCAATGTCTCCCTTGTGATTACATAAAATTGCTCCGTCAACAGCAGAATTCAGAATCGATCGAATTTTACCATCGCCTTTGTCATCGGTTTTTGCACGCGAAAATTTGAGCTGACTGGGCAACTCGTCAAAAAGGGCAAAGTTTTTAAGTTCTTCATTTTCTTCTAAATCGTCAACGGGAACATAATTAAGCATAATTCGTAGTTGTTGTTTCTGCCTCCAAAAATCTGTAAGCAATGAGTATGCAAAATAAGTCATTCCAAGTACAGATAGGTATCCAAAGAGAGAGAATGTAATGGTAATAGAAAAACTTGGTCGTGAAGAGAGTTTGGTGTACAAGGAAAAGAGGGTCACCATACGATCCATGAGTACAGATGTCATTTCATAATGTTTCAAGAGTCCTGTGAATAAGTCAATTAATTGATAGTTACTGTAATAGAGGTCCTCTCCAAATCTGTTAGCTGAACTGATCAGCTTTACAATTAGATCACTCATTGGTAAACATGAATATTGAGTGGTTATATTCGGATAGGTGCAATTACTAGGTACTAAAATAGCAGCAAGTTCGTCATACATGCGAAATGCATTTCTGTAATATAATTCATTCCATGCATCTGCAATAATGCCAGTCAATTCTTTGTGTTGTACATGAAAATCGTCTAGCTCTTTTTTTGTCATCAACCTATCATCATTAAGATAAAACTTGTATGGATATCTCAAAAAGGAAAACATTTCTGACAATCTAAATGCAATATTGTTTGCAGTTCTCAAAATATGCACACCATATGTTATATGACGAATGGCAGTCTCAGAAGCGGATGAGTTCAGATTCATTTCAGCAAACATCAATGTTATGCATAATACTGTGACAGCAATAGTAATAAGAACAGCAATGACTATGGATGTTTCAGGTTTAGAAATGAAAGACATTTCTTTCACATCAATTTCTTCATCACTCTTTTTTTCAAGTTGCGAAAATATTTTTCCGGCCACATCGTGAGGGAGATTCTTAGTCAAAAATTTGATGGTGGACCTTAGACTTTTCAGATGAATAAGCGAAATCACCACAACAATTACAGAACATGTGACGTATATAGAAATGGCAGTTGCATAGAAAGCTAAAAATTGATTACTACTGGTATTCACAATAACTTGATTCCTATTGCTAAATTGCGAGCAATATGCATCGTATGCTGCACTTTGATTGATTCTATTTGACCAATAGAACAGAAAATCAGCAGAATCAGTAGTTCTATTGTAATCATGAATTGTATATGTTAAAAAGTTTTGTGTGTAAAATATAAGTTGATCTGTAATTTCTGAAATCGAAGATTTCCTGTACTGTACGTATTCTTGTGGATTTGTTGAATTGTTATCATTGTAGATCACTGGTGTAAATAAATAATAATCTGTGTTAGTGAAATCTTGAATTAATGATTCACTGAATCTGGTTGCTGCTATTAATTTCAAATTACCGAGCACATTACTATACTTTCTCATTCTGTGTACGTGTGATTTGTGAAATTCCTCGGTGCTATTGACGTTTGGCAAACCTGTAGACCTTATTTCATGTGAATATTGAGGAAAGAGATGTAAAAAATTTTGTTGGGTTCGAATTTCTCTAAGAAACAGTCTTGGCAAAGCAGTTGGAATGCAAATATCATAACTTGTAATGGTTAACATGATAAAAACTACACAGTTAAAAATAATCTTGAAACAAACCTCAAGTCAATTGAAGATGTCATTATTTGAGCAAAGGAGATACTTAGTCCAAATCCAATGGAAACGACTACAATAGAAAGCAATGAAAGAGCTAAAAAAAATACTAAGAGACTCGAGTGCGAAGTTTGTCTATTGAGAGCATTTCTAAATTGGACCTCTTTCTTTTGAAGTCCATCATTAACATTTTCAATTCCATCAAAATTACTTTCTTCATCTAATGCTCGATTATTATTGTATCGCCCATAATTGCTTGCCAAATCTCCTACATAACTCATTTCTTCGTAATTGTTATTCCTTATTGCTGCAGAATTGATTCCTTCGTTTGGTAATACTTTGTTTTGATATCTTCCGGCCTTAGACTTTCTACGTGAACTAGAATACTTTTTGCTCTCCTCTTCTTCGATAGCAGCAGCCTGAATGAAAACATCAAATGATTTCTATTTCTAATTGTTGAATAATATTACATACCTCTTCGTAAAGCTCATCTGCTCGCTCTTTTTCAAACAAGAAGCTTTGTAAAAACTTTGCGTTTCTACGCAACACTGTCTTGTTATTGCCATAATTCGCCATCAAACCGTTGAGCGTAACTTTACACTCCTCTGTTAGGGATGTTATTTGCTTATTAATCGAGAGTATTTTCCCAATTGATACTGATTCATTAAGCAAGTTTTTCCAAAATGCTTTGTGTAGTGTTTGAAGTGTAAACTCCTTCTTCTCTAGTGTATGCAGAATGTGCTTAATCTCCAAAAGTCCTCTCTCATTATCTGAATTTGCTTCCACCTCCTTTGTTCTTTCAGCAATTTCAAATCTCTGTAGAAGTGATGGATGACCTTTTTTTGCTTTTCTTAACAGGGCTAATGATTTGGTGTTACTATTGATGTCCATACCTAAAAACGACCCCGTTACCACTGCAGCCATAATTAATAATTCAACATTTTGATACGACTTTTGGGTAGATACACCTTTTAAAAAACAAGTTACCATATCCAAGTCTCTAATAGATCCGATAACTTCATCTTCCTGAGCTTGTTGTTTGACAGAAAACTTTAAGAAATGATATAACCTTCGATTTCGATTGGTTTCATCTATGATTTGCAAAATTTTGATCGATTCCTTTTCAAGCACGGTTTTTGTATTCACAACATCAGCATCGTTATTCAATTGATTAAGTCCATACTCCAACTGATCATAAAAGACAGTTCGAATATCTCTTAAGATGTATCTTGTGTAAATTTCTAAAACAACCCAACCAATAATAAAAAAGCAAATTGATGTTCCAAAAGTCATTCCTAGCAGACCAAGCCCGAATCCCCATTCATCAAAGGAATTGACATACAGAGAAATAATTCCACATATTCCAACTCCAACTGTGGCCATTTCGAATCCGAAATACAGGGCATTTTCCCATCTTTTGTAAAATGGAAGTCTATAGGCAAACAATAATGCCAAGCCAACTCTACATAACAAATACAGTAGAGCAGGGGCTATCATGTAATTATGTGAAACCAAGTTCATGATTAGAAATAAAACATTGAGAGATAATAGATTAAGGTAATGTCCGTGCTGATTAAATGATAAGAAAGGGAGGGAGCTTCTCGGATTGGAATTGTTTAACGTGTACATTCCCAGAAAAACCATACAAAAAATAGTAACAACTGAAATAATTGAAATGACCATCATGGCAATATTTGTGGTGCCATAACATGCAACGTCAGGAAATCGATACAATACTTGAACTTCTGTGGAATGAGAGGGAAGCATCACACTAGATTGGTATGAGCAATCAAGAAAGCCAAGAAATAACCAAAGAAAAGGCATGGATAAATAGCAAACAACTCCTAACAATCTAATGAATTTTGAAGGAGAAAATTTGTATATGTTGTAGACAATTGAGAACATGATCAGAATGATGTCGAATGTTATCAATAATTAAATTTCACGTAGAAGGTTATCATGTGATGAAAAAGATCGAAAACTTAAAACGCGCACGCTCCCAATATGAAAACAACAACTTACATTCGTGTAATCACCTTAATTTTGGGCCAATGTTTGCTCATGGTATATACTGATCGATAGGCTAATAGTAAATTCAAAACTCCAACCATGAGCACAGAGAATAGTATGCAAGCAATGATCAAGGCTGCTGTGTAGGGCAAATGATGAAATCCAAAGGTGATTGGATAATTGAGAGCTTGAGCAATCCAAACACCATACTCTCCATAGTTGTAGTCGGAGAAAAATCCCACAAACAATGTTACCCACATGATGTACATGTTGGTTACAAGTGCCAAAAAAAAATCTTTTCGAGAGGTAGCTTCTTCCTTAATTTGCAAATTGAGAAGGAACATAAAGAACCGTTCCTCCAATTTGGCCAATGTAGATAACTTATAATAATCCAGCAACGTACTCCCTGCAGTATTTGCCGTATCCGCAATACTACCAGAACGAGGGCCTCTTCCTCCACCAACCACCGATGCTTCTGGCACTGGGAACGTAAAGCCTGATGTATCAAGTACGCTGTCATTGTCCGAAAATTGAGGCACCCCCGTCAAGTTCGCCGATAGTCCCGCGTTGCTCGTTCTACGTTTACTGTTGCCCTGAAGGATGGTATTATGGGGCTCCACGTTCATCATTTTTTTAGCGTTGATGTTCTTCGAGCCTTGTACGCGCCACACCTCCAAAATCGACAGCTCTACTGGTTGAGGGCAAGTGCGATGGAGCTCAAGATCCTTTTTGGCCGCCAAATTATTTCAGATACACTCAAAATTGTAAAGCCCGATCGGGGATATAGGTTGCTTTTTTTATACACACAATCAGAGTATGTTAATATGATAAATATAATAAATGTTGTTGCTATTTTAATACATACTCAAATGAGAGAGAGATGAGAGAGTGGTCATTTACTCTTCGTCATCGTCAGGAATAAATTCACTGGAACTCTTTTGCTTTCTCTTCTTCTTGTGACCGGTCGAAGATTTTTGTTTTCGCTTCTTTTCGTTGTGATAACTTTCCTCATGTTTGGAACTGTCACATTCTTCTTCCTCCTCATTTTCTTCTTCCTGTTTTGATACAAGAATACTGCTTCGAACAGATTTACGTTGAAGGGCCTCACGATTTTGTTTCTTCTCCATTTCAGCACGGCTCTTACTCCGACACCAGAAGGGTTCAGACCTGCACACTGGGCGTTGTGTGTCGCTTTCGATGATTTGCACGAAACTAATTTTTTTGTTGAGTGCCGAGTTTGGTGAGGTATTACCGAAACCAAAGCTTGAACTAATTTCCTTAATGGGTGGTAGTTTGATTTTGTAGTGGTGGTCGCGGCGAATTGAAATTCCAACTTCACAGTTAGGGGCACTGTGCTGTTGTTGCTCTCTCGAGGATAGACGCTCTGAATACTGTACAATGGAATGTTTGGAGAGAAGGTCCATGCAGATGTCTGGAGGAGTAGCGCTCTCAGAGGTATCGAGAACGCCTCCATTCATGGGTGGTGTAAGACCTGTCAAGTAGTGAGCACTTCTCATTTCTGCAGTGTAATTATCAATAAACATGAACATAATGTTTGTGTTGAAAATGCTACTGTCTGTAATGAGGTTGTCTCCTTCGAAAATTTTGGCATTTTCAATGTCAAAGGCTCGAATTTTGAGTTTGATCGTATCATTGACGAAAACAGACAAACGTGTTGGTTTTGATCCCTTATTAATGGTGAATCCCATGGGTGTGCATTCCACCTCAATACATGATGAGGCAGAGTCTTTCATTAACAAGTCAGTCTGACTCGCAGAAGAAAGGTTTGGAAATTTGGCATCAAATTTCGTGAAAAGCCATTTGGAAATAATGGATCGAACTGTGGTAGAGTTGAGACCTTTGAAAATATTGCTCAACTCTTCACGAGAGAGCAAGGATTTGGAGAGTAAAGCGCATAAACAGCGTTCTTGAGGTGTTAAGGAAATTTCGTCAGTGTCGTCGTTTGAGGCCTTCAAGATGGTTGGTACGGTCTCGCTATCGTCTTCACTCATCATTGTACTATAGATAAAGTACTCAAATGTTGGAGAGACCTCTTTCGATGCACTCTCAGCCAAGTACCGTCCACTTGTGTCGCCATTTCTTCCGCCTGTACCAGAGGTCTTTTTCTTTCGTGACGACTTTCTTGATCGTGTGACAGCTGTGACTCCATTTGCATTGCTCTCCACAAAGATATTGCTTGCTGAAGTGTTTATGGATGGCTCTTGTGGTAGAAAATTGTCCATTGATGTTTCAACAACTTTGTATTGAGTCACTGTAGCACCAGGCGCGTACGAATGAAAGGAAGAATTTAAACCAGGATTGAGAAATTGGTCAGCACTGTGTTGAGAGTTGCTACCACTATTGGTCACGGTTAGTGATGATGAGAGAGACAGAGTGTTATTATTGCTGCTGTTGTTGTGAGTACTATTAATGGAAGGTGGCATGGTCTTGATCTCTACTGGCTCCACAACAACAAACGAACCCAACTTTTCATTAATGTCTACATTTGGATCCATAGAACCAATGATATCATCGAGATGGTCTTGGAAAATCGTGGGAGGAGAGGCACGTGAGCTCTCTCTACTGAAACCACTCAAGATGGGCTGATGGAAATAGCCAGTGCCCAAGGCCTGATCCAATGTTGAAGCAACATTCTCACCATGATTGAGACTTGAGTGATCCACCGACATCGATGTGGAACGAGTATGTTGAGAATAGGAAGAGGGCTGCGGTGGAAAGACTTGTTGGTGGTGATCATGGAGAGAGGAGGCTGGATTCTCAAAGGGGTTACTGGTCTGACTCGAAAGTGTGGTGGTGATACATTGTGGTTGTTTGTTCAAAAGAGACTCCAACAATTGCAATAATGTGGATGCAGAGGGGTCTAACGTTGAGCAATGAGACTCTGGATTCTGTTGTTGGCTCATCATGGAGGTGGTGGCAGGAGTGGTGGAGGTAGCGGTGATTGGGTGGACCAGAGGCAGGAAGTCAGCCGTCATGAGGGAGGTGGCTGGATCCTCCCAAGAAGACATCGTGTGGTTTTGTTGATTGTTCGTACTCATCAATGTTGAGGAAGTGATCGTCTTGGAGGGGGAGCAGTCATCACCTCCATGGTACAATGAGTTGAGCAAGGTTATGAGAGAAAGTTGCTGCTGATGGTGGTTGCTGTTACGATTCTGATGATTGAGGTTAGACAGGATGGGCATTGATGGTTGTTGTTGTTGTTGTTGTTGCGAGTTCATCATCCACGCAGTCGTGGTGGTTGTGGGTGATATTTGCTGGTGATGATGATGATTGAATGAGTGGTTGTTTTGATCCATTAAAGGGAGATGATGCATCAATGAGGAGGGCCAAGTTTCTGTGGAAACCGAGGGAGAATGAAACAAAGACGATTGTCCCTGTGGTGTTGGTGGTGCTGTTGTGAGAGAGGAGGTTTGTGGTAGTGGCTGGTATGGCACGAAATGTTGTTGGAGGTTCAAAGGGTGGTTGTTGTTGTTGTTGGTGTTTGTTTGAGACAAGAGAGTGGAGAGCACTGAAGAAGAAGTCGCTGTTGTTGTTCTTGTTGTTGGAGAATAGTTCATCGGATTGGCAGGAAGAGAGGCTTGCTGTTGTTGTTGTTGTTGTTGTTGGAGAATGGATTCCAACAGGGTTAGTGGTTGTTGCTGTTGTTGTGAGTACATTGTGAATTAGAGTGAAAGAATTAGGATGGAAACTACAGGAGAGGACTGCTCAATTTGATTTGGTTGAAAACAACAGCGGATGTGAATGGAAAGGACAGGAACCTAAATTTGATTGTTGGCAGGTGGTGGGCCACAAAAGAGAAAAGTTTCAATCGGATTCAATGATTACCCGACTCAGTCGCAGGGTTCTTGTTTCTTCTTGATGAAAATCTATATTCAACACCCAATAGTAATAGATGAATAATTGTGGTGTGTACTACAGGATGATGGAGAGTACTAGTAGAGAGAGATGGACTCGGAGACCACTCTCTTCCTTTGAATTTGTTTTGTTTGTAATGCTATGAGTGTTGATGGAAAGAAGAAGAGCAAACAAGCATCAACAAAAATCGCGATTGAACTACAAGAGCTTCGTGCAGTAGAGGGGTCAGTCTTGACTTCAACAAGGCAATCAATGTTTTTTAAACTTTCCAAAATGCAAATGCGATCGAAGGTTGTGCGCTTGTTGTTTCGTTTGAGACATTCTTTCACTTGTCAACTGTTGAAATAAGCAGTGATTTGCTGAAAATGAAAAATGTGGAGCACTTTGGAAAATTTGAATTTGGAATTTGGTGCGAATGGGTTTCCTTTTAATGAATCGCCAAATGAATCAGCCCACTCCTATGTACATACGCAGGGTTATGTTTAATTTCTTCATTGAAAGAAATGATATAACGCAGAATAATGTTTGATTTCTTTATTTCTTCAATACAAAGACATCCACTAAATTTGGGAATAGATTTTTCAGTATTTTTTTTAATGGATGTGAAAACGACCTAATCCTATCAGTGTCTTTTTATTTCATTCCCCTCAATAATGAATAATAACCTCAATTGTCATTAAGAATAAGTTTTTCACGACACTGTTTGTGTTTAGACCCCACAAAAGGGTCTAAAATTAGCAATGATCGAGTTCTTTCAAAAAAAAAATTATTACGAACGAGTTGAAGGAATCTTCACCCATCATTGTGATTTAAAAATTTTTACATCTGACCCGAACATCTGAAGAATGATCAGTTCCAGTAAAAAACCAACAAAAGAAGCCATCTCCAAATTACTGGACTCGTACAAGAAGGGAGAAGATCCCGTTCTTCGATCGTTCCATATCCTCGCATTTAGTGCTGATGAAATGGAGATTGATCTCAATGTTGATTATTTCGGAATCAAAGAATTTGTTTGTAAAATTGTTAGAGTTTCGGAAGACTTGTTGTGTGTATCTCATGATGGCAAAGAGGACTATGTTGAAATATTATCAGCATCATCATCTTCAGAAAAATCAGCTCTTGAGTACTCGTTAGAAAAAGTGATGGAAACACTAGTGCAAGGACGAGAAGATTTCTTGCTGAATGAAGTCGGAACACCAACTCCTACTACTGCAAAAGGAAGTCAAAAAGTTTTTGATGATGTGGACGAAGATGGCATGGAAGTTGGTTTTGATGACGGTGAGCTTCAAGATGCTCTCACGTGTCATGTGAATGATGCCAAAGCGTATTATGACTCTAAATTTGTGACACTTATTGGTCAGATTTATAATGTGAGATTGCAAATAGTTGCTGATGACTTGTCCAAAGAAATGAAAAAGGAGTACAGAATCAAAAGTGAAGACATGTGGCACACCATGTCTGTAAATTTTGCTCCAGACTATCTCTCACACGATGTGCCACCTCGAGTGCAATACAAACCTGAAATTGTTACAGAAAAAAGCGGGTTTGCTGAGCAAATGGTATGTATTCGTTCGATGCATTTTATTAATCAATGTTTTATTGAAATTTAAATCCAAACAATTAATAGGAGCATATCCTGTCAAAGTTTGTAGACATGCGTTGGGCACAACTTCGTCAAGACAAAACCCTCAAATTTGGTGCTGGTGATCTGAAATTAGCAAATTATAATTCTAACACTTCTAAAAGTGACCGAAAGAAAGCAGTTCAACAACTTGTCAAAGAAAAGAAAATTAATTTGGCCAAGGCTCTTGCTCTCTACTACAGCAATATGAAGCCAGAGACTGCTGATGAATTGTTGACAGAATGCGGATATGTACAACACAACAATTATAGTTATGATAAGGCATTAGTTAGTGACAACGAACCAAATGTGAATTTTATTTTAGAAATGTTGACCTACTTATTTTTGAGAATTCCTACTTGTCATAAGTTCTGTTGCAATTGTGACGATCATATTGATTGCTATGACATGTTGTCTACTGAACATCGAAAGCCAATTATTTGTACTCGATTCAAATGTCAATTTGAGTATATCGAGCTTGGAGTTTGTAATACCATCCCTATATCTATTTGCCCATCCTCAATTCATACTGATATTAATGAGAATGGTGATGTTGTTGATATCATGATCAGCATGTCATACTCGGCAGCAACAAGTTCCAGAAGAGATATTATTTTTGACCCATTCCCAGAGATGTTTAACACTTCTAGTTCATCCAAAAATTATGACGCGGTTGTGAAGGCACTCGATTTAATCCCATCCGTTGCTCAAATGAAGGAACATTGTGAAACAGAGAGTGACATTAAGAAATTTTTGCATCCAAATGCATATCAAATACTCAAATGGTTATTGAGTACAAATAGATGGTAAGTTTACAACTCATAAGTGGTGATACATTGGAATGGTGATAATGGTTTTTTCTTATAATGTTTATGAATTATTTGTGACATTTATAGTGCACTTGTCAGAATGCCGGAAAAGAAGAGAATTAAGGAAATGCAAACCGATTATCAGTATATTATGATGATGGACAATCCTGAGAAGGCTGCTACGTTTGCACAAAACAGAAAGAAGTATGGTTCATGTAAGTTTTTATTTTGAATCGATTGAGATTGCAATGATTCATCACGAAATCATCATTCCATTCTCATAGATTGGGCTTTCCATGGTTCTGCAGTCGAGAATTTCCACAGCATCTTGAGAAAGGGGCTTGTAAATGCTTCAAATACCAAACTTATGACTACAGGCGCAGCTGTAAGTATTTGAAATTGTGTGAAATCGTCGTTTTAAATCTTGTCAAATTATAATCTCATCCTTGTGATGTGGTTCTATTTCAATAGTATGGACCTGGAATTTATATGGCTCGTGAATCAAGCACAAGCTTTGGTTATTCTCGTGTTGGTTCATCATGGAGTAAATCTCAATTCGTGAACTCGAATACCTTGCGTTGCATCATGATTTGCGAAGTTGTTAAAGCACCAGGTGTAAGTACTGGAATTTTGTATTTTTATGCCCCAATACGAGTTTTAATACTTTTTCATGGATGATCCTCATGCTTCTTGTGGTTCGCTATCCTTGACTATTTACTCACCAAAGGTTCCAACTGTTGCATCTCCTTATTATGTCGTGAAAGAAGCAGAACATGTCACTACAAGATTCTTCTTATTCTATCCTTCTACAAGTGTGAACGTGAACATTATTGCTGATGACATTAAGTGCTTGAATGATTTTATCAAATAATTCTTTGAAAATAATTTGTGGATCTCCTAAATGCACTTATCAAGTAAGAATAAACCTTCAAGTTCATTGGTGATGCAACACTTTTTTCTCTCTCTCTCTCTCGATACGCTTCCTTCAATGTTTTCTTTAGATTTGAATCAATTAAAGAAAATGAACTTGAAACAGACCTATGAACTTGATAAAAAAAATGATCGCTTCCTCCTCGTTGCAACTCTCACAAGAAGATGAAACCATTCCAGTCCGACTCGAAGAACCAACCTCAGCTGCTGAAGACTATCAACAAGGCTTGAAAGGAGATGAACAATGGGTGAGTGAGGTCCTTGATTTCAGTAGTAGTTATAGGTATGTTGTTAGGGAAAGAAGATTCTGAATTTTCAACATGATGAACATTTCCGATCATGATCGGCATGATGATCATGTTGATCCCATATTGAATTTAATGGATTTGTATTCGTGGTGGTGATGATGAATCATTATTAAATTTCATTGATTTCCTTCAGTGGAGCACTGGGTGGCTCCTATGGACCTATTAATGTCATTGGCCCATGCTCGGTGTTTCCAGCAATGCGGGTGAGTACATTTCTCAAAATGATGATGAACGAGTGATGACGTTCAATGATTGATCAATTTCATGAAAATTGGTCTAATGCATGTCCTATGGACCTATTAATGCCACTTTTATTTGGAACACTTATTATTGATCATTATTAACACGCAACAGAGTAGTGGAACATGTTGGTGTCCTCAAACAGCGAATGGACCACAAGTAAGTAGTAGTGAGCTTTGCGTCGAGTTGGTCGACCTTTTTATTGCAATTTCATGTCTTTTTCGCAGTTTATCACAGTTACTTTTGAAAAACCAGTCATTGCCAAAGCCATTCATGTCTATGAAAGCTCTCATGCAGGATCCATTATTAAAATTAGTTGTAAGAAATATAAGGAAGGAGAAGAAAATCAGAAAGCATCCAAAGTATCAAAACTTGTCACAACTGTGTCAAATGTAATTACCGGTGGTAGTGCTGTACCTCATTTGAATTACAACTCCAATGAATGGGTCACTTTATTTGAACGATCAGCTCCGGAATACGTCCATGGAAAGGCCGTTGATTTCTGTCCACCTCTCAAGCACAGAAATATCAAAACTCGAATTATTAGAATTGATATGCAACTCTCTGGTTGGAGTGAAATTGACGCTATCAAACTCGTTGGAAAACCAAATTTTGAGGTTGTAGAATCTAAATTGACAGCACTAAGCGCCGTCTATAAGAAAATGTTCAATGATGCTTTATTTACGGATGTTACGCTAGTTCACACAAAATCAGGAAAACAAATCAAAGCGCACAAATCTATCTTGACAAGAAGATCTGAATTTTTCAAAGCCATGGTTGAATGTGAAATGATTGAATCCAAAACTTCAATGATTGAATTTGATGAAGATATTTCGTTTGACATTTTTGAAAGTGTGATTGAATATATTTACACCAATCACATAGAATTGAATATGGACAACATTTTCTACGTCTACGTATTGGCTGACAAGTTATTAATTCATTCCTTATGTACCTATTGTGGCCGAAAATTTTCCACATTCATCAACGACGAAAATGTATTTAAATTGAGTCAAATAGCCAAACAATTCCGTTCTTACAAATTGAACGAGATTGCCATGGAATGGATTGTCGACTCATATACTGAACTTTTCCTTGTCAAAGAATTTGCAGAGTTGGATAAGGACGATTTATTAGTCATTTGTCGACGTCTTGCAGAAAAACATAGTAAGGACAGTGGTAGCAGTCAGACTAATGTGCCTCAAGCGAAAGAGTCGTCATTAATGACTCCCAGCGATATTGGCTATGATTGTTCTTGGGACGGCTCCAAAATTTAACCAGAGAGGTGACCTCTATGAAATGTAAATTTGTAAATAAATCACGAGAAGTCGTTTGGAACTTGCGCCTCTTGTCGTGCATTTCATCCAATCGAATCTCAAATGCTCTTTTCCAGCATTGAGTCGACGCCTCATTTATTCACCTTCTCATTCCGTAAAAGTTAAAATGAAAATTCAAACCAACAATGTTGAGCACAAAACAAAAAAACAATCCAAACAACAATTCAATTCAAATCATGTGCAAACACAGCTCTGGATGTGGTACCTCTGATACCATTAACTGCAAGTCTTGCGGCACCGAAATGTGCAAGGGATGCAAACGCAATTGGTACGATGGAACTCCTGTCAAATCTGGGAACTCTGCTGCTTGTGGAAAATGCGGACAAAATTACAAGTAACTGACGCTAAACCCAACAGTTCAACAAGAATCAAAGAGTCGTTCAAAAGATAATAACACTCTGAACAACACACAGGTTCAATAAATTTAAGGATGATTCTTATTGTTCAATAAGCTCTAAAGAAATTATCATAATAATCATATTGAATTCGTACGAGATGTACGGCTCGACAAACGCATTAAGTCAACGTAGTTCCATCACACGGTTGCACATACACTTGTGCCTTTCCGTCTTCATTAGTGAGAGCAATCCTTGAAATCATTCCGCTTTGTAGTGCCACATTTTTCAATTTCTGAGTTGCCTCTTGCGAAAAGAAATTGTTCTCCAACAACAAAGTGTCAATGTGAAAATTGTCGACTTGATGCGAATAGTTTTGAAACAATGAAGTTAGTTGGTAACAAAATTGTTCTCCAAATCTATTAGTCGATAAATCCAAGGTGTTGAACGTAAATGTTTTCTTCTGTATGCATTGCTCGAGTTTTTGTTTCAAATAGGACACGAGTGTCACTCCTCCAACATCTTTCAATCGATTTCCACTCAAGTCCAAATAGGTCAATGTTTCATTTTGCAACAAGGATTTGAGGAGAGACTGAGAGATTTCTTCTAAAGCACAACACGATACCGACAAGTGTCTCAGTGTGGTGTTATGAAATAACATGACCGCTAGAGCATTGGTTTTCATGGCATTGTAAGAAATGTCAAGAGTAATAACGGATTTGTTGTGAGTGATGGCAAGTAAAAGAGATTGTAGCATGGAGGATGTTAAATCACAATCGCTAAGAAGAAGAGTTTTCAAGGAAGCGTTTGCAAGGGATGACAAGTATGAGTTGAGAGATTCAATTTCACAATTTCCAATTTCATGGTAGTCGTCATTGAACATGCTTGTACCTCCTAGTCTGTTATGTGATAAATTGACAAATTCAAGGTATGACTTTTCGTTCTGCAATGACTCAAATAATGCATTGATCCCTTTCACTCCAACGATATGGTTGTTGCTCAAGTCTAATTTTGTCAATGTTTTCAGTAATGGTTTTTGCAATGATAAATAAATTAAAAAATCGTTGTCAATATTGTTTTCAGTTAGAATGAGTGTAGTTAGGTTCATAAATTGGGAGGGATTCGGAGCAAGAAGAGATGTTACCATCTTACTAGTGAGTTCATTGAATGAAAAATTGAGAGTAAGCATTTCTTCTTGCACCTGGTGATCTAAAGAGTGGCTGGTGTGAGTGGAAAGTAATTTTCCTAGTAACTCTGAGGAGCTTTGAAAGAAAGAAACGCTCCTAAAAGTAATATGTGTCAGTTTCAAATGTACATTTTTGAGTGTTTTGAGTTTCTTGTTGGTAGATTCTATATCAGTCTCCAAGTTGGAAGTGTTCTTGTTGAAATCCATGTTAATTGATGAAAGAGGTCTCTTTTTTGAGTTTTCTGTGGTCTCGAAAGTGGTAGCATCAAATAAATCTCCATAGAGGTCCAAATCGTCGTCATTAGTGTCCTGAATATTCATTACAACATCGTAAGAGTCATTGCCAACTTTTTGAACAATGCTGTCACTAAAACATTGCTGCAAATGAGAGATTGACATTTTCTGCCCTATGATGCTGAATCCATTCTCTGAAAATATTAAATTCAGAATTACATTCAAAGAAGATTCAGAAAAGAAAGAATGATAAAACGACACTTTTTGCAGGGGAGTAAAAGCTTGAAGAATCGAACAAATGAATTCAGTGTCTTCCTCTCGCATGTCACGAAAAGTTAATTCCTCAATTTTCTCAAAACATTCCATAAATTGCTGTAACTGTTCTGATTCTCTTAAATATTTCAACAGGCTCTTTGATATCGACAATGCTCTAACATATTTTCCATATCGATGCAAATGGTCGTACAGTGAGGGTGACTCATGACTGGCTTGCTGAAATGTGTTGTTTTTGCAGTAAAATTCACGACGACGGGTGAAAAAAGGATCTGACACTTTGTTGGGGATTGGAAATTGCAAGAAAGACATTCTTCGGGCATGCTTCGAATCATCATTTTCATCGCGCATTAAAAATTCTTCTGTATCCTCTGTGGTGGATTCCAAAACTTCTGCCACTCGAGATCCTTCAAACTCATGGATCTGTTTGTTCTCCAATACACTATTCACACATTGATGTAAATAATTCTGAAAATACAATTGAATGAAATCCGTTTCTGTATTCGGATCCGTCCCATCATGGTGATGTGTAAAGTCTTTCTCAACATTTGAAGCGGCCATTAATAATTGATCCTGTTTTGTTTTTAATTTAAAAGCCATCATGGAACGCTCATCCTCTTCAAATCTCTTTCGGAAAAGCCTCTCAAAGCATTCATGAATAATAATTTTAAATTGGTGAGGAGGAGATTTGGCACACTCACAAGAATCTCCTCTTTCATTCGTTGAAGACTCGTTTAATAATTTCTCCAATTCAAAAGCTGATAAATAGGTACAAAATTTGAGAACGGTACGCATTGGTAGCTTTTCCAAAATGTTCAAGTAATGGCGATACGTATGATGGTGTTCATGATGATCCTGCTCCTGTTGTGCCCCTGTGCAGGGGTGGCCATCTACATCGGAAATTCCTGGTGTTAAGCTTTCCAATAGCCATTGAATTGCAAAATCAGAGAGAAAAGAAGAAGAAGAAGACTTCTCCTCCTCCGTCCTTCTCATCCTCCTCATGGACCACTTGGTCAATCACACACAAGAGTTCGATTTCGAGAAAAGCTTTTTTTTTCATCGCATGCATACTTGCTTTTTTTGGACGGTTGCAAGTGCTGTGCTGCTGAGGTGATTTTTCAAAATCCACCCGCCGTTGGCGAGTTATCGTACGTTTAGTGTTTTGTGGTGACCGCCCGAAAAAACAAATCCCCCTCTAAACCTCACTCCACCCTTATTATTGTATTCGTATTATTCATTTGAATACATCTAAGCACAACCTCAAAAGAGCTAATATAACTATTTGATTCCGACACACAAGAAAGAGAAAATGGCTAGTGTAGTGGGAGGCCCGACGGTTGTTGGAGGCCCTACTCAATCTTCGTTGGGAAACGATCGATCTCTTCTGCATCATCATGCCCAATCGTCCCCGATCTGGCAAGCCTTAGCGAGTCTTGTGGACCGAGTGGTGAGTGGAATTATTAATTTGGAGTTTAAAGAGCCCATTCGAGAATGGAAGAATATCCTGCTCTTAGTTTGCCTTCAGGTTTATATATTTGTGTGCGGTTTGATGCTTCCAACCATCACATTGAGCCGAACAGTGGATGGTGTGGCTGCATATTTGGGCACTTCTGTTGTACAAAACGTTGCTGCTGCAAGTAGTAGTGATAACTTCACTCGAATACCATTAAGCCTTTATGGAGATGTTGAAGCAACAACAACCATACCCGGCCACAATCTGTTTTCTCCCTCCTCCTCAATCAACACATTTCAATATAGCAATAGCTCTCTTCCTCGTTACTATGGTTACGGATATTACGGATCATGGATGTTCAATATATTAACCTTTCCAATCACTCTCTCGCTGGACCGAATTCCATATTATGGCATGGTTGGACTCTCATTTGCATGTATTGCTTTCATAGCGATTCATATCGCAGGTTTGATGATTGCATATCGTTCCATGGTTCTTTCCACCCGATATTTACAGAAAATTAAGAGTTTAGTGCATTACTTGAGTGCATTCTTGATTGCAATGAGTGTTGTCATGACCTTTATCATGACAAGTTTCATTGATTGCAATTATGATCAAGGAACATTGACAAGATTTCCTGGTGGTATTCCTTGCTTTTCAGGAGAAAATATTGCCTACATTGTATTGTGTTTCATTGCACTTGTGGCATTGTGGGCTTGTTTACTATTCTCACAGCTTATTTTACCTAACAATCATCCCAAATCGAGAACATTCTTTATTGCACAGAATACATATTTTACTTCGTACTTTTGGTTGAGTGTGAGCTTTGAAATGGTTGCAATATTTGTCATTCCTGTTAGCATATCCTATGCAAGAGCTATTGTACATGTTGGTATTGCTCTCATTCATTTACCACTATTCTTTATTTGCGTTCCTTTCTTTAGAAGACAAGAAAATTCTGTTTATTTTGCCTTCTTATGTTCCAAGTTGGGAATGGGGTTGGGTTCTTTAATTTCATCATTGGTAAACGTACAAAATTATTGGGACGTTGGATTAGGAATGATGGGTCTTACATTTGGACTGAGCATCATATTTGGCTGTTTAGGCTTTGTGGCCATGGAAATTTATACTCGTATCATTTATAAGAGTACGAAAGATATTCTTGCTGAATTGGATCTTTCTGACCAGAAAGACGCAGAGAAAGACGCTCTTTTACAGTATCAATACTTTGAAGATACAAAAAAACTGAAACATTTAGAAATGTTTTTAAGATTCAGCATATTCCTAAAGTCAGGAGAAGAACATTGGTCAGATGTCGACTTTGCCTTAATGTTCATCAAATCTCTCATTAACAACAAGTCATTTTCGAGTGCTAGAATTTTAATCATTTCTTCAATTATTGTTGCATATTGCTGGGAAAGGGAGGCCAATAGTTCAACATTAGCTTTGAGAATATTGAGAAGTGCATTGAGACAAAATCTTTCTCTTCCAAACAGAGTGAGCGTTCTTGAACGTATGAAACAGATTGAAGAGTTTACAGAACGTGAAAATTCTCACAGTCTCCGTAAAAACGTCTCTGAACTAAAAGCTATTTTGCAACGGATGGACAAGTATCAAAATGAACTATGGAGTCATCACAAAGGATTTTGGAAAGAGCTCATGAATGATATTCCAGATCTTGAAAAAGCAGAACAAATTTCTACACGGATTTCTTCTCTGACTTTTGAATGTCACAGGACGTTCGAAAATCTGATGTCATCGTATGGTAATGAAAAAACTCTTCTCAGAAAATTCGCCAGCTTTGTGGAAAATTTTAAATTTGATTCTGAGCTCGCCCAACAACTGTACGTGGAGGCTGCAACCATAGAAGAAGAAGAATCAAGGGCAAGAAAAGCAGAAAGGAGCAAGGCATTGCCTCATTCCCTATCTAACACTTCAATTGAGTACACTCAAATAGGAAAGGATCCACTTGCAAAAGACAATTCATCAGACACACCTACAGATACAATGGACGCAGATCAAAAGAAAGAGAACTTATTCAAGTCTGCTATCAACATTTCGGACCAACATAAGGTTCAAAAATTTGGTGTGATTGCTTTCGTTGTTTGTTCTTTCTTATTGCTTGTAGTTTTCATTGTGGTGAGTGCGGTTCTTTCAGTGTTACCCTCTAGCAAAATTTTCACAGTAAGAGACAGCTGCCAACCAAAGGGAACAACTTCAAGCATTATTAGCGAAGTTAGAACTGCTCAGCTTTTTTTAAATTTTTTTGGAAATGTGAGTGGGAATATTTCATCACCATTTTTGAGTAGCATTGAAGTTTTTAACACAGACTCATATTTAAAATTATTCAAGGAAAGAATTAATTCCAGATTTAGCCAATTAGAACAGTTGAGGGACTCTAGTGAAAGCAAAGCCACTTCAACTGCATACGTGGATTCCGTTTACGTATTGAACGTTCCCTCTCTCAATCAAAGTAAGGCCATTTCAATCAAATCTACCCAACCGAGATATACCCAGACAATTTCTCGTAAAAGTTCTGTTTTCGATCTTACTCACCAACTCTTAAAGAACCAACAAGTATTGACAAGATACACGAAATCAGATTTAGAAAAAACCCTTGAAAACTTTAGTATTATGTTTTTACTAAAGAATAGAGATAGAGCAGAATATATGTTTGAAAACTTTTGTCAACAGGTTGCAGTTAAAGCAATGCAAGACGCCAAAAGCTATATCGACGGTTTTTTAGGTCTATTCATCTCTTCAGTAACAGTGTACTTTACTGTTGGAGCAGCATTTTTTATTTATACATATTTGGAGCTTCAAAAAGGAAAAAAATTAATCAAAATGATGGAACACGACCTTCCTGATCAAGCAGTTTCAAAGATTTATTCTCAAATATGCAAGAAGAGCGAGGAAGAAATTACCGTGAAAAACTCAGGTTCTTTGTTTCAACCAAAGAGAGTTGTTTTGATTATAGGAGTATTTTTCCTAGTTATTACATCATTATGCCTTTCCTTAATATTTGTGTATGCAATTACCAATAATAATTTATCATTGTCAACCATTGATAATTTGCGAAGGGTTACTAATACTCTCTCCCTAATAGAAAGAGCCAAGTTTACAATAGGAGAATTATTTATTTTCAGAAAAACAAACGGAACTTCATTTGTGAACGACCCTGATATCTTAGATCAAGCTTTTGTTTCAAGCCTGTACTCAAATGTTAAAAGTTCTCTGCAAGATCTATTGAATGAATGGAATTTAGCCATGCTTGGCATCAACGCCAATTCATACAGTGAGATATTGACATTAGTGAGTGGAAGTACATCTTGCAACAATTCAACCTCTTCGTGTCAGGGGTTGAGTTCTCTCATTTCCGATTTTGTGGTTTCTGCACAAGAACTGAGTGAAAAGTTGCAATCGAATAGCTATCAGTACAATACTTTAACACTATTTGATGGCTTTCTTTCGTTATTCTTTAGAAGTGTAACACTATTTAATAAGATTGAGCAAGTAGAAACTCGGTTTATAGACCTTTCCTCAACTCCCGATGTGACCTTATTGGTAATTTTCTCAGTAATTGGAGTCCTTCAATGTTTAGTTTTTTCATATTTGCTTTATGAGTCCTTTATATCAACATGGAGAAACATTCATCAGATTAGATTAATGTTGCACTATGTACCATGGGAAATTTTAGACTCCAATGACAAATTCAAGAACTTTATTTTGTATCACGACTTATCCACCTCGCAACAATTACCAAGCGAAAGATCCAAATTCTTTGGTGGTAAAAAGTTTTCAAAAAAAAAATCCAAACAGGGAGACGAAGATCGAGTCAGAAGAATGCTTCATGCGCAACCTGATGGAGCTATCTTGTGCAATCAGGCAGGAGACATTGAAATTTTTAATCCAGCAGCTCAGAAAATATTCTATCATAAACCTCATGAAATCGTGGGTTTGAGCGTTTTCACATTATTCGAGCCAACTGCAAACAGTAAGATCAAACAACTGATGGAGAATATGAGTAATACTTTGCTTGAAAATATGAACAACAAGAACGCTGAGCCACTGCAAGGAGAGACAATGGATGTCGATTGTTTCCGAAAGAATCAGTCTAAATTTCCAGGACGGATTAGTTTCTTTTGTACTCTATTTGGAAGAACACCTGTCGTTACATTTTTTGTTAAGGTAAGGAATAGTTTGTGAAAGAGATTTATGTGTATTTTGGCTTGATATAATATGTCACTAATAATCACTGTTAACTTGACCTATCATTTCGTATATTTGCGAACTACTAATTCAACTCTATAGGATATTACTGCTGAGAAGAAGCAAAATCAATTACTTGTTGAAGAAAAAAAGAAATCTGAATCCTTGCTACTTAACATTCTTCCTGAACCGGTTGCCATTCGTTTAAAGACAGGAGAGAGTTTAATTGCTGAAAAGTTCAGTGACATAACAGGTATGTATGGAGTGTTGCTTCCATTATTACAATAACAAGAATTTTCTTTCCAAAACAGCCTTTTTTTCAGACATGGTTGGTTTTACTAAAATGTCCAGCAGAATGGAAGCCATCGAAATCATTCGTATGCTTTCCATTGTAGTCAATGGATTTGATGAATTGACAGATAAATACAATTTAGAGAAGATCAAGACAATGTAAGTTATTATAGAATGTTCTCACCTTGAATTATTAAACAACAACTAAACAGTGGAGATGCTTATTTTTGTGTTGGAGGTACGTAAGAATAATTTAATCTCCTTTTGTTTTTTGAGAAAACTAACTCGTTGGTCAATAGGATTGTAAGTATTTTAAAGCTTGATCACGAAATGACGATAACGGATTCCCTTAATAGACATAATAATTCACAAAAAGTAAGTTGGCATTCCATTGTGATCATTAATGTTAATATGCTTTCAACCCATTGCTAACATCTGGCATGTAGGATCATCCTGAGAGAGTTCTCAAGTTTGCGATCGATGTGTTCTCAGTTGTACATCACTATAATGCAGAGATGATCAAAGAGGAGCACGAAAAAAATGTTAAAAAATATGATGAAAATGGTGAAGAGATTAGTGTTGAAAGCAGGCAGATTAACATACGTGTAGGAATGAACACGGGTCCAGTTGTGGCAGGCGTAAGTATTTACGAACCAATGATGTTCATAGGTATATTATTTCTCTCATCATGATCATCCTTTGATTGAAAACAACACTTGTTTTCCTCTCATTTGAATTCACTTTCAGGTGATCGGGAAGAAAAAATTTGCCTATGATTTGTGGGGAGGTAAGCATGAAACCATGCGCTTTTAATCTTGCTAATCTAACATTTTCCAATGATCTTCCAAAACTACATACATTAGATACAATTAATGTCGCCTCACGAATGGAATCATCTTCTTTGGAAGGAAGAATTCAATTGTCAAAGTCAACCTATGACAGGGTTGCTGGCCATGGTTATCGTTTTGAGGAAAGACAACTAGATATTAAGGGAAAAGGAATTTGCCAGACCTATCTCCTCAATGAAAGATTGCACAAGCAAGCTAAATTGGACAGTGAAGCGATTAAGAAGTTATTCGAATATGAAGATGACACTGTCGAACAAAAAGTAGAGGATCCATTTGCAGGGATTGATTTATATCGTGCTGATAGTTATCGTTTTGGTAAATTAATTCTTGACACATCTTTCTTGAATTGCTTTAAAGAATTTCTTTCAGGACCAAAATTGGAGATCATGAACTTTTATCAACATGTGTTGGAGTACAAATCAAATGGCTCGACTCCTGTTCGATATTCTATAGCCAAGCATTTAGTGGAAGAGTATTTGGCAGAAAATGCTCCAAAACGTTTGCAATTCAAGTTTATGAAGAATGCTTTTGGCCCATTCCAGTTGAAATTTAATGCATGTAATGAGGATAATTGTACCACTGATCTATTTGACAATTTTGTGAATTTATCCATCCGATCCTTGAAGCCTGAATTTCCAAAGTTTCTTAAATCCTCACTTTTTTCAACGTTTGTTGAAAATTTGAAAATTACAGATCCAGGCTTATTGAAGAGTTTGTTGAAGATTGACAAAGGAGAGGGAGGATCACACTTGACATCCGAAGATGACGAATATGACTCTGAAGAAGAAAAAGAATTTTTATTGTTTTGTGAAAAGTGTGGCACGGAAATTATCAACCTCGGTGAGTTTTTTTGGTTAATGTTTCATTTATTGACAACGTGATTGAACAACAACTTATGATTGAACTGAAATAGAAAATAATCGTTTCAATGATTGGGAGTTTAACTATCGTCTTGAAAGCTTGAATGACTATAATCAATGGCGAATTCTCAATGAATACCCTGAAGGAAAGACATGGCTCTCTCCAGAAGTTGCTCACAACCACTTGACCAACTCTCGTAGACATACCATGATCAAATATGACTATCAAGTCAATTGTAGTTACGAGAGTCTTTTCAATTTATGGATTGATCCTGATTACTATCGATGTAGAGATGAGAATATTGAATCGTTTGAACTTATTGACTTTGTTAAAGTTGGAAAGTATGCTCACTGCATTGCTCATGAGGTCTATAAGATGAAATTCCCTCAAACCGATCGAGAGTTGGTACACGCATATTGTTGTCGTTTTGATAGTGCAGAAAAAAGATATTTGTGTGTATCGAGATCTATCAACCATGCCAAGGTTCCAGAATCTTCCAAGTATGTGAGAGCTGAAATCAAAACAGCCTTCATGGTTCAATACTTGACCGACAAGACTTGTCGTTATACCTATACAGTAATTTTCGACCCTATGGGATGGCTTAATGCAGAGCATCATTTCAATACCATTAAGGAAAATGGTGACAATTATCATCAACATCTTCTCTCGCTATTGCATGACCGTGAAACAAAGAAGGATCATGCAAGGCCCTCTGGAGGTTTAGTAGATTCTCTGAATCATTATTTGGAGTTTATGGAAACAAAAAATCAACGAAAAATTGGCTCTTCCAAATAAATTTCAAGTTGCTAAGCGTATTGTCGGTGTCGATGAATTTGACGAAATAAGATGATGACTCTTTATAAATATTAGTGCTTTTGTTTTGGTTTCATGAATGGAAAGCATCCATATTACAAGGCATATTTGGAAGTATCTGTCACTAATCCAAAAACGAGTGACAATGTAAGCAATGTCACTAGGGTCAAACCAACAGAAACGCTGAATATTGTCCACTTGTACACCTTGTCTTGAATTTCCGTAACTGCAAAACATGCAAATCCCAAAATGAAACCAGTCACTAATCCACCAATATGTCCAGCCCAGTCAATATAATCACTAAAACTCCACAACAAAGTGATGAAAATAATAATTCCAACATTAATACATTGCATAACTTTCTGTTGAGTTGGAATTCTGGTCCAACGAACAATAATATTTGAAACCTTGGCTCCAATTAAGCCCATAATGGCCCCAGAGGCTCCAACGGAGATCGAGGCTGGCATGGCAACACAGCTCAATAAATTTCCTGCAATGCCTGAAATGAAATAAATTGGAATTACTCTGTACCATCTCCAATTCTTTTCATAGCCCATGCAAACCATAATTTGAATGAACAAGTTCATGAATATATGCAAAATACCTGCATGCATAATGAGTGGAACCACCAGACGCCATAATTCATATTTTTCTTTGATATAGTATGAACTTTTGGCTCCTAATTTCAACAATGTTAGGCTCGATGGGCCAATAGAAGGATTTTGAGGATCAAAACCGCCAACTGACAACTCTACAATGAAATAAATTAATTGAACGATTGAGATCCAAAAGCAGAATGTCATTAACATGTTTTTGTAATCTTGTTTTCGAACAGGTGAGCATGGTGGACCAACAAAACATGGACAACAACACATTAAACACATCTAAACAATGATATTATGCATAGGAGGTTGGCACCAAATGTATCAAGAATGGCTTGTTTCAAGACTTCAATTGTCAAACTTACATGATACCATTGAGGTTGAATGTTGTGCAAATTATAACTCCAAAACATGTCCTCATTCATATTGTACTGATTTTGATAGGGGTCATTGGAAATTGTGGCAGCTCCACCGGTTTCAACATCCACAGGTTGGCCTGTAGCAGTGTAGCTTCCTCCACTTGGAGTAGTATTGCTTCTTCCAAAACCTGTTATTTCATCATATAATAATAATAATTATAACAAAATCAATTTTTCAAAATTTAGGCATGATCGAATCCCGATGAAGATGGTGGTTGATTCATAAATAGTATTTGTGTATGGATCACTGAAGCTTACCTGAAAACATGTTTCTGAATCCTGAGAAAAAGCCTCCTCCACCACCTATGGCTCCTCCATCTGCATAATTGGCTGAAGATGGTTGATAGGAAACAGCCTCTCCTGATCCTAATACTCTTCCAGTTGTGGATGGTTGTCTTGTAGTGTTGGACGATGAATCTCCTCCTAGGGTCCTTCCTCCAAGAGTTCTACCACCACCATTTCCCGATGAGTTACCCCAACCAGGCGGAACAGGTGCTTGGCCTCTATTGGGATTATCGTTGTTGTTATTTAAATCACGAATGGTATGTACAGGCATGTATATGGTTAACAGAGAATAGTTTTATAATTGAAGGAGAATTGTAATGTACAATGACAAGAGCAAAAGGGATATTCGGAAAGAGAGATACAAAATCAGTGAGCGGAGACACAGAAAAAACCGCTTTCTTGTTGATCTATTTTTTTTATAATTTCCATCATGATGTGTGTATTTAATTGGAAATGAGATGGAGAGTTATGAAGTCCAAAAGAAGGTTTGTTTTAAACCCATCTTCTTCACAAACACTCACAGAGTTCATTCATTTGTTCTACTCTCAACGCTTATAGGAATGCTCTTGAATGAAAACTCTGTACTGATTATCAAAGTAGGGTAAACTCTTTGGGTCAATGTAGGAACTTGATTGTATCATGATGGGTGAAGAAGAGCATTTTGTTGTCATCTGTGTGACAGTGGGTGATGCTGAGAACGTCTTTTTTGTTTTGGAAGGTGTCACACCAACATTCTTACTAGTGATACTATTGGTTTTTTGAGATTTTTGAATTTTAGCTGCATGAATTGCTCCTAAGGCTGAGAAATCCTTAAACCTTTCTGCAAGTGTTGCTGTGTTGGCTTGCATCAAATGATTTGAAATGATGGAGAGTTGTGAAGGGATGGGAGGAGAAGGAGAATTCAAACAAATTTCTGCTGGAGAAGGTCTCGGCAACATATCATTTTCAGTCACTTGAATAGAACAATCGTTACTTGAAATGAAATCTTTGGTTGATGTGAATTGCGAGTGTGTATGAATTGTTGGTGTTTGAGTTGATGTGTGAATCTTAAGAATAGGTTCTGGGTGAGGCAGTTTTGGATGTAATATGTTTTGCCTTTCCTCGATGATGCCCTTCAAATCGTCATGTAAATTTACATAGGTTTGATTGATAAAATTTGGAGTGGATGCTGTAGAGTTTATCACTGACTTCTCTAGAGGAGGGGAGGAAAAATTGGCCTGATAATTTACAGCACATGATTTTAAGAGTTTGTTTTCATTTAAAAGAGCATCAATTTTGCTGTTTTTAAAAGCCATATCCAGGTTCATTTGCTGTATAGTACTTGTTAATTCTCTCATTTCCTCCTCAAAATAGTCGATAACTTGACCGTTGGAAGTCGTTATAAATAATTCTTCACTATTATTCTTTGCGACAATAGTCGGCTCGATGTGTCTATAACAAGCATTGGGTGTTTCAATTTTGTTGCTCAGGTTAGTGCTATCTTCTCTCAATTTATCTATTTCCAGTGTGAGTTCATTGATTTGATGCTTCAGTTTCATGTTTTCTTGATTAATAAGATTATATTTTTCGTATGCTTTTTTAAATAAATGATATTCTTCAAATTGAGATTCTAAGTTACTGAGTTTTTCCAAAAGGTTTGTTCGTTCCATGCTGAAATTCAATACAACTTCTTCAAGATTACTTCTCAAATAATGGTTTGCTTTTTGTAGATTTACATTTTCCAAATACATTCTTAGAGAGTCTTGATGTTGTTTTTCAATAATTTGTTCATTGAGAAAGGTTGTTTTCTGAAGAGCAACAAGCCTATTGTGGATAGCGTGATAAATAAGATCAAAAAATAGGGTTTGGGTTTGGGTTTGGGTTTGGGTTTGGGTTTGGGTTTGGGTTTGGGTTTGGGTTTGGGTTTGGGTTTGGGTTTGGGTTTGGGTTTGGGTTTGGGTTTGGGTTTGGGTTTGGGTTTGGGTTTGGGTTTGGGTTTGGGTTTGGGTTTGGGTTTGGGTTTGGGTTTGGGTTTGGGTTTGGGTTTGGGTTTGGGTTTGGGTTTGGGTTTGGGTTTGGGTTTGGGTTTGGGTTTGGGTTTGGGTTTGGGTTTGGGTTTGGGTTTGGGTTTGGGTTTGGGTTTGGGTTTGGGTTTGGGTTTGGGTTTGGGTTTGGGTTTGGGTTTGGGTTTGGGTTTGGGTTTGGGTTTGGGTTTGGGTTTGGGTTTGGGTTTGGGTTTGGGTTTGGGTTTGGGTTTGGGTTTGGGTTTGGGTTTGGGTTTGGGTTTGGGTTTGGGTTTGGGTTTGGGTTTGGGTTTGGGTTTGGGTTTGGGTTTGGGTTTGGGTTTGGGTTTGGGTTTGGGTTTGGGTTTGGGTTTGGGTTTGGGTTTGGGTTTGGGTTTGGGTTTGGGTTTGGGTTTGGGTTTGGGTTTGGGTTTGGGTTTGGGTTTGGGTTTGGGTTTGGGTTTGGGTTTGGGTTTGGGTTTGGGTTTGGGTTTGGGTTTGGGTTTGGGTTTGGGTTTGGGTTTGGGTTTGGGTTTGGGTTTGGGTTTGGGTTTGGGTTTGGGTTTGGGTTTGGGTTTGGGTTTGGGTTTGGGTTTGGGTTTGGGTTTGGGTTTGGGTTTGGGTTTGGGTTTGGGTTTGGGTTTGGGTTTGGGTTTGGGTTTGGGTTTGGGTTTGGGTTTGGGTTTGGGTTTGGGTTTGGGTTTGGGTTTGGGTTTGGGTTTGGGTTTGGGTTTGGGTTTGGGTTTGGGTTTGGGTTTGGGTTTGGGTTTGGGTTTGGGTTTGGGTTTGGGTTTGGGTTTGGGTTTGGGTTTGGGTTTGGGTTTGGGTTTGGGTTTGGGTTTGGGTTTGGGTTTGGGTTTGGGTTTGGGTTTGGGTTTGGGTTTGGGTTTGGGTTTGGGTTTGGGTTTGGGTTTGGGTTTGGGTTTGGGTTTGGGTTTGGGTTTGGGTTTGGGTTTGGGTTTGGGTTTGGGTTTGGGTTTGGGTTTGGGTTTGGGTTTGGGTTTGGGTTTGGGTTTGGGTTTGGGTTTGGGTTTGGGTTTGGGTTTGGGTTTGGGTTTGGGTTTGGGTTTGGGTTTGGGTTTGGGTTTGGGTTTGGGTTTGGGTTTGGGTTTGGGTTTGGGTTTGGGTTTGGGTTTGGGTTTGGGTTTGGGTTTGGGTTTGGGTTTGGGTTTGGGTTTGGGTTTGGGTTTGGGTTTGGGTTTGGGTTTGGGTTTGGGTTTGGGTTTGGGTTTGGGTTTGGGTTTGGGTTTGGGTTTGGGTTTGGGTTTGGGTTTGGGTTTGGGTTTTGGGTTTGGGTTTGGGTTTTGGGTTTGGGTTTGGGTTTGGGTTTGGGTTTGGGTTTGGGTTTGGGTTTGGGTTTGGGTTTGGGTTTGGGTTTGGGTTTGGGTTTGGGTTTGGGTTTGGGTTTGGGTTTGGGTTTGGGTTTGGGTTTGGGTTTGGGTTTGGGTTTGGGTTTGGGTTTGGCGGGTTTGGGTTTGGGTTTGGGTTTGGGTTTGGGTTTGGGTTTGGGTTTTGGGTTTGGGTTTGGGTTTTGGGTTTTGGGTTTGGGTTTTGGGTTTGGGTTTGGGTTTGGGTTTGGGTTTGGGTTTGGGTTTGGTTTGGTTTTGG